CCTATCAGACACTGACACTGAAAGAAATTATATTATATGAAGTAATGGAATGACCCAACAGGCAAAAAGTTCTTGTGAAGGAACAACCAAAGAGGTAAAAAAAAACTGTAATGCTAATAAAACAGCTGGAGGAACATTTTCAACTAATGAGGTTGATTTCCAACAGGTTAGTAACATAACTGGTATAAAAAAAAGACATTTAAAGAGAAGGAGGAAATGAAAAGGAAATATCGTCACCCTATTAAAATAATGGCCTAAGTCATTTTTTGATGAAAATTAGTTTTTGGCCTCAATCAGCTCTTTAGATGATTTAGAGGTGATTTAGGCCAAAAACTCATTTTCACCAAAAAATGACCTTTTAATAGGGTGATGATATGGGAAGAGGTTCTCCACTCTGTGAGAGACTGCTTGAGCTAACAGTTCGACAGTTTCAGAATAATGTTCCTGTCAAATGTGAAAGAATAAGTGGATTTCATCATCTATAATATCATTCCTGGTCCTGATCTTCAGGCCCTCGGGCATTCAAAACAGACAGGACTCTGGAGTGGAAATCACTATATGGGCTCTAAATCACTCAAAAAGCCATTGTCTGTGAACACTGTCCATCACTGCATCCATAAATGAGGTTAAAACTCAACCATGCAAAGAGGAAACCAGATAGAACCAGGATCCAGAAAGACTGTCAATCTTTTTGGAAACCATGTGGACGCTAAATGCTTCAAGAGTAGAGGGACCACAGAAATTGTTATCAACTCCCAGTTCAAAGCCAGCATCTCTGATGGTATGAGGATTCAGCAGGGATTACAACAGCATGGCTCTGTAGTAGAAGAGTCCTGCTGCTAAACTGCCCTGCCTGCAATCCTGACTTAAACTGTAAAATATGTCAGAGTTTGATCGCTTCAGGTGAAGAATCACGTCTTTAGTTAATGCAGCCGCTGCTTCTTACACCACAAAGAGTCTGCATAAGTCTGAGTCGAGGGTCTGCAGCTCCTAATGGTTAAAGCAGCTGTCAGTCAGGGTCCACTGCCAGTTTATTGGAGGGTTTGTGGTTTCCTGCGTTTCGTCATCCAGTCTCTCTTGGCCATAATCTGCAGAATCTGAACAACTTCCTGAGCACGGGGAAGTTTCTTGGCTGCAGATCTTTCTTTCCACTGTCACAGCGTGGTATCATACGCTCAAAGGTTAGCATCACAGGATTACACACGTCCACCAGGACTGAACAAACTCACATGTGGAAGACGACTCAGATCCACGGCTCATTTTTATGTCTTGTGAAGAGACAGCGAGATTCACTAACTTTCAGTGATCCCAATTATCTGAATAAACATGCAGCAGTTGTGGGTTTTTCACAGATGGCTGTTTTTAATATTTCCCAGATGAACTTTGTGGAAGAATCCCAAAGTGTCTGTAATATCTGAGAGAAATCCAGTTAGACACATCCACTGAGGAAAAACTGAGCCTCTCCCTGATGAAAAAACTGATTTCAGCTACAGGGTTTGTTGAAAAATTTTCACCAAGTTAGTGTGCAGCACCCATCAACACCCTGGCAGAGCTGTAAATCTCACTAAATCACTGAGCTGGAAGGAGAGCAGGGTCTTGGTGGGCTGAGGGAAAGTCCTGGGCTGGCTCTGTTGATCTTGGCATGAAGGACTGTGATGACAACAGGACTCCTTCCTGCTGGAGGAGAACTGCTCCATCAGGGGTCAAGGTCTGAGATTCACCCAGGATCAGAACTGACATCGTCCAGAAACATGAGATATTTCATTATCCATACAGGGAAACACGAACCTGGGTCATCATTCATCTAGAGAAATAGCAGATACAGATCTTGCCATCTTCAGGGGGGTCAGAACAACCTTTCTCACTAGGACGATCATCTGAAATCAGTGCCAATGCAGATGGAAAGAGTCACTGTTTTAAAGTACACACAGCACTAATCTGTATCCGGATAAATTTAATATACAGACACATACTGCTCTGATGGTCTGATCAATCATCAGGATTGATGCCACTCAACAGTAATGACATCTGGGCTTAACCAGCTGGTAATTTCTGGAGTTGAATTAATCTGTCAAATGCCCGAAAGTCCTAAAAAAGTTCCTCCTAGTTTCTTCCACTGGACTGCAAAAGTCCTAATGGTCAGGCACTACCAATTAAAGATCTCACAATTCCCTATCACCCCTGTAATACCTCAGACTCCGAGTATTCAAGTCTTTTTTACCATACATTACCTACGTAAGTCTGGGTGGTAAAGCTTTCAGTGATCAGGGCCCACTCCTTTGAAATCATCTACCAGTCAAAGAAAGTCCAGAAAGCAAACACCGTCTTTACTATCAAGAGTCCAGTTGAAGCTTTCCTCTATTAATGGTTTAGGATTAGATCATGCTGTTATAGGCTCAGACTGTTTCAGGGTTAGACCACCATTGAAGGACTGCTATGAGCTTTGACTTCTATAGTCATAGAGTACTTTCAGTTTAGCGCTATTGGTTTGGCTCAGACAACTTTTAGCTTAGACTACTGTTGGTTTAGATTACCAAGGGTGGGACTGCTATAAGACAAGACCGCTATACCGTAGCTTTAGACTGCTTTAGGGTTAAAATGCTGGGGGAACTAACAAACTGATCTCCCCAATCCTTTATCTTGCTCTTTATCAGCAACGTCATAGTTTGGTCAGTGCTAATATTACACCTGCTGGTTGGTTGGAGGGCTCGACAGTGCGACCGTTTTGCTCACATTTGCAACTAAAAATAGATGAGTGCAAATCGTAAAATGTGTTTAGGGGCACATGTGCGCACAAAAGAAAAATCAGACGAGGCAACTAATGTTGTTTTCATGTAAATACCGCGATGAAGTTAGTTTTAGGTTGGATATTCGACGGAAATTTACTGCGGATCTACTAGTGTCTTCTCACTCTCCATAACTGGGAATAGCAACAGCAGCGCGGTTAAATCTACTTGGCACCCTCGCTGTCAACGTCAAGTGTTAAATAAGGGACCATCAATAAATTATTGGTTGATGTTCTCAGAAAAGGCGGTTTTTCTTCAATAGCTTCCATGTTGTGTGACCAATTGACCTAAAATTGATTTCAAATAATAGCACTAAGGTCAGACAGTAAGACATACCTCTTAATTTCCCTAATTGTCCTCTAAAAATCTTTGTGTTAAATTTAAAGGCAAATTTTGAACCTTTTCTTCAATAGCTTCCATTACATGTGACCAATTGACCTTAAATTGATTTCAAATACATATGTCGACCAATAAGACACACATCAATTTTTACTGTGCCCCTAAAGTTCTTTGTATGCTCCGTACTTTTTCAATTTAGGAGCACATGTGCTCCTTGTGAAAAAAGTTAGTGTCAAGCCCTGGGTTGGCTGTCAAAATAAGAGAGACGCCAGTAAAAGAACCAACAATGAAAAAACTGAAAAAAGAAGTTATGAATCACATTAACTGCAGAGACAGAGGATGGATCTGTTGGAAACACCAGTTGTGCTTGTTTGAAGATATGATTGTGAGTTGTCCTGTAATTTCCCCATCTTGGACAGACGTAACTTTTTATTCTTCCAGAGAAAAACCTCATGACTGAACATCCCTTATTCATTTCCCTGTTTTCCGTTCAGAGAGCTGCTGTGTCGTGTACCCCCTCTATCAAACGGTGACACATAGTAATGAGACACATGCACACAGAGAAAACACTGGGTACGAGGAGCGACCACGAGGCAGCTCTGAGGAAACAGAAACCACAGAGCGACTGAAAGCCTGAACTGAGTGAATCTCCAGCTGTTCCGACAGGCTTTCACAACCGAGACATCACTGTAGGATTAAAATGCACGCTCACACACTGCAGACACACAAAACACTCTCATCAATCATAAAACATCTTCTCACGAGACAGGATCCAGGAGAGGACTCTGGGAATCAAAGATCTGTGGGCAAATTCAGAGGGCCTGAAAAATCCTACCTCCTCTACTCTCTGTCCAAGGACATATTAGCCCGAGCAACAGAAGTATTTTGGTATTTATATATGCTGCTCTAAAAACCTTTCACATCTTAAAGTCCAAATAATGAAATGAACAGAAAGTTCAGGATGTGCTCAATGTAGTAAATTTTCTCAGTCAGTAAAATGGGCTGCAACAAAACCTGAACTTCAACCATCATAGTGCCTTCACTGAAAAGTTGTTTTGGTTGCTGACAGGCTCAGATTGTTATTCTGTCTCTCTACAGGTCTCTTAAAATATCCTGTTTTTAGGCTGTGTTCTTTATAAATTTAGCCTCTGTGGACGTTCTGGGCAGGGCTTCTATGATAATGAAGTCATGTTCTGATTGTCTGCCTAAATGTCGTCTACGGGAAGAGATGAGAGACCAGTGTAGAGGGATGCAGAGGTGGAAAACAGAAACAAATTTGGCGAGCCCTCCAGGAGAACCTGATCACAACTGATCCATAATCTGGTCCTAAACAGGAGGAGGCAGTTGTTGAAGAGCTACAGCCACAGTTACATTAGCATGAGTCTTCGTGGAAAATTACGATTTAAAAAACTTTTCTCTTTTTGTATCCAAACATTAAGCGTCATCTTAAACCATAGAAAATCCATGAAGACATAATTTCACTTTTTTGATTTATTACAATATTTTTGCTGGTAAAAATTTTGTAAACTTTAGGAAGATAGAAAAACAAGGTTTTAAAAACCCTGGTGACATTATTTAATAATGTAAAAAAAAGAAAAGGTTGAGTTTTGTCAGGATATGAGTCTCTGACTTTGATAAATTACTAAAATTCAAAAGCTTGTGTGCTGCAGGTTCTTCGTCCAAAATGTTGAAAATTTCAATTCAGATAAAAGAATTTGGTTCAAACAAATCCTCCACAGTGCAAAATCCAAGTCTTTGGTTTTCAGCATTTCTGGAATGTTCTGTCAGTCTTGTTGGGAGCTTGTCCTTTCTGGATGCTCCATCGTCTCACCACCTCATCCTCAGTTTCTTGCCGTTCATCAGCGTCCCTGCAGGTCATAGCTGAGGCTGCTGGGAGCTCTGGTCGCTGTCCTGGCTGTCCTCCTCAGTGGTCGTCCTTGGCGGGCTCGATGAGCGCTGCAGACCTAAGATCCCTGAGTACTCAGACGGCAGTAACGTCCCTTTTTTAACATTCACCAGTTCTTTCTCCCTGGCTGCTGCCCCCTGCTGGCCTCCTTTCACTCGCTTCCACTTCATCCTCCTGTTCTGGAACCAAACCTTCACCTGAGAGCAAACACAGAGCAGACAGGTGCGAATAATTGGCTAGATGCCTTCAAAACACGTAATTACAACATGGCAGAGCTACATAAATTAGCACTTAGCAGGTTTAAGCTTCAGATTAGGTTAATTTAAAATGACATAGGTGTGTTTTTCAAGCTAAAAAACCAATAAGATAATTTTTCTCTTCTTGGCCTGGCACCCTGGGGTCCTGTACCTGTGCTTTATATAGAGTTCTGACCATTTAGTTCCCCTCTGAAGCTGTGGCTCTATGACTGCTGACCCTCCAAACACCACAGGAGCTGGTTTATAATAAACCTCACGCATGCATGCATCAGAGTTTTCTACGTTACTCATGGATCTGGTGTTTTCTGCTGTGGTTTTCACTACCGTGGATTTTTAAGTGCAGATCTAAACTCAGATGAACATGTTACGAGTGAGACCCAGTGTGTATGGAGATGAATTATTGTTTCAGTGTTCAACATGACAACCTGTTTGTGGTGTACTCCTGTTCTTGAGTCCAAAATGCTAATACTCCACAGAGAAATATCACGGTATTTCAGCGTATCTGTATTTCCTCTCACTCTTATACGTGAAGCATGAAGGAGTGCTGTTGACTGACATCTTTGCGCTGTGCTTGCGGCTGTAATGGTTAGATGAGTGATGTTACAGTTAGTCGTACAGTGTGTCCATAAACAGAAATGTGCTGACTTGTCCTCTGGTATCGTGTTTGTCTCTCTTCGTGGGGTTGAATAATCCTCTGCCTCAAACCGGGACATTTAATCTGGACTCTGAGTCCTCTCCTGACTCCTCCTGTCATATTACTCTCTCACTGCAGATCATTCCACCACCTCCATTTATGTTTATACAGCAGCAGTCTGCACATTTCAAACACACGCTCATATATTAACAGAAATAAACACACGTCCTTTAACTCGGTTTGCCCTCCCAGGGGTCTTATCCTGTAGGACGTCAGGTACTGTGCTTCAGTACAGAGAGAACACATGAGACTCTGTTGGGCACTAACTCATCTGAGCTGTTAGTTAAAGAGGTAATTATAGCTTTCAGTGTCCTATCAGCAAGTTCCTCAAATCCTGAACCCAGGGCTTCAGCATCACTAAGACTAGACCCACCAGATCAACCAAACTGAGGATGAGAAGACTAACTAAGAGAAAACATGTCTGTCTGTTATGAAGTTCTCTCTTCATAACTTATTTATCCGTTCTGAGGTTAAAAACAAAGATGCTCGGGGTCCAGACTGACTGGTCCAGTAAATAGATTTATGGTTCCTCTGTTGGGGAGGTTTGAAAGGAGCCAAAGTGAGGGGGAGTGATTAGGGACCTGGATCCAGACAGGAAGAGCAGAGTCCTGGGTGAGCGGTCCTGGCTCCTGCCCGAGCCAAACGCCGATCAGTCCGAGCCAGCGGACCTCTGAGGTTGTTTTTGGATGGATGAGAAGGACGTTTTTAAACCAATGCTGAGACATTTACAGGACGATATACAGAGGACTGAGGATTCACACTAACATAAAAGCTTTCCATCACTTTGAGTCAATGAAAGCTCAGTCTCATACTAACAGACAGAGCCCGATCTCTGATTCCAACATCAGCTAAGAAGATGTTTCTGGACAAACTCACTGTCTTTATATTTGTTTTCATCACCCTCAGGAGTTTTCTCTGTGTTGAGAGGCAACTAACAATTTTAGAGAAAACAGTTCAGTAGACGATGGCGATGCCTTTGGTGTAAAAGAAATATACCAAAGTTGTACTTCTTGAATGCATTTCCTGGTTCTTTCTGTGGAGACCCTCTTGTTTTCACAAAGCAGCAGTCTTTAGTCTTCAGATCACATACACAATCCTTCAAAAGTAGCCTGTTTTAGAGCAAAATTTATGTTTACAGCTGGGTTCAAAAATCAGGTTTGGTCTGAGAATCTCAGCTCCTATGGCACCCACTGAAGTGAATGAGATATTTATATAACGTGTTCGTTTTAAATGTATTAAAGTTGTAAGATTGGCAAATCAGAAGGAATAAAATCTATGGAAGAATTAAAAACTCTTCCCTGCTGATACAAAACCAATTTTAGTGCTGTTAATGCTGCGTAAAATCAACTTTCAAAGACTGAGGGTGGATTGTGTGTCCACTTTTTCATTTCAGGGTTACATGTAACGAGAATAAGGAGCTGTGTTACACCTGTTCCTCTACTTTAATCACCTTCTACTCTATCAGGAGTCATGATGAACAACTAGCTGTTAGTTTTGACTAGAAAAATCCATTTTTAATTGCTAGCACCAGGATACATGCCCTCTCGTTTGCAGGCTTGTGTTGATATGTTAACATGATCTCAAAAGTGAAACAGCAGAGAGGCGCCTGGAAGAGGTTTGACTTTGGTAAAGTACCTCTCCATGTCAGCACCTGAAACAGTCGTCATCTTACTCTTTCAGGAGTAAAAATGTTTCTGTTCACTTTTTCAACACTGCAGTGTGAAACTCCTCACCCACAGTGAACAGCAGCAGAGACAGCACACTAACTCCATACAAATGTTTCTCTGAGCTTATAAGTGAAACATCTGGAGTGTGACACACGGCATTGCGGAGTCATGCACACACACACACACACACACACGCGCGGCCGTGTTTCAAAGACTCTCTGTGGTTTGGAGTCGATTAGCCTCAGAGCATTAGCATGACATGTCCAACCGTTTGCTCATGTCAAACACAGAAGTTTTTTTTTACGGTGAACAATTTCTCTAATGAGAACCAAACATCAGCTGCATTTATTCACTGAGTCATGGATGTCATCATGCCGAGGATTATTTCAAAGCTTTTTCAGCACAATAAAAACAATTATCACTGAAGGATTCACTGGAAAAATCATGGAGGGAGATTTTCACAGACGTCTCAGTCTCTGTCTTTGTGCCAGGAAAACATGCTCAGCATTGTGCCGCTAAAGGACAGTGAGCGACAGATGAACAGTTTTGTGTTAGAGGCTGCAGTTCCTCTACTGTCCATTAGAGGCACTAAATCAGTCCCTATAGAGCCCTGCTTTATAGACCAAGTTCACCGCAGAAATAAACACATTTACAGCCTTGAACAAACACAGTTTGTGTCTCTGTAGATCATTTATCTGTTTACGACGACTGAATTTATGAAGAACTCACCTGTTTACTTCAGATTAAGGTTAGAGATTTTGCATAACTGGGACAAATATACACTAAGACATGCTAATGAATAGTCTTAAACTTTACACAACCTCTCTTGGCTTTAGTAGTCTGATAAATAACTACAGTCAGCTGTACAAACACAAACAAATCTCATTTAATGGTTAACTAAAGATAGATTCACTCTACATCTGCTGTTCTGATTTGTTATTAGCACCTATAGATTAACACAAACGGGTTGGAAGATAATTCCTTTTTTTTATTATTGTTAAAATGTCTTATATTGGATTTATCACAGTGACTAGCTCATCCTTTAAGCCGACAGAGTCCTGATAATAAATGTAGCCTCTCAGTTTTAGTCAAAGAAAACTGAGGCTGATATTGTGGCTTAAATTCCCTCCATAAACAGCTCAAAATTCACAGTTGTTACTAGATTTTCACTTATTGACATCAGCGCCACAGAATTCTGATATTGCTTTGACAACAGGCTACCCTTCTGGTAGGACTCCAGAGATCTGACCAATCAGAAAAAAGTGGGCTCATAGGAAGGGGGCTTATTAAAAAGACAGTTCCTCAAAACTGTGTCAGAAGCAGAACTGAAGGTTCTGATAGACACTAGATGATTTTATAGTATGCAGAACTGTTGAGATCCTGTTTGTTAGTTATGGTGTCCACCTGCCTCCACCAGAACAGCAAAGGACTTCTGGATTTGAGTGCGAAATGAACAAAGTCCTTGCATTAATCTAGAAATCCAGCTGTGATTATCTCTTGTTGAGCCGTGAGGTGTACTAACACAAAAACCACAAAGAAGCCTGAGGAGGATCACGGCTATAACACTGAAAAATTAGCAGCCGTTATTATCGACGTGCTCGTTTCTGTGCTAACTGGTTTCAGTTCAGCAGCAGTGGCTTTGTTTACCTAACAGGTCATCAGCCTCAGTCACAGGATTTGCCAAACATCAGAAACACATTAACCCTGATTCCTAGTTCTTATCTCAGATCAAACATGATTGTTAATAGACACTAGTAGAGTTAAATTTCACCTCACTGAATTACAGAAACCAGTTCACCTCGAAACCAATAGGTCTTTTATATGGGGTGATAGCAGCAGATGACTTTTGATCTTATTTTTTCTGATTAGTGAATTAGTCAATGAGATATGCTGATTTTGCTTCTATGACTTCCTGTTTCCTAAAGCTGTTGATGAAACTCGTGGTTCTTATAATCCTGCTCTCACTGTTTGTCAAGACTTGGGTCTGTCCCCCTGTCAGCTGGTTAATGTGATGCAGAGATAAAGATTCAGTGGGCACCGTACTTGTCTTTCGGTGAGGTCGAGGTTGACGGCGATCTCATAGCGTCTCAGTCGGGTCAGATAGTTGTGGTGAGCGAACTCGGACTCCAGCTCTCGGATCTGTTCCTTGGTGAAGGCCGTCCGCTCCTTCCTGGGTTTGCTGTTCATGTCTGACTTATAGCTCCCGTCCTGGGACTCTGAAATGAAAAACAGAACTTTTTCCAGCCACAGCTGAGTTTCCAAAAGAGAGAGGGGGGAGGCAGGATGAAAAAAAAAGAGAGAGATGAGGGGCGTTTGATAAACTGCAGGGACTCTGAAACAAAATAATGTGAAAGAAAGACGATCAGGGGTGCCGATCAGATTTTATTACTGAGGTTTGGGTGTTAGAACTGGCGGCTTTCTACTTGAGTCTGCTACCAACAGAGCTGCCTGGCCTGTTCAGAGGATAGAGTCTATGATACTAGGTAAATATCTCTACAGTGTGTTAGGTACTTCAATTAGAGTTGCAGGACCACTGTTGTCACCCAAGTCCTGTCTGCGATCAGGGAATACTGCAGAGCCAACACAGAGGTTAAACATGAGTCAAACTACACTGAAGTTAAACTGCAAGATCCAGTCCATCCAAAATCTCTAACGAGCAACAGAAACTGTGAATCCCTCCAGACTCAGAAATGGAAATGCCTAACTTTGTTATTTTTGCCTTTTTGTGAAGCCCTGTCTTAACATGTCCTTAAATTCTACATTTCCCTAAAAGGTGTTCCTCCTGAATGTCATTTGGATGTTCTGTAGCTATTTTATGCATTTGGGTTGATTTAGACCAGATCATTCAAACAGCAGACCTCTGTTCAAGCTGTAAAACAATCTGAAATCAGATCAATCAAATGTTAAAGGTGTCTTTTTTATTAGATCGTTGCAATTTAAAAATCGCATCATGTTGACTTAACAAACTTTGAGTGCTGGTTTGATTTTTACATCAAGTAATTTAGGATAACAAGTGACAAGTGGAGGTGAAGTAGTCACAACAATGACAAACTACATTCTGCAGGGATTTATGCTGCGTTCCAGTTGTACTCGGAAGTCAGGATTTCTGAGCTCTGAGTTAGAAATTCATCTGGAACCCTGAAGTCAGATTTATGACTCGGACAATCCTCGCCATCCCCAACTTGACGACAACGTCATAAATTAAGATGGCAGCGCAGTGCATCAACAGTAAAGAGTAACAGTGAAAGCTCTCGTAATTTATTTTTTATTAGCACTTCTGTTTTGTTTTGGTGAAATTAAATAAGTGGTGTATGTTGTACTGCCTAACGTCTCTCTGTGAACACGGTGCTATGGTGTTTGTAGAGTAAAACACTGTGTTGTGCGTTGTTTACAACTGGTATAGCTAACAACAGCTAACGACAGCTGACAACAGCTAACTACGACTGACAACAGCAAATGACAGCTGACAATTGTAAACAACAGCTAACAACGGCTAACTGTAGGCGTCCATCTTGGTTTTCCGACTTGTTAACTGGAACGCCGTCAACTCGGGTGAAACGTTGTTCCCAACTCCGACATCCGACTTACGAGGTAACTGGAACGCAGCATAAAACAGCATGGCTGTGTAGTAAAAGAGTCCTGATGATAAACTAGTCTGCCTGCACTCCTGACTTGTCCCCAATTAAGGATAAAGGAGACCCTGAAGTGTTAAGCAGCTGAAATCATCTATCAGGCAAAAAATTGGACAACATTTCACTGTCAGACTCCAGAAGCTGGTCTGCTGAATTTTCTAAGGTTTACAGAAAGTTGGTGAAAAAAGAGCAGGTGAAACACTTTATATTTCTTTGCACTAGTTTTAATTAAATAGGTGTAACTGTAGTAATGACTAATAGATAATCCAGTATAAATATGGATGTGCAGAATCGACCACACATGTTAATAAACCCTTAAGAAGCCTCTCTCAGCTATATTTGACCATCCTTTCAGTGCACATAAACACATTTTTCCGGGGTTGCTTCATGCTTAAAGACTGGTCTAATTTTTTCCTCTCATATTGTCTGTCATGAAATCATATTTCAAACATCTTTAGTGTTTTTGTGGTCAGAGCACGGTGAAAACGGTCCGAGTAATCTTTCAGAGTGAATAATCATTTCGACACTGTTCTCCTCTCCTCACTGCATAAATCCAGCTGACATTTCATTAGTCCTGTAAATGTGCGATGTGCTGACAAACCAGAGCGTGCCAGGAAAACACACGCAGTCTGAGCTGTAATGCGACACTGCACACCAATTACACCGACACGTTTTATACTGCTGTTCCCTGTCATATTAACCTTTTTAATTTCATTTATTCTCGGCGTTGAATCATTCTGCAGGTTTAGCCTTTCCCTGGAGACTTATCTGAAGGATATTAGTGTTTTAAAATATTTGAAAGGTATATTTCAGGTTTTTTAAAGAACTGTAGGTCATTAACTGTATATTTCATCATATTTTAAAGCAGTCCAGTAAAAACACTGAGTAATAAAAGTGCTGCGGCGTCTTTGAGTGCCAGTGAAGTTCGAGTTAGGAAATTGGATTGGGGTTTGGTCTCTGGCAGCTTCAGTGGATCTTTTCAGAAGTGTTCAATCTGTCCGTCAAACCTCCGGATGTCTCCGGTCCGGGACCTAGACTCAGGGGGAATCGGAAATTTCTGGACCTGGCATTGGTTCAAACTGCTGGTCAGAGAGTGAAATCTTGAAGATATGGCTCTGCTTTTAAATCATGTGGGTAGATGTCAGGGATGATGTGCTCTGCCGTGTCTTTTCATTTGAAGCATGTGTGCAGATGTAGAAGTTCAGACGCCAAGAGGTTTAAGCAGCTGAAGCTTAACCTGCACTGTCAGCTTCACATTTTGGGTTACAAAGCTAACCACAGATTTTTGTTTTAGTAGTTTTGGGCTCATAATAACCTGGAGAGGCGTCACCTTCTACTGGAGGAGGATTTTACAATGTTGGCTCCATATTTTTAAGAAATGGATTCACTTGAAATCTCTGCAGCATCATCACATCACATCCTCCCTGTCTATTAAATCAAAGTATAAACTGTATAGTTCAATCCTTGTTTTGTTATTTTACTTATTGTTAGTTATTTATTGAACCTACAGAAACTCTGAACTTTGCTCTGCGTTATTAATTGGTAGGACTGACCCTTTAATATAAACTCTTTTATACATTCGGAGTCTGCTAACACAACTCAATCACTATAGCGTCTCTATACTTTATACTGACCCTGTGATGGTGTAACATTCGTGTGCCACAGTGAGATTTCACGAAGCACAAAAGCCCAAGAGGCACTTAAGCGATGTAAAAGTATCTAAATATTCTTTTTTTAAAGCAGAGCTGGTTAAAAACGTGGGATCATTTTACTTGCTGCATGTTTGTTGAGTGTATTTTGGAGCAGGCAGCGCTTACAAACCTGTGCATGAAGTGGTGAGTTACAAATGACTAAGTGGGATATGTTCATTTATCCCATCGCAGTATAACGATGAACAACAAGGATTTCTTGTAAACATGCGATTAAAGCTAACAGTACCGAAACAGTAATTGCTGTTTATTTATTTTAGTGTGCACGTAGAAACTAAGCAGAATTTTTTTTAAAATACTCTCTTCAAAAACTTTTAATTTCAGAATTTGCAGAATCATCCACATATGTGTGGACAGGGCCTCACTCACTCATTCACTCTCACACACACACACACACACACACACACACACACACACACACACACACACACACACACACACACACACACACACACACACACTCTGTTCTGCCCCACCTGCTCCACCAGTTAATTTAAAAGTCTAATTACAAGCACTTGTGACCTTATGTTATAACAAAGAGTTTAAGTCCGACCCCTAAACTTATGCCAGAGTAAGACTTAGACTTAAACTTTTCATTCATTGCATTTTAACCCACAGTCATGGGTTTGTGTTGATATAAATTCTATCATACAAATCTCCATTAAATTTTAATATTAATGTAATTCATGTTTTTTTTTTTATTTGATTTTGACCTCTGGATTATTGTGCACATTTTTGCAGTAAACTAAATTAAGGGATTTCTTAATATAATTGAGATTTTGTACTCTAGATATTTACATTTCAAACCAGTTTCAAACATTTTTCAAACACAGCTGTAAAATGACTGAAATGTGCAGAAAAGACCCATCGGTGCTGAAAAAATAAGCTTTAATGTAGGTTCAGAAAAATGAAGATAAAGTGAAGTTCTTATTTTTGACCTGAAATGTCTAAAAATAAGATTTGTATCCAGACTTTTCAGATCATTGTTGTTTGTATGAAGTAATCTGATAGTTTAAAGTTTGATGTTTTTCCAACATTAACACAGAATATGAAGTTTGGCTGATAAGCAAAGATTGGGATCAAACTTTTAAAAAGACAAAGACTGAACCTTTAGGGTGTGTTCCATATTCAGACCATCTGTTGTGTAAGAAAAGGTTTCTGCACACTTTTAAAATCAATTTGAGGACTTTTTAAGACCCATAAAGAGCAGAATTAAGACAATGTTTTTAAGACATTGGTGAAAAATCAACTTTTTATGACCCTCACTTTTAAAAACCCTGTTAAGGACTTTCTTTGATTTTTGAGAATCCATGGAAACCCTGTAATACTGACAAAAGGGACAAAATGTAAAATCAGCTGTTTTTGTTAACTGATGAAATTCTACCTTTGAGTGATACACTGAGTTAGATCTGAGTCTTTGCAGGACATTCATCTAAGGTAGTGTTGAACTAAATATACTCTGATAATGGGGTAAAATATTGTAGACATAATTTCGTATTAACTCAGATTTTTTGAGTGCAGTTTTTCTTTTTCTTTTGAATTTTGATTTTTTTTTTTCCATAAAGTTTGTTGTTTCCCATGATTGTATGTAAAGATAGATAAAAAATGTACTAAACATACTGTAATGCAACTTATTTCAAGGATGCACTGACTAGACTTCACGGTGTGTAAGGAAAAGTTTCACCAGACTGTCAGACAACTTAATTTGCACAAAATTTTTCACAGTTTAAGTATTAGCACAGAGAAATCTGTGAAACATTGCAAAAGAAAAAAAAAAAAGGTCTTATTTCTGATAAATCTTCTTCCACCACGTCAAAGCTGATCTTACCTGAGATTTCAGTCTTGTCTTTGCACCGTCTCTCCGTGTCCTCTGCAGAAACACCCTGCTGTCCATAATCCACACACACACTGGTCGGGTCCTCACCGTCCAGACTCCGGTTCGTGCTGCACAGATTCGCTCCCCCTGAGCACAGTTCAGGAGCCTCGAGCGGCGGTAGACAGACACCATGTCGGCCATTGGCCGAAGGTACCTGCAAAGGGACGGGCCAAGTGGGTGGGGGCTGCTGGGACAGGTGACCTCTGTGGGATGAGGTGTTGAACACACTACTGTCATCTCCTGCAGAGAAGCTGCAGGGGGGCGAGGAGCTTGGAAGGTCCAGGTAGGAGATGTGGTCACGGCCGTGCAGGGTCAGAGGTGAGGAGGTGATGCCAGCGTGCAGACCCTGAGAGGGGGGGCTGCGGAGGCAGCTGAACAGAGAGTGATCCATGATGTATGGAGTCCTCCAAACCCCCCAAACCTGCGTGAAGGGACCAAACCAAAACTCCCAAAGAGACGAGAAAGACGAGAGTCAGGGATGTGGGCCTCGTTGGTCCTGGCTCTCCTCTGCAGCCCCTCAGACCTCCAGAACTCCCCTCCAAACCCCCTCCGAACCCAAAAGAAGCCGGCTGAAGGAGGGCAGAGATGTTGGTGTTGAAAGAAGAGGCCTCTGGTAATCTAGAGCTCACAGACGGCGGCCGGGCCGGCAGTGGGTAAACACTGAGAGACGGAGGAGGATCTCAGATGTCAGAGAGGACCAGGACCAGTGAGGAGGGAGACAGGGCGTCCAGAGAAGTGGTGCTGGAGGGGGAGGGAGTGGGAGAGGGAGACGGCAGGGGTGGGTGTTATATATAGGCTGTAACCTGAGAGGTAGGCCGGCTCTCTGGCTCTCTGCTGCTGACCGCATACATGTGATCATCATCCAAAGTGCAGCGCACCCTAAATCTGAAGCGTCCTGCCGCCTGGCCTCAGGAAAAAGTGGGAAATTTATTTTGGAGCCCGGCAGTTTGACCCGTCGGAGCTTTTCTAGGAACCGACCGTCTGCATCAGATGCTCGTTTTCGGATGTGGAGCTGAGAGAGTCCGGAAATGTGGTCTGTTCAGCTGCAGATGTTCAGATGTAGGTTAAAAAAGACACCAAACTGCCTCTGAAAGTCTGTTTGGGGGAATTATTGCAAACACAGCTGAGGTATTTTTAAGGTCTAAACTACAACGTCTCTGATACATGCTGGACAAAGGTCAACATCAGCAACGAGTGGAAGAATTTCACAGTATTCACAGTGAAGACAAAAAGACTTTGATTTGGGTCAGATAGAAGAAGATGCACCTAAAATCTGACTGACATGAAACCTGAGACCTGTTTTCAATATTTGATGTTAGTGTTACAGATCTGTACTTTACCAAACCAGACTCAAATCATGATCTGTTCTCCAATCAGTAAAACTGAGGAGTGATTAATTTACACACAAGCACCAACTGAGCAGAGAGAGGGGCATGCATCCCACACTCCATCCAGTAGGTGGTGCAAGCTGACCTGCCTGGAGTCATATCAGCTTTGAACCATGAACAATGCTGCCGTCTCCACAGGTGAAAGCTTCTGCTGTGGTATGAGCCTGAAAGAGGACTCTGGATGACTTGTCGTGTTTGAATGTGGGTCAGTGAACGGCCATATTTGTTCTGAATGGAAGTTATTAAAAAGAGGACGGGACATGACAGCGTGTTCAAGGTTAGGGTCAAAAGAGAGGAACTTTGTCAGCTATTTCTGCGCCGAACCCTAAACCTGGACTATGTGAGTGTGTGAGCCAGATCTGGTGGTCCGGTTTAAAGTCCCACAGCACAAACAGTCTGTTGATCCAACAATTAGGATCATTAGCAGCTCTGTAAAGCAATCCCTTTGTGAGTCCCTGAGTGAGTGTGTGTGTGTGTGTGTGTGTGTGTGTGTGTGTGTGTGTGTGTGTGTGTGTGTGTGTGTGTGTGTGTGTGTGTGTGTGTGTGTGTGTGTGCGCACGCACCCTGAGGCTCCAGTAATACCTCCACTCTAATTTGACAGCTCCCACAGGAGGGAGGAAGTTTTTCACAAATGACTTCACTTCATCCTGCAGGTATTATCGTGTGTGTGTGTGTGTGTGTGTGTGTGTGTGTGTGTGTGTGTGTGTGTGTGTGTGTGTGTGTATGAGAGAGAGAGAGAGAGTTCAAGGTTTATTTCTATATTTTCACTCTGACTGAAGTTTCCCTCCTTTACACTTTACAGAGCGGTGCGACACAAACCAGATGTGTAATGAAAGTTCAAAGCAGCCGCAGCTCGACCATCTTCGTTTAAACCAGTCTAATGTTAACACATATTGAGAGACTGTGTGAGCTAATAGTTGAACAGTTTCAGAATAATGTCCCTGAGTGTCAAATGTGAAAGATTGAGTGGATTTTATCATCTAGATTACATATTTCATTACAAGATTCAGAGAATCTAGAAAAATTTCTGTACAAAAGGGATGTGGACTAAAACCAAAACTGGATGGTCCTGATCCTCAGGCAGCACTGCATTAAAAACAGACATGACTCTGGAGTGGAAATCACTGCATGGACAAATGAGGTTAAAACTGAACCATGAACTAAAACTGAAAAGGAGAGGGACCAGTAGTCTTGTAACAAGTGCAGTTTTTTGACCAAACTGAGATTTTAAGATTTTAAAAAAGGGAATATTTTCTGTTTAAACATAAAAAATTGACAAGAAAAAAAAGCAGAAACAAATATAAAAGTGGCTGAGTAAAACACACAAAAAAGTGGCCCAATAAATGAAATTGATCAAAGAAAAATAATACATTGACTAAATAAAATAAATAATACTGACTCTGAAAAGTAAAAAAAAATATCCAATTCTTAAATGCAATAAAAGTTGACTAAATTAAAAAAAATATTAATATAGTTAATAGAAAAGAACAGAATGAATAATATAAATTTAACATTAGAAAAAAAATTAACATTAGATATACAGTTAATAAATGAACTGAAGCAAAAGTGTAAAATTAATTACAAAAATGAAAAACAGGTATGAGAAAACAGTGATTCTCTCAATGAAATGAATAATATTGACATTATTTTATTGTCTTATCAAATAAACACCTGCTCTTTGAACAGATGGTCTCTGAATCAGTGAATCAAAATAATTTTATATCAAATCAAAGAAAAAAGATATTTTCAGGGAACTCTGAAATTATTTCTGTGAAATCAGAAACTTTCAGATAATTGATCAGTTATCTGAAAGTTTTTGTAAGCTCTAAGTTTTCTTACTATTTTCTTGTAGTTTTGCATTTCTTATGTTTTTGTTGTTTCAGTGTTTAATTATTCATTTAAGATGTAAAGGTGATGATCGCTGATTTATGAAGGACACGCCACCCCCTGCTGGTCATAAGTAAATACTACAGCAGTTTAGCCAGAGTCAGCTGGAGATGATCTTCACTGTTTCTCACCTTTGCACAGAAATGTATCTTTGTTTTACAGAGAATCAAAAGGTTGAATTCTCAGTTATTAAGCTGTAGTTTTTTTTAAGCACTTCAAATTTATTAAAAAAAAATTAACATCAACAAACCAAATGATCAAAACTTAAACAGATTTAGTGCATGAAGTTGTTCTAACGGAGGAAATAAGGTGACAAAGTTTTCTTGTAAGTCTCACACCAGATAAGCTCTGTGGGGGTCATCATTCAGTCTTCCTGTAGTGAGCAGATTCAGCCTTTAGGTGGAGACAAACATCCTTTAGTGTCCTCCCCAATAACTCCCCACAATAATGAGTCACACTGATGTTCCTAAGCCACACAAACACTAACACCCTTACATACATCTGAAATATTAGACAGGTTATCAGTGAGCCTTCCTGCTTAAAGATTCAGAGTTTTACATCTTCATTCAAACTCTGAGGGATTACATTTATTTATGTAATTTCAGAACTTTTTATGTCCATAAGTATGTTTAAAGTATTTCTCAAAATTGTTAAAGTATATGTTTTTATATGTTAATACACTAACATCACATATGGACATTATAAACAACTTTTAAGCCAAATTCAAAAATATGGACTCAGAGGAGTGAACCCCAAGGTTCAGTGTTGGAGCCACTGTCATTTGTTTTGACAACATGTGGTGTAACCAGTACATTAAAACGGTTTTATTTGTTTTATTTGCAGATGACACTTTAACTCTGCAGTGAGGACTCAGGAAAACTGATGGATTCTGTGGAGAGATTGAGTTAATGTAAGTGAAAAGTTGGTTTGCTTTAATTGATACTGAATTTAGGCTTAGCTAGAATTATATTAAATAGGAATAGTTTAAAAAAATCTAAAGGCCCAAAAACTGTGTCACAAGTCATTGGCTGCAGCCTTGGAGGGCCACATTTGATGACTGATACTTTTACTGTGTCACCAAGTCTGCAGCATCAGTGTGAACCACTGTGATGTGATTCTTTGCTTGCCAATACAAATGACATGATGGACTCTGAAACTGCAGTGTTAAATTAAAGTATTAATATTAAATCAGTAGTAAATCATACAAATGTCATTAACAACAGGCATCAAAATTTTTAAATGATATTTGAAATGCTGGTGATTAAGTTAAATGACTTGTTAGTGAGCCCTCTGTCGCTAAGTGACAGGAGAACTGATGATGTCCTCGTTATGGTAGTAAGTAAGGTATAATAAGCACGCAGTCCTTCTGTTACTGAACGGGTCCATAGAAAAAATGTGGCATTAGCTGCAAAGGTGATGTGGGTGCTTTATTTACAGATATCTACCAGAAAGATCAGTTAAGGATTCGTCAAGTGCTTCTAGATAAGGAACTACAAGCAGTTGTCAATCTGGTCCGGCGTAATAAGCTTGTTCTTAATTCGTCTAAAACAAAGAGCATTGTTATTGGGTCAAATTTTAAATTGAAAGACAAACTACAGTTAAACCTATCAATTAAAGATGTGTCCATTGAACAAGTTGAAGATGTTGAACACCTTGGTGTGGAATTAGACAGCAGACTGAAGTGGTCAAAGCAGATTAAGAAAACTGTTGGAGTTATAGGGAGAAGTCTGGCAATAATAAAAAGATGTGCTAAATTTCTACATCAGTACCGTATCTCCAGAGTTATACAAACATTAGTACTTACTCACTTGGACTTCTGTCCATCTTTGTGGTCAAGAGCATCAAGCACAGATTTAGAAAAATTACAACTAGTCCAGACCAGAGCTGCAAGACTAGCACTCAACTGTGATAGAAGAACTAACATCCACAAAATGCACATGACATCAGGCTGGTCATTGGTGAAAGAGAGGATTACTGTGTCTCTGCTTTCCTTCTTCAGATAAATTTTAGTATATAAAAGGCCAAGTGTTTTGTTTAATCAATTGCTGTTCAGTTGTAATGGTCATAATTTCTACACAAGGCATGCACCAAATGGTTATTTCACACTTCCACTCACCATACTAACTCTGGGCAGCGTACTGTCAGGTTCAGAGGTAAGAACATATGGAATAGTCTTTTATCTGTCATTACAAGGTTAACCAGTAAACATGTGTTTGAAAAGAAGGTATACCAATATCTAATAATCCAGACTCACTGAAATAAGAAACAGAACACCTAAACTAGGCTGTGACAACATACAGTACATGCAAAGGGGATTTTGATTACTAGTACATTTATCTTGGCCTTTATTGGTGTTTGTTGTAATTGGAAATTTAATGTCATCATAAATCTTGTTTAATTATGATTTTAACATTTAATTCTCCTGTTTGGACCTTTATCATTTTAATGTATACAAATGCTTACTGCCTTCTTGTGGACCCCGGGAAGAGTAGCTGCTAACTAGGTAGTAGATAATGGGGATCCAAATAAATAAATAAAATAGAGATGAGCGTATGATACCGAAGCTCTAAAGCTTAATGAACCACAAAGCTCCACTCTGAAGAGCTGAAGCTCACATGACTGATTTCTGAAGCTTCAGATGTCAAAAACTCGTCAATCAGTGTGATTATATAGACAGTCTCATTAAAACTGTGATTGGTCAAAGATAATAAGACAGTCGGGCTCTAATTCAACTGACAATCATGTTACATTTAACAGCTGCAAATACATGAAATAAATATCAGAGCCTTGTGATTATGCACAGATGATTAATTATTCACACTAGACTTGCACTTAAGTGTGAGTAGGGCACTTGTAATATAATATTATAAGGCGGCTCCTTTGAACGGGACACGTTCATGAAAAGAAACCACACTAAGGTGTTTTTTTACCGTATTTACAGCAGTGAAAGTTAAATTTTTCTCAAAGCTCAGAGTTCATGAGTTGTGGCATGAGTGATTTCAATAACTGCAGTTTCCCCTGAATACAAGCACTTTTAGGTAGCTGACTGTGTCTTTCAGAGAGGCTAAAGTGAGGCGCTGCGGCTCGTACAGGGAAGTTTGATCAGCCACGTAACAGAAATAATCTTACTGAAGCTGCTTTGGTGTACAGGCAGTTTTATTTTTTTTTTATTTAACCTTTATTTAACCAGGTTTGTCCCATTGAGATCTGAGGATCTCATTTGCAAAGGAGACCTGACCAAGAATGGCAGTTACAACAAACAGTCACACAGACGCAACACAGAATAAAAATGTGAGGAAACATCAGTTAAAACAGAGACATTCTGAGAGTTTGTACTCCAGCCTTTTAACTGCCGATTTAAAAACAGTCAAAGACACCAAGTTTTAAAAGTTTTAAAGGCAGTTTGCCGTAAAAAGCAGTTTGAGTCTACTAAAAAGAAGAGCAAATATGACCAGATACAGAAAAACACATGTAGATGAGAGGATGTGTGTTGAGTATTACTCAAATTGGATCCCAAAAAGCAGAGGTGGAGGCAGGAAGATCTCACAAGCAAAGGTTTATTAACAACAAAAAGTTAAACAGGCGGTGGAGGCAGGGCTCTGGCTGGTTACGGCAAAGAATCTTAGAAGCTGCTGCTACAACAGCACACTGAAGATCCTGAGCACAGGAGAGGAAACAGGTAAAACAAAATCTGTTCACCTTAACCCAGAATTATCACAATCAGGGGAATCCACCCGGATTAAAATGACATTATTTTGGTGTTTAAATTAATAATTTTATGATAGTTTCTCAGCATATGGAATATTGTTGTTGACCAAAAAAAGAGTTACAGTTTAGACCTTTAAACAGCCTAATTTAGTCCCACCACAGTGCAGTCCAGCTGAATCCACATCAAATCAAAGTTCTCAGAGTCTTCAAAACAAACCTGGATGATGTGGTTAGAGATCGAGTTTCTCGGTCTTATAAACAGCTCAATCAGACTCAAACTGGCCGAAGCGGTCTTAGCGTGCTCAAGAGTTCACACACCATAAAAGTGATTGTAATCATCTTTAGTGAACTTTTATTGTCTGTTGTTTTGGTGCATATTGCTCTAAATCAACCAGGAGAGGACTCAGTATTAAGGAGCTGAGAGGGTCCACATCACCATGTATTGTAATGGACGTGGACGTTCTTCTGTTCATAACTTGATTCTTGATTCCTGCTTGTAAACAGAGACAAGGGCGGAAGAAAATCGCCTAATAGAGCTTTAATCATAGCTGGTACAGAACTCTTAATGGACAAAGGAGCTCTGTTCTAAGTCAGAGGAGGTGTATAGGATAATATTTGCAGGAGTAATCTGTGCATATAAGAAAAACTGAAAATTCTGAAAGCTGAAAGTCCAAACCAAAACTAAAGACTTAACCCTGGATTAAATGTAACATCTCGTCTGGATTCGTCTACTTATGTGCTAAATCACCTCATTTATAAAGTGATTCTGAACTTTCTCTCATCTTATGGATGCTTTGATCTTCACTCTGTGACTTTCTGTCACTTCCTCTCCCCAAAACTAGTCTTAAAAACTGTGAAAAGAGTTTTAGATCCTCTGGTCCTGTAGACCAGAGTCTCCTGGGTCTGATAGATCTGCTCTCTGAGTGTTTTAAAGCAGACTGAAGATGCATCAGGCTGGAAATGATCTGAATGATTTTCTGCTGTATGACTGAGGACCAATGAGTTTGGTCTAGACCTGCTCTTTTGGAAAGCATCTTGGGATAATGACTGTTGATGATTTTGCGCCAAGTAAGTAAAGATTGATTGACTGACTAATTGAGACGTCAACGCTGGTTTTGTTATATGTTGTTTGTAACTTTGTTGGGATTTACTGCTGCTCGTCTTCTCTATTGTAAAAGCTATCTTGTAAGTCAGTGAGAATTTCCTGGTTAAACAAAATTAAACACATTAATAAAGACTTTATCATAAAGCCAAAGATCTTCAGTCACAAAGTTAAATTTGGGTTTCCTTTCCTGTCCGCGGAGGTCAGTCCGTTCAAAAACACTCTGTGAGTTGTGGGATTGAGATGAAAAGTAAAGTTTAATTTCCTTTTACACTCAAAAATGACGACTTAAGGAAGTTATTGTTTTAATGAAGTTTTTTGTTAAAAAAGTTTTTATGATGCACAAAAACTGGGCTGACTTTTAAAAGCTCCTGTGAGGATTTTTTTTAAAATTACAGACTGAAATTCAAATCGATGCCTTTTTATGATATAAACTAGTAAATAAGACCATCAGCAGCAAAACTGACAGTTTTTAATATATAATTTTAATGTCTAAACCTGAAGTGAGGGGGTTGGGTCGGTGTCAGGTGAGCATCCGTAGAAACAACCGGTTTTTAGATTTTTAACATAAAATATTCACAATAAATGATAGGCGTGACCGTCAAAAATCAGCTGACATGATAACACTGCTTTGACCACAGGGGGCGCCATATCTGACATGAACCAAAGTTGTTCACAGATTAGAGAAATTTGAGATTCTTTTTTTTAAATGGGATGATCCGTATCAATGAACATTTACATGTGAATACATGAGGTTCTAGCCGAATGACTATTTCCATTCTCAGTCCCATTAGCAGATTGGTGTCAACACATAAAACAAAAACGAACATCAGTGTTGGAATAAAACACAGGGACGAGTAGCATGCTTAAAACCGTAGACAACATTAACGACATACAGTCAAAAATAAAACGAGCCAGAGTTGGGGGCCATGGTGATTATACACAGTGAATTATAAAGTGCTGGGGTGCAAATTGAAGTGCCACAGTGCTAAAGTTCAGGGTGCTATCTGCCTGGAAGCTCAGGTCCTCTTTAGGAGCTGTAAATCTGATGTGTTGAAACATACAGGACCACCTGTCATGTATGTTTATATATCAGTGTGTTTGTTTTATGTCCTTTTTTTGTCCAATAATATCGGCCAGTTATGCTGTATGATCCTGGACTGTATAAACTCATGGTGTCACATACTGTATGCCCATGCGGCCATATTGCTGCATAAATGTACAGATGTAATCCTCTGCCCTCAAAGATCCTTTATTTTTTCAGTTTCCAGGTGACTAATCTGTGGTGTTACCTGCTTTAATGCTGTATTACAGCTATAGAATGTCTCTTAAATTCAGGGTGATCCAGTCTGACAGCAACGCTCGGATAAATTCATGCATGTTAATGATAAAATGTGTCCGCCAGCCCGGCTGTGAGCAGACTGTCCGGCTCAGGCCACAGCTGGTCCATCAGAGGCCGGAGGTTTAAGGTCAAGGAGGCGGGGCAGAGCGTCCGGCCAGCAGCTCTCTGTTTAAATGAATATCAATCAACCTCGCAGGCCGAGCCGCCACCCCCCCTTCCTCACTCTGGGGCTGTGATTGGTCCAGAGGAGACCAACCTGCAGCGGCCGGTGAAAGCTGCTCCATCAGTGTCCATTCTCTGACAACAATGAGAGTGAATCTGTAATGAGCCCATCCAGGCCGAGGTGTCCTCCTCTCATTATTCTCCCAGTGGCTTTGGACATGACCGGCAGCCTTCTGTGGTTCAACGCTGGACCAGGAAGGACAGATAGAGACATGATTTAAACAGAAAATAAAACAAAATTAGCTTTATCACCAAAGAAAACACAAGGAGAGGACAGTGGAGAAGAGCTTTTTCCAGTTGGATTACTTTTTGATTTTTGATTTTTGAGAAGTCTGAAGGTACAAAGCTTTGACGAAGAGGAGCTGGAGTAAAGAAAACCAAAATGAAACCAAGAATCCTGCTCACCTGCCTGGCAGCTGTCCTCTCTTTGAGTGAGTATACCTTCAAGTCAGGTTGTTTTTAGAGAAGTTTAGCTGTTTCACAGAGGTGAGGATGGGAGCTGATGGGAACTTTGCAGAGAGCAGAGGATGCTTCTGCAGCTCCTGCAACTCCTCCAGCCCCTCCAGCTCCTGCTGCTCCTGCAGCTTTGACTTTATGTAAACCAGCAGATACCTGAGTTCAGCTAGATTATGTATAAAGTTTTAGATATTTATCCTAAATCCTGAATGTTGTTGATGTAGCTTCCCCCTCATGATCTGTCAGTAAGTTTGATAAGATCTTGCATTGTGTAAGATTTTTTATTTCTGTATTTTAAAGAACTGAAACTGTCCTGCAGCAGTGAAATGAGCCTCTGTGCTGTTTTTATAAATACAAATAGAAGTTTTACCAACAAGGACTGAATGAATTTCTTAAAGCTTCAGTGAGAATCTGCATGAATGTGTTTGACCTCCTCTGCTCTCATGTGAAAATTTGCACAAAATGCTTGAAGTGATGGAAAATCTCAGTGTGAGCTCCACACTGAAGTTGGATTTGATTAATTTAATACAGAAATTCACAAAAACTCCTGAGAACACTTGCAATCAAATGCTGTGGCCTTAATGGAGAACCTGACACACATTATAGTGCACCACTCTTGGTTTAATAATGCTGCTTTTATGTGTGTAAGCATTCTTAAAGGTGCATCTAAATCTGTTTTGATGAAAAACTGCAGAACTGTTTTTGATCATCATCATTATACTGGCTGCTTGTTGAGGATGTTAGATGTGAAAACAGGCCCTCTCATGATCCACAGAGTCTAAAACTTTGGTGCAAATCAAGTGTTTTGGGGGAAAAGAGTGCCTGCTTTATCTTTTATTTGCAATTCCAGGTTTAACAAATAAAAATGAAATCATGAATAGAAGCTCCTATTGAAATTTGCATGCATGTGAAGTGACCAATACTGATGTCCTGCACAAATTTGCTCAATATGCAAACTCTTAAAAGACCATAATATCTAAATGTGACAAGCAGGTTGCACTTAAACTGAGAATCAGACTTTTTTCATGTGAAAACTCTCAGAGAAAGAATCAGAAACACCAAATGGAGCAAAATAAGGACAATGTCCCTTTAATAGGATCAGAAAGAGTCCTCCATTATAAAAATTCACAAGTGCAAACTTTGAAATGCACATTTTGAAGGACTGCTTCATTTTCCACAGCAGAAACCTTAAATGTTATTCACCTCATTCCTCCTCACTGGTGGCCCAAGTTTACTACCAAGGGCCTTTGTCCATTTCTGCATATGATTGATTTCCACCAAAAAATCACAGAAACACAAACTCAGACTCACCAAAAATATCAGAAACAGCACAAACTGAGCAGCAGATCGCACAAAAACACTGACAGTGATACATTTTTTACAGAAAAAAAAATCTTGCAAGTCCTGCAGGCAGATTTTGAGGCCTTCGTGTAGGTGAACTTTAAAACAAGAAGATGACACTGTTCTTGATGATAAATCTTTAATACAAACTCTAATATTATATAGAGACAAATAAAGAAGATTAAATGCAAAAGATTGTTATTGTGGTTTTAATCTGTTCTTGCAGAAACTCTTTAATTTATGCAAATTCTGCAGCTATTGTGTCACTTTGTTCCCACCAAACTGAGGAAGAGGAGAACACTGAGAGGATGATCATGTGGGGGATGAAGCGCAGAGGGATCTTTCCTACAATATAAGTCCAACAGTAACATTTTACGAGTGTTTCCCAGTAGTTATCAAAATCTAAAAATTCTTCTCAGAGACATTAGCAGGTTAACATATATTCAAAATTACAAGAAAACTAAAGTGCAAGTTTCCCTCAGAGTGACGAGTTTAAAGCTGGACTTCTGATTGTTTTTACATACAAGGAAATTTTGGTGTTTTTTGGTCTATTTTGGACAAAAATAGTGTTTTCTCCTCAAAAATTCCTCTTTATTATCTGTGCTCATTTGTTCAAATGGTCTCAGATCCCAGCAGTGAGAGAAAATTAAAAGCCTTTAAATCAAAGTGACAATTATAGATGAATACAGAAATTTAAAACTAGAACTGAAAGTTTTGCTAAAGAACAAATATTTTATGAAATCATACAATTTTGCACAAGGGGGGGTCAGTGCAGACGGCGTGGGTGTCTCCGACCAGAGCAAGAGGTGAGTGTCACTGACCTCTGACCTTTAGGAGGGGGGCAGGGCTCCGGTCAGCACTGCAGTCTGTGGAGGGGGTGCAGAAACACAATAGACGCCCCCTCGTCCCGGGCCAGCAGTGCCCTGACCCTCACACCCTCATCTCCATAACACTGCACCCAGATTGAGAGCTTATTAAAGATATCTGTGTGGAGGTAATCCCCCCTACAGCTGCCCATGACCGTGTCCTCACAGCCCCCCACCCTCGGTCATAGCTCCTCACCCACTCCCACAGCAGAAACACCCCACGGCTCGGTTCATGGCAGGACACAAAGGGGGCCTGAGGTGGTCCAGGTTTCCTACAGAGCGAAGAGAAAGAGGCTAACATCTCAATCTGTACAGCGTTTAGGCTAATGCTAACAGGATTGAAGCGAGTAAAGGTGCGATTACGAGGCTGTAGTTCTCCATCCAATCATGAGCTGACGTTATGAGGCGTAAAGAAACAGGCCCTAAACTGTCAGCCGATCAGCTCTCAGGACAACTCAATATTCACCTGGATCAGTTCTCTTGTGTTTAACCAGTTCAGTTAAAACTGGTGGTTTAGCTTGTTAGCTTGTTTTGGTGTCTCATACAAAAAAGGTGTAGACCTTTTTCAGGTACCCACATATACCCCTGTGATCTGTTTCAAGATCCCCTTTAACATCTGTGTCATAGTGCATTAAGTCTCACTCATTTTGCCTCTTTGGTGTCCAATCAGGTACCCTTTAGCACCTGTACCAGGGTACTGTTACAACTGTTTTAATGTACCCTTGGTATATTTTTAAGTGTTTCTTCAACATCTGGGTCACAGTATCTCCAGAGTATGAGTTAATGTACCTGTGGTGTTTGTTTCCAGGTACCCATTAGCAACCAGGACAAGGGCTAGCCCCTCTGTGTTAAGGTACACTCATCAGCTTCTGCTGTAAGATAGCTTTAGATTGTGTTTCAGGTACCTTTCACCGTTGCTCCGAGTGGCTTTTACACCAATAGTTTTCTGTAGTTTTTGATTTGAAGCATCCTTTAGTTACCATTTCAGGATGTTGTCCACATCAGTTTTTTTTAGCTCTTGTTTGTTTGAAGGTAACTTTAGCTTCTGTTTCAAGACACTTAAGAGCTCCTGTTTGCAGAAATCTTGTTACTGTTTTAGGCTCCCTGTCAAGGTACCCAGAGATGATCAAAACCTGCATCTTTTATTTCAAGGTTCCTTCCATTGCAGTTTAAGACCTACAACATTATTCATTATCTATTTTAGTAGCTCTGGTTTGTTTTAGGGTATCTTTCGTGTCTGTTTTAAGGTACCCACAAGCTTTAGTTTACAGTCACTTAAACCGTTTTCTGCCCATTTATTCTGGAAATTTCAGACTTGTACATTTCAACTGGTGAACTCATTAGTCTAAGACGATCTTAATCTAATGCATACAAACTCTTACAGTGATTTTCCCCTTATATAAGTGTAGTGTAGTGATTCGTCCTGCGATGTGTTCACTGATCCTGCAGCAGCAGATTAGGTGCACAGTGATGAGCTCTCACCTGTCAGACTCGTGGCTCCACCTGGCTGCTTGTGTCTCTTCAGAGTGTTTTTAAGCCCTCAGTGTCCAGCCAGGTTTCCCTGTGTTAATGAGGTTTCTAAAATAAGGTTCTCTCCAGCCTCTCATTTGGCTGACACCTCTCTGATTAAAGCTGCAGGACAAACAAAGAGCCCTCCTCTCCATCACATTTCACATTATTGCCTATTGATCCACCTGGGTAGCTGATGGGACCTTTTTTTTTTAAATCTGCACTGACCAATACAAACCCTCCTACTGATGCAGATGGGACGTCCTGGGACCCTGGGGCCTGGAGGGCCAATATCAGTTAGTGCATAAGGGAGCATGTTATCAATAGGTCAGAGACCTGGTCCTCGATAAATCCAGACTAAATGTGATCAGAAAAATAGACCCTGAGTCTTTGTAATCTGGTGCTTTTCAGGTCCAACATCTTTGAAATTCAGATTTGAGTTCAGGGCTGTCAAATACCAATTTATGCTTTTCATAGATTCAAACAGAAGTGCCAAATAGACACTGCTCAATAAAGTTCATTTAGACTGAGGAAGACGAACAAAGTAAACAAATACTGAAATCTGAGTGAGAGTGAACTATATTATATCTCACGGTCAAAAATATTTAACAGGGTAAAAGAAACTGTAAAAGCTCCAACTTCAGAAGTGTTTTTGTCTCGTTTCTAGGGAAAAAAAAGTCGCATTAAACTCCATTTAAGTCATATTAAGCTGACGTACAGAAAAATACTGATTTTAAGATATTTACAACCTTCATAGATTTTAAGGAATGAAAATAATGTGCTGGTGGAATCAGATTCATTGACTTCTGATGAAATGAGAGTCATTTTAATAAAGCAACCTTGGTCTTATCTTTGGTGTTTAATACCTTGAGATGAGACATTTTTGTCTTAAATCAATCCCAGTGAGACAATTAAACTTTAAATGAGATAGAAACACTTGCTAAGATTTGAGTTTTTTGCAGTCAGGGACAAATACACCATTTCATGTTCTCTTGACCAACCAGTATTCCACCAATATACGACCAGTATTGGTTTCGCTTTAAATTGGCGTTCTGCAGCTATGAGTGTTATTGTACGAGACAGATTAATCGTTTCAACATTGAAAGAGCCAAAGCACTTAAATCTGCAGTTATTGTTACCAAAACAGCATTAGTACAATAAACAACCCACTGATCCCAAGTTTTGGAAAAAATCTGATTTAACTTTGTCAAACTTAAAAACCAAGACTCCCTTCTCAGAAAAACAGGAAGTCTTTAATAAACTTAGTTTTCCAAAATAAAACACTCAAAACATACAGTATGTGCTCACATTTCATCTAAACTTCTGAAAGCACCAGCTGACTAAAGCCTGTCCCTGTTCACTCTGAGTTATGGACACTCTTGAGTTTTTATCTCAGAAACACTCAGAGTTTAGACAGTGAACTTGGCACATGACACTTAAAACTGACCATCAGTTAGCTTAAACAAAAGACCCCTGAGGACCCTCCAAAGAGCTGCATGTTTGTGTAAGACTCCCCCCTCTGAGGGAGGAGGGTTTTACTCCCATTAAAGGACAAAGGAGTAAGCCCTGAGGCGATGGGTTTAATGCCTGTCCGTGTCCGACCATCCTCATCTTTAACTGCACAGTCATCCTCCTCTGAAACTGAGATTATGAGGAAGAAGGAAACAAGGAAATAGGAGACATTAGAAAGCCAACCACTGGAGCTCACTTTGCAGCACATTTTGCTCACTTCTAATACATGCTCTGATTTCATAATATGCAAATTAAACATTTGCATTCAGTACTTATCTGCAGAAATGTGCATAAAAAATCAAATGCATCAATCTTTCATTATTAAACGGTGAAGCTTTATTTCACCAAACCTTAAACTCTGCAGAAGATTATCATTGCATACTCTCATTTTCACTCTGCTGTCGTGTCCAACCTTCCCTCACTGCCTTTCACACGGAGCTGGAGGGGATAAAGGAGAAATAAATTAATGGAAGAACTTGTATATGGTGATCAGACCCCTTTCTCTTTTTCCATCCCTTTTTATGGGGGGTGGACAGAAATCTGTGAAGTTCAGGGCCAACAAACAATAGCAGTGAAGGGCTGAGAGAGGAGCTCCGGCTGGACACAGGCAACCCCCACACCCATCCATCCTCCTTACCCATGACTCTCTCATGACCCCTGAGGGGCTCGGGGTGATAGTGGGGGGTTGCTGGACAACCCACCCTCCTCCAAAAATCTCATTATGGTCAGATCCCTATATTGAAAACGGTCCAATCTGGAATGCTATGCACTTAATCAAACCACATGCAGGTTTAGCTTGCAGTGAGAGCATTAAGGAGCCAGGAGAGGCTTTAAAAGTTGTTATCTTACACCCTTCACTCTCTGTGTTACCCTCCTTTTATTCTGTCAGGGTGAGACTTAATTGATTTGAGGTTTAAATCCTTCGACAAAGCAGCTGATTCAGCGTTAATACTGACATGTCCAAGTAGAAAACCTCAGAGGTTTACCTGAAAACTGCTTTGTAGTAGATACAAGTGCACAAAATGATCCAATCCATCCAAAGAAACCCCCTTTTACTGAAAACCCTGATGTATTTTGTGTCCATTTGACCTGGCTGTTTGTCAGGATTCTCTGTTTTTAAGCTGGGGCTACACAGTAGATAGATAGATAGTGAAATTAAAAGCTCCCTGGTGCAGTGATGTGCACCTTTACTCAGCTAAACCATCAAAAGTCATCACTGTTGCACCAAAAGTACTAGCTAGTTAAAGAAATGGTCAATATTTTACTGTTTTTGGACAAAAATGTTAATTGTGTGTCCAAAAAGCAGCACATCTGCGAAGTGCTGACCAATGGTAGCTACTCCAGTTAATATCTAATACTGTGATGTTTATTACTTGGATGTAAACAAGCACAGGTGACAAATGATCTGTTGGAGTTACATCGATCTGTGTTATGATCTCAAAATGTTGTCCGTAGGCCGAGTCTGGCTCAACTTCGATATAACCCCTCAGCATATGGTTGTGCTAGCCTAGAAGGTTGACTTTGGCTTCATTTTGCTGGTTTTAGAACAAGTTTCAAATGAGTGAGGGTTTGCAGTGGAGTCAAAAACAGTGTAGGTGATAGAGAGGCCTGAGTGGTTCAAATGCAAAGAGGTATATAACTGCATCGTCAGCAAACATGTTGGATTTTGCATTTAGAGTCAACAATTCAGACTGAGCATGTTAAACTATATTATTCCCAGCCCAAACACAGAAGGACTAAAGCTTTTCAGTGGAGTTTTGCCAAAGGCCAACTCTGTCACATGGTGTTCAATCATCTTTAAACTGATTTGTCAGATTGAAGATGATATGTTGAATGTCCTGTGTGTATGTCTCTATTTTTAAGAGTAAATTAAAGGGGAAATTATCTCCATCCACTTCCTGTTACAAGTCCACAGTTCGGTGCTGCATTATTTTACTGTGTCTGGAAAGCAGGCAGATATTAATGATGATCTGCAGCAGTGTTTTATGAATCCAGGGCTATGACATAACCCTGTTTGTGTAGACCCAGCTTACTAAAACTGCACCTCCATCATTTGAAGACCCTCCAGGCCTCACAGGTTGCCACACCATGTGTTCAATAACTGTGGCTGTCGAACCCTCTGCAAATCACCCCATGGGAGTCCTGAATTTCATTACCAGGCCTGAGGGAGGGCAGGCTCAGGGGGGGGTTTCAGGGCTCTATCAGCCTGTCCAGACGCAGCTGACCAGTGGACCCACAATCCTCTCTGCCGGCTGCATCTGCTGGGTGGAGATCTCTTATTAGACGGAGGGCAGATGCTCATTTCTAGATGTGACACATCAGTGAAGCCAGAGCATTAAGAGGAGGGGGCTGTTGTGTTGGATGTTCAGGCTTTGGGTTTGATCAGGACCACTCATGACCATAATCTGATGGGCTCTATAGAAACCTTAAAAACATCAACTGCACATAGAAGAAAGCACCAACCTCCTCATATCCAGAGGTGGTGCAGCTGAACACGGTCATGCTAAAACTGTCATCATTATGTAGAGTCAGGATTTCTAGTTACACTGATGTTTTTAAGGCCACCAGACAGAGTTCATGCTGGATCTCTACAAAGTGATATGAGGAGAATGGAGACGAGTATCTTCATGTTTAAAGACCCCTGGTGTCCCTAGTTTGGATGTTTTTGGTTGGACCATTTAGGCCAAAATCCAGTTCTGGAGTTACTGATCCAGAATTTCAAAGTCATTCAATGAATTTTCAATAAATGGTAATCACACATATGTAAGTGAAAATAATCCCAAAGTAAAGTTTATATTTCACTCCAAAGGATTCTCCATTCCTAAATTTTCAGTCCAATTTAAGCATCTGAGTTTCTAAAAGGAGCTGCAAAAATTCAGTCCCACTAAATTGTCCAGCTTCCCATCCGAATATTGTGACTCTTATAACGAATGAATCTGATGAGTCCAGAAATAAATGTATTACAGATATTACAAGGCAAAAATACAGACGAAATAAAGAAACCATCAATGACCTGCTCAGTTTTCAGAGAGAGATGTTATACTTTATCAGGTTTGCAGATTTTTGTACTCTCTGGAATTAACGTAGTTCTTGTTCTTGGATTAGACTCAAAGCTGGAGTTTTTCAGGTCAGTGTGGGTTATATTGAATGCGCTGACGTATTCTGACTGTAAACTAGGAAAAAATGTGAGTTTTTGGAGTTTGCTTGGTTCAGTTTATCTGATACTAGTGATCAATAATCCTGGCCTTCAAATCAACACCATATGATACAAAACAGAATATGATGATACAGAGGGAAATAATACAGTAGTATGTGACTGGATACCTGACAGACGATATATGTATATATGGTATATGAAAGAGTAGAATAAGGTGCTCTGGGTTGATTTTGGTAAATCTGTTGGGTCTACAGGCCTGATCGTACACTGGATTTAATAAAGATGGTTTGGTGGAATCACTGTGTCTTTCACTCTTGGCATGTTTCCTCTGATATTTTAAAGCTGTGGCTATGTAACCATGGTTACAGTCCACTAGGTTGGAGGCAAGAGGTTCAGAGATATGAATGAGTTTCTATCATCAGAGGAATCTGTGTTGATGTTTGAAGTGGATATAAAAATGGGATCTTGTTCTGTTTTCAGTAAGAAACCAAAGTAAATGGTGGATTTGACCATAATGTTAAAATATTGAAGCTTCAGCTGACCTTCAGGTTGGGACTGACCTTGAACAGAAAATGACTTTAGACAAAACAAAGTCAAGTTCAGCTGCAGGCTGCTGTGTATGATTCCTGAACGTCGGACAACAATAACAGTTGGACTGACGTCCAGATTTGCCTGAACAGATGCCAAACTCAGTGACACTGAGAAGTCATGGTGCAGGTTCAAGTGCAGCTGCAATTGTTCCTACTTCACAGCTGGGATGGAGAACAACCATCACCCGAGTTCAAGGTTCTTTCTTTGGGTGTGACGACATTAACACCAAAATAAGATAGAGGAGACGGGGAGTGTCACCAAGGTCAAGGCAAAGCGGGGACAGGGCGAGGAGGAGAGCTCTGGTGGCATGGGAAAGTCACCTCGGAGATGGATCTGAAAGGACCGGAGGAGATGGGAGGGGTGGTGGGATGCATAAGAAGGGGCAGATGGTGCCCTTGGGTGCAGGGCTGCTGGAGGGGGGTCGGTTTACAGAGGTTGCTTTGGGTTGGGAGCAAATAAGCATAGTCACAACAGCATTGTCACAATCGGCTGCTGCCTGAATGGAGCCGCTCCTAATTTGACCCCGCAGACCTCGCCTGTGTTCTTACGTATTGTTGTTGCCCTCTCTGGCTGGATGGCTCGCTGGCATTCAGCCTCTATTGTCGTCCATCTTCAGCAAAAGCATTACAGGCTGCAAAATCACATGCACCATTCATCAAATCTGGGGGTTTTGGTGTTGATGGAGGTTTTTGGAGAATTGTGGAAGGTTGTCTCGATGCTGGGTGTCCAACAGAGAAGCCTCCCTCTGGGCTATTGTCTCTGAAACCATAAGATGCTGCAGTAAAATGAGCTGAGCGGAATTTTCTATGATGATCCTCCATATATTTACTCCACTTTCCCACAGACACAGATTTATTGCATATGCATGTGAAAAAACTTGCAGTAATTCACAAGGAAAGCTGCAGAACTTTGGTAAGAAATAAAAAAGGGAGGTTCTCAAAGGTGAAGTTTGTAAACTTGAGATTCATTTTTACATACTCATGAAATTTAAGAAAAGTTCTGGTGTTGAAAATATGGTGTTTGAAATCATACAATAACTTTCAGAAAAATGCAGATGAAACATTCGTATGTCTCTAATCCGTCTCTTTCTCCCGTGTTCAGGCTGCTGTTTGGCTGCAGAGCTGTCCTTCCTGCTGGAGCCCAGCGACGTGATCGCCGTCAGGGATCGCCCGCTCATGCTGGACTGTCGGGTTCAGGGCGAGGAGCCCATCATGGTGACGTGGCGTAAAAACGGGGTCCCTCTACCCACCAGCCCGCGGGTTCGGGTGCTGGCAAACGGGACCCTTCTTATCCTCAACTTCCAGAAACGCAAAGATGGAAATGACGCAGACATGGGCGAGTACGACTGTGCCGCCCAAAACCGCTATGGCCTGCTGGTCAGCCGCAAGGCCAAAGTCCTTCTGGCGTGTAAGTAAAACCCAGAGTAAGACGATCATTGAAAACCTGTATCTGATAGAAAATAGAGCAGAGGAGTAACATCTTATTTAAGGACGGATATCCGCTCATCTTAGATTTGATCATCAAACCTTTAGTGACCTTTCTTCAAGTAACCAGAATCACTTTAACCCTTCGTTACCCAGAGTCTGTAAACCTGCACATTGAGTAGAGATGTCCCACAGAGCGTCCCTGCAGGTCTCCTTTTCTCTGTCAAAACATCTCTTAGTCTCAGTTATAAATGACGCTCCACACAGAGAACACCTCAGGACTGAACTCAGCAACAAGAGCCCCCCCTGGACCCTCAGACCCTCAGACCCCAGACCCTCACACCCTTTGATCCCCTGCTCGGCCCCTCACTAAAACACACACAGCTTCTCATTATGAAACAACCATAAATTATCCTGCATGCACATTACTGTACACAGATACACACACACACACACACACACACACCTGCACCACTGAAGAGAAATACCACTCAAACAAATAACACCAGGGGTTTATGGGTAATCCAGGAGAGTTATGGCTATCTGGAGGTGGTCCTACCTCAATGCAATGAGTTGCCATGGGGACGCTCTCTGGTTTGCAGACCCCTCCTCTTTGGTGTACACCCTTATTGATTATTGCTACCAGGTTATTAGGGAGCTTGTGTGGAAATCCTGGAGATGCTGATGCTGTTTTATGTTCCTCTAAAGCTTTCAGATCACGGACAAAAAAAATATGACAATCTGTAAGTCAGCAGCACAACTTTTAACAATAAACATCAGGTTTGATCAATTTATGTTTCTCAGAGCTTGAGGGACATAAAAACAGAAAATGTGATGAGCCAAATCATGCACACAAAAAGACATGCACAATAAAAAGAGTTGCATGGAAGTCTGTGCAAAACTGCACAAAAATGCAATAATTTAAAAAAAATGACAGGTTTTGATTAATGTACCGTATTTTTTGCACTATAAGGCGCACTTAAAATCCTTTTGGCTTGTCGGAGCACTGCAGCTACCGTAGCCTCGCGGAGTTATTGAATGAGTTAAATAAAGTTTGACTTATCTGACTGTTTTGTTTGGCTTAATGCGCTTTATAATCCAGTGCGCCTTATGTATGAAAATAGACGCGAATAGACACATTCATTGATGGTACGCCTCATAATCAGGTGCGCCTTATAGTGCGAAAAATATGGTACTGAATGTTGCTTTAAAACTTAAGGAACGAAGAGCAAAACTGCACAAGACCAAAAAATCTTCATGTACAGCAAAAATGGTCTCACTTAACTCTAATTTAAACAAAAACTGCGAAATATAACTGCCTCAACTTCACATATTTAAAGATTTAATATCAGGTCTTGTTTGTGCATATTGGTTAAAAATCTTTAAGAACATCTAATGGACAGACACATGCAGATAAAGACACATACAGCCAAAAAAAGGTCATAAAATCACTCAGAGCGAAACTCTGCACCGTGCACATCAGCACAAATCTGCACAAAAGTACCAAAAAAAAGCTGAACACCTTCATATTTATATGCTGCAGATTAGTTTTTGATTAATGCATATTTCTCATCCTGTGATATACTGATCCTCTTCTGAGGGAGTGAAATGATTAATGTTTGAAAATCTGCCTGCACAGATTGCTGAATGTGCACAAGGATTAGTAAACTGATCTCTGTTTTTTCAGTTGGTTATCGGACGATAGTTGATAGATGTTGCTTTGGAAATAACTTCAGAGAAATAGCTCAGGAGAGGCAGATGGTGTAAATACACAAAGAGAAGGAAATCTCTTTTTCTGCCGCAAAGTCAGAGAGAAAGTGGAGGAAACAGGATTTATGAGTTACTGCTCTATGAAACTTTCACAAGATTTTCTTCCCAAAGTATCAAAATAATTTAATATCGATTATTAAAGACATGTTTTACAGATTACCAGAGCAGTGGATGTAAGTTTGGTGACAGAACTACAACTTCAAACTCATGTTTGTGTGTTTTTGTGTCTCAGCTCTTCCAAAGTTTCACACTCACCCCAACTCCATGGCTGTGGACGAAGGCGGCGTGGCTCGCTTCCAGTGTCAGATCAACGGCGTACCTGAGGCCAACATCACCTGGGAGAGAGATAGAGTGCCGCTCAACACCTCTGACATCAGGTAACAAGCACGCCAACACTCAGCGATAGAGACGAGTCAACAAAGTGAGATTTTAGATTTGTGGTTAGGGTCAGGGTTAGTCAGACCCAGATCCAGTGAGATCTTAAAACCAGTCCTAGAACCAACAGAAAGCCAGTGTGGAAAAGCCAGGTCTGGGATGAAGTGATGCTGAGTTTGTCTCTCTCCTCTCTCTCTCTCTCTTCAGGTACACCCTCCTGCCCATGGGGATCCTCCAGGTGACCGGTGTGAGACAGGCAGATGCCGGAGTTTTCCGCTGTGTCGCCACAAACATCGCCAACACTCGCTTCAGCCACGAGGCCGTGCTCAACATCACAGGTAGGTGGAAAAACATGGTTTGGTTCAGATTTCTGCTCAGCTTTTAAGACAAACAAACAGCAGGAGAGTTTTTCTCCTCTTTTGTGTTTTCAAAGCATTTTTGTTCATTTTGAGTCCTCTGGTCCGTACAGGTGGAGCTCCCAGGACCTACAAAGAGCCGGTGATCCTGTCAGGACCTCAGAATCTGACCATCACCGTCCACCAGACTGCCATCCTGGAGTGCATCGCCACAGGAAACCCTCGTCCCATCGTGTCCTGGAGCAGACTGGGTACTGCTGGAAAACCCTGTGGTAGTTATAAGAAATATAATTAAATATCACACACACTAACTCCTGTGTTTATCTGTGTTCTTCAGATGGACGCTCCATCGGCGTGGAGGGGATCCAGGTTCTGGGGACAGGGAACTTGATGATCTCAGATGTTTCTCTGCAGCATTCGGGCGTTTACGTGTGCGCTGCAAACCGACCCGGCACCAGAATGAGGCGTACGGCGCTTGGACGACTGGTGGTTCAAGGTGAGGACACATACTATACCTCTGATTGTGTTTTTTGAGATACACTCCTGCAAGTATGCAAGCTTGATTTATGATTTATGGATATGACTGAGTGTCTTTGCTTCTATCTTCATCAGCCAGGAAGAGGGTTGTAATCTGTCTGCTTTCAAACAGGGAGTAAAGGGCAAATTTAAGAAAGGCTGACCCTAGACTGCCCAGGTTCAGATCCTCCTGCAGAAATCTCTGACTAAAGTCTCCTGATTCTTAACAGTTCACAATAAAGTTATGCAAACCTTTAACAGGACAGGTGCAGACACTGTTATGGTCTCTCTGAGGAAAAAAACTCTACTAGATAGTCCTGATCTTCAGGCCCTCAGGCAGCACTGCATTAAAAACAGACAGGACTCTGGAGTGGAAATCACTGCATGGGCTTAAAATCACTTTAAAAACCACTGTCTGTGAACACAGTTCATCACTGCATCCTCAAATGAGGTTCAAACTGAACCATGCAAAGAGGAAACCATGACACTATTGTATTTTGAAGAATCAGACTTCGACATCCTTTTTGGAATTCATGGTCCTGTTAACACTGAAGAGGAAACAGACAGAAATAAAAGCATAACTCCAAAATTTGGAACTGTAACTTTAAAAAAAGATGAGATGGGAGGGGGTGAGACAGTTAAACAAAGTAAACCTGATATAAAGATGTAAAGACCTCATCAGGAACCTTCTCTGTTTCCTAAAATGCAGCTTTGGTTACAGCCTTTGTTTAATTACTACTGTAGCAAACCTCCATCAGAGGAGGGGGGAAGAAAGGGTCAATATCAAGCCCCACCTTTTTTCCTCACCTTTGCCCTTGGCAGTTTTAATGGGGGGTGGGGGTCCCATGTATGTTGTGAGACCCTCCACCTCCACCTCCATATGCACAGTCTGTCCACTTCCTCTGTAACAATTAAGCTCTGACACCATGTCCAGCAGCTGTGTGTGTGTGTGTGTGGGTGTAAGTGTGTGTGTGGTGGTAATGGGGGGAGGTCTGTATGACGTGGTCTCATCCATCATCACCCTGCAGACGCACTCAGCTGATATCCCTCATTGTCATTAGATCAGTTTTAATTGGCTGCTCTGAGGCTGGATCAATTAGCAGCCTTACCTTTGGAGAATCACACTCACACACTTCCACACACAGTCAGGAATAGTCAAAGTGTGAAAATGTATCTTCTTTTAATTATCTGGCTTTCTGTGTTTGGCGTGTGAATCTTGAGTTGTTAAATCTGTAGAAAAAGCTCATTGCAGTGTCTGAAAGAGTCTCTGAGCTGCACTTCGATGAAACAGAGAAAAACTGTCAATAAAAGCTCAATCTCTCTACCACAGATTTGCAGCACAGTTCATGTTATAGCCTCTCTGATTGACAAACGTCTAAATTCACATAATTTAGTCTCAGTCCTCCTGCTGTGTCCAGATCAATCAATACCTCTGCTGTCACTCTCTCTCAGTGATTGGCAGACCTTCTGCTGTGTTGGGGGGCTGATCTCTAATATATTCATTAATTTATTGATCATTTTTCTCTGTTTGGTGAAGAGAGAGAACAAAGAGCTTTATCTGAAGCAGGGTTTAGAGAGGTCTCAAAGTAGAGAAGGATGAATCCTTCTGTTCTGAGTCAGAGGCAGAGCTGAGGTCAGATTTAGGTAAGAAGAGAGATGACTGAACTTCACCTTTGATCAGGCTGCAGGAATCAGGATTTTATTCACTCTATATGCAAATAGAGGTCAGGTCTTGTTTTTGTATACATTTTCTTTAAACACAAGGTTTATCTGGGATTGTCAGGTCACTGTGATTTTAACTCCAATGACACATTTAGACAGTTCATTTGTGACATGCACTTGGTATGAGTTGTGTTCCTGCAGGTTTTTTCTAAACTTGAGAAATCCATTTTTTATTCTTTTGAAAGAATTATTTTTCTTTTGTGGAGAAATTAGTTTCATAAGTTGCACCTTATATTAGCTGCATTGACCTGATGAGTCAAAATTAATCTCAAATTTTAAGAAGTTACCCAATAAAAAAAAGAAGCCCTGAAATTTAATTAATGATCAAAAAGATAAACAACCAATAAAGCAGCACACTCCTGCAGGTTTATTCTGAGTTTGTAAAATCGTTTTCTTTTTCTCTCTGAATTAGTGGAAAGTTCACTCTCATTTATCCAGTTTGATCTTTCTCTCTGGGTTATTTCATGAAGGCAAGTCATTTTCAATTTCAGTATAATTATTTAATTTCTGTTTCTGGTGGCACAAATCTCAGCCCATATTTCTACTCCAACATTCATGACAACAGAGTTGAAACACCTTTCTTCATATCACAGCTGCAAAAGTGTGAGCTGAAATAACATTTATAATATTCATAATCCCCAAATACTCTGTAAGATGTCTAGATTTTGAATCATTGCTTTTTGATGTGCAGGAAAAACTGCGATCAAAATGTCAGAGCTGAATGTGTGTAAACATGACAGAAATGAAACACTACTGCAGAGAATTCATCATTCACAGTTTCCACACATCAAATCTAAACTCTTTAGTTCTTGTTTGTGCATAAATTTAAAAATATTTTTCATTTTACATGTTAAAAAACCCGCATTTGTCTGATATTTAGCTTGTAAAGAAAGATCACTCTGCTCATGGGTTTGACTATGCTGAAACTTTACCTGGTGACTAACAACTCAAAATTCTGGTTGATTTGAAACCTAAAATCCAACTTAGCAACAAAACAAACTTGTACTGTAAAATTAGTGAATGTAAAATCTGTGATATGCACTCCTTAAACAGACTGTTTTAACATTTCTCATGTATTAGTTTCAGCAATGATTGTTGCAAACCACGGAGTTCGAGTAATAATGGAAAATGAAGCAGTAAACGTTTTTCTCTGTGCCCATCAGTCATGTCTTTAAAAACAGCTGAAGAGGCTCATAAAGCTGCGTTTATTGTTATAATGCAAAGTCAAGTTCACAGTGTGTTTCTGTGTCTGTGTGTGTGTGTGAAGGTTAGTGAGGTCTGAACTTTCACACAGTCTGTCTAAGTCCACGTTCACGTTCAGGACTGAAGGACAAAGATGAGGGACAAAAAGACAAGGACAGACCGAGTGCAAGGTGCAGGAGGGGGAGGAGAGGGTGAGAAGGGGGTGAGAGGTGACCTTCACCCTCTGACTTCTGACCCCTGACCCCAACAGAAGGATCCATACTCAGTGAAAACGGTCACACTGAAAGGAGGAGGGGGAGGAGGGGGAGGAGTCAGGGTGGACTCACAGGAAGGTGTGAGGAAAAAGGAGGCGTGGTCTCAGGGTTAATTAGGGCTGGATGATGGATAACGTCCCCGCGGAGGGGTGAGGGCAACCCGGGTGTCACCGCACAGAGGGGGACACAAAGAGTGGACAGACATTTTTGGGAAGGGTGCATTGAATATGGTTATATCTCTCTCCCTGCTGTGTTCAGACGAGAGGAGCTGCAGATTTACAAACCCAGTATGCCTTCACTGTTGCACCAGCTCCTGATGCAAGTCACTGCTGCATGGTGGTCCCCTCTTAAAACATAAATGAAGAGCATACATGAAACAGAGCTGACCATGTCAAAACTCAGGAACCATTTTCCAACCAGTTTCCATTTTTGTCAGAAAATACTGCCTCACTGTTGTTCTGGATGAGAGAAGCTTTACAGATATTCAAAAGTTCCTCACTGGAGCTTTTGCTTTAGGTAACCATGGCAACACTCTGCTCGGACACTTGGAGCACTAACTGGCAGACCTAACCTGACCAGGGTTCACACCAGTCAGACTAAAAAAAGCTAGTCTTTGACTATACTGATGAGACCAAAGGGGAGGCCCAATATTAAAAACTCCTGACTGTAGCTTTAACCCCTGTAGCTTTGTTTTTATCTTACCGCGTAGCACAGTGAGATTGCAAAAATGTAAAGTGCAATACAGATTAGATTTATTATTATTATTACCACTGACATGTTCTCAGCTAAAATCCAAAACTGAGAAAGATGGAGGAGTCAGAGAGAGAGACAGAGAGCTGCAGTGATGAATGTGCTCTTATTGAAATGGTCATTTTGGAGACACTCCCCCCCTCAGCTCTGGGGGAGAGAGGGTTGGGTTGGGGGGGTCACAGTGGGTGTTTGGGTCAATAGATCAATGAGATGCCGAGTGTGGGCCTAAGTGTGTGTGTGTGTGTGTGTGTGTGTGTGAGAGTGTGAGGGGGGTGTATGGCATAAGGATCTCAGCTTATATATGCACGACGTATTGTTCCCGTGATATTGAACGAGGTGTCAGGAGGAGCAGTGAACCCTGCATGTGGACCGGGCGGGGGTCAGCAGGCTGTCAGTGTGTGTGTGTGTGTGTGTGTGTGTGTGTGTGTGTGTGTGTGTGTGTGTGTGTGTGTGTGTGTGTGTGTGTGTGTTCATATTAGGAGAAACATCCTCAGTTTTTATGCTTTTTTTAAAGAGGTTTCCAAACCCAAATCTCTGTAAACGTGTCAGCTCTATTTTCTTTCCGAGGGTTTCTGCTGGTTTTGACTCAGGATGAAGTTTTCACGTTAAAAATCTGACTAATAATTTCCTGCAGCTCCTTTCAGCTGTTTCTTCTCCTAAAATGAGAGAGAGCACATTATTCAAACTCCTGCGCCATCCTCTAATGTTTTTCAGCTTCCTCTTTCCTCGTACAAACTTTTATAACCCTATAAAATCACAGTTTTTCTCTGCAGAAGCTTTTGTTAGTTTAAGCTATAAATTCTCTGAGACGCAGTAAAAAGTTAAAAAGGAACACAGCTCTAAAAACTTTAAACATCACCGAAGTGGAACATGAGATCAGCAAAATGAAGTTAAACTTTTATCAAGTTCAATTTTTCATCCTGCAGAAGGTACGATCGTACAAACTGTTCATGATCAGCAGAAACAAAGACAAGCAAAAAAAGAAACACTTCACAGAAACAATGAGTAAAATGCCAGTGTGTGTGTGTGTGTGTGTGTGTGTGTGTGTGTGTGTGTGTGTGTGTGTGTGTGTGTGTGTTAATAATAATCTGTCAGAGCCATCTAGCTGTCCTCCCCTCATTAGTCTCCTCCGCCCCTTTAGAAAGCGTCAGGCGTCCTCAGCTGACCGTTCATCAGCAGATCAATTCTCTGTATTGATCAGTGATTCTGGTGACCTTGAGTTTCACCTTGTTTTAATTCTTTAGCAGCTTTTGTTTGCAGAAGGGTCCATATGTCTGTCCAAATCTAGATTTATAGGAGAGTGTTTCAGCTGCACAGATCATTTCTGTCTCATTAAATTAAAAGTCATATTTTCTTCACTCAGTTAAATGTTTGTAACAGTCCTGACCTTCTGATATTTGTCATGAACATCTACATTTTTCGGTTTCCACATGTGAGAAGTTGTCTTTGCATCATTTCCACCTCAGTACAGGCTCCACAGGTGATCAGGTTCTGTTTAGGAGAAGCTGTTCTAACTTCTGTCTCCATGTATTTCCATGTTTCAACCCCTCAGACTCCCTCCATGAAATAATTTTCTCTCTTCTTCTCCACCTTCTTAGCTCCTCCTGAGTTCCTGCAGTGGCCGCAGTCTGTGTCCAAACCAGCAGGGGGCAGTGCTGTCTTCACCTGTGTGGCTCAGGGTGTACCTGAACCTCACCTGATCTGGTTGAAGAACGGGAAGGTGCTGATGCCCGGACACAACGTCAAGCTGACCAATAATAACAGGTGAGTGATTTCTGCATGATAACTCTGGATTTTTAGATAATAATCACACATTTGTGTCTTTGGGGCTCTAAGCAAACACATCAAACTGAATTATCAGGATATAATCAGTAATCTGCAGTAGTTTTAAGAGCCTTTATCAGTAGGAAATTAAAGAGACAGACAGACCTGCATCCTAATTTGCACCATGGTGGCAGCAGGATGGATAAACGTTGGTGCAGTTGAGCCATCAGGGAGTAAAAACATGCATTTCTTTCATAAAGGGTTCATTTCTGAGCTTTTTAAAAGAGTAGCTGAAGGTTTAATTGTAATTTTTGCAAACGTTAATCAAGCTTAAGTATAAACCGGTACATTCACAGTGTATTTTTGTCACATAAAGTCGATCGAAGTTGCTTTCTGTGTGTGCTCTGCAGCTCTTTTCTTCATATCTCATATCTTCTTGCAGCCTTGTACATGATGAGGGTACAAACTCACTCCTTCACTTTAAGTCAGCTCTCTCACACCTCTGTATCGGCAGCTGTTCATACAGAGTTTCCCAGTGTTAATCCCAGTCTGTGTGAATCACCTCTGAGTAACCACAGAGCCTATTTAATTTAGAGCTGCAGTTCAGAGTCTGACCACATGATGGCAGCACTGCACAGAGAAAGGATGCGGAGACTTCCACAGCCTGTAATAAGAGTGTGGTCCCTCCAAATCCTCTTTAAAGTTGAACTCATCTATAATAAAACTTCACCTCTGTGAATAAAAACACATTTTTTATGCTTATGAATATAAATGAGGTTGTTTTTCTGTCGGGAAATCCAAACTGAGATGTTTCTGTCACTTATTAAAATCTCATATTCAGGTGTTTTAAAGCACAGTGTTGTCATCAGTGTTACGTCATTGAATTATTGCATTACTAATCTGTAAGACATGTCAAGGTGAACTTGCTTGTTCACACATGTTCCTCACAGCAGGAAGTCATCCATGTTATACAAGGAGTGTGTTTGAGCAAGAGGGGGGCTGTGTCTCTAGAGGCAGAGTCTGTGAAATCCACAATGTGACATCTGCAGCACAGTGAAGGACAAAGAAACAGTGATGTACAGTTTGGAAACACCATGTTCTTTAGTACTCTTAGGATTAAATCATTTTCTGTGAGGCAGATCAATGTTGAAGACATCAAAACTAAGTAAGAACACCAATGAAATAATGACTCCAACCACTGATAAATCTGAGTGCTTCTCATATGTAGATCCTGTCGTCCCTGTCCTGATCTAGCTGTTCTTTCTCCCTGCAGCACCCTGGCTCTGACCCGGATCAGCTCCGATGACGAGGCCATCTACCAGTGCATCGCTGAAAACAGTGCCGGCACCAACCAGGCCAGTGCCCGCCTAGCTGTGGGCCAGGTTAAAGACCTGCCCGCCGCCCCTGAGGGCCTCACCGCCAACCCCCTGTCCACCAGTGCCCTGCAGATCATCTGGACCGAACCGCCTGCCAACGTGACAGAGAACATCATCGGATACGTGCTGCACATCAGGAAGATCGGAGGTGAGAGGACGTTAACAGTTCTCCATGTTTCTGGTCCTTTCTGACCACTGAAAACCTGAACGAGACCCTCTGATATGAACCAGAGATTCTCTTTAACAGAATATAAAACCATCTAATTTAGTATATAAACTTGTTGGTTTGCACTTATTAAATAAACTGAACTGATGTTTAATCAGAGCCGGACAGTCTGGAGCTGCAGGAGGCCATCAGTAAAGGAACCTTCCAGCACGACGTGGCTAACCTGGAGCCGGCCACCACCTACTCCCTCTACCTGAAGGCCTACTCTCCTCTGGGGGCCAGCCAGCAGTCCCACACTGTGGTGGCCACAACACTAGGGGGCGGTAAGAGCACAAAACACTCATGACAGCATGGATGGTTGCACCTCTGTCTTGTGTCCCCCATAAATCTCTAACATGAACCCTCAGGGACCCTGATGACCTCAGGTGTGACAGTGTGCTCAGTCTTTTGGTTTTATTGTCTCATTTTGTGTCTCTCTCTCTCTCTGTTCAGTCCCCGCCGCTCCCACCTTCTTCACTAAGGTTGTAAACTCGACCGCCGTGCAGGTCCTCTGGGAGCTCCCCAGCAAGGCTGGCAAGGCTGAGGGCTTCAGACTGTCCTACCGCAGGGTTCCCCACGCTGACTTCCAGGGGCCAATCCAGCTGGAGTGTCACGTTAATGCCCACACCATCACCAAACTGGGTGAGTCTGAATGTGTGGATGAATTCATGTTTTAATAAACCTGTGCAGGATGAAATCATCATCAAACTCTGACCTCTCCATCTTCAACGACTAAACTCATTGCTCACCTCTCGTCCTTTGTCCTGAAGAGCAGCATCTGTTTCTCCCCCATCTCTGTTTACATTGTGACCCCTCAGGGCTCAATACCTGTTACCATAACAACACACCTATCCTGGTCACCTGCAGAACAGCAAGACAGCAACTGCACTGAAGCGATTCGTTTATTTCACTGTTCAGAGAAGAAAGAAATCTGACACATCTTTAAAAACACAGTCTGAAATATCAAATATGAAGAAATCATTGACACTTTTCTTTGTCCGTGGAAACATTTCTCAAAATTATCAGGAAGATTTCTTTAGTTATGATAAAGATCAAAGTCTGTCTGTCTGAAGGGTGGTGTTCTTGTCTCAAAATTAAAAGATTAATGTTAAAAAAGATTCACTAATATGTCCATCTTTAATTTCTACAATATGGCTCTAATGATAAAAATAATGTCATGATAATGAAAATAAAAGTCATAAGATGATAAAGCTGTGAAATAAGTTAAACCAGGTTAGTCATGAGATGATTAAAGTGTGATATATCAGAAAAAAAGAGGGAAAAAAGGCAAGTATAACAGAAAACAAGTTTAATGAAAAAGGGTAAATTAAAGAAAAAGTCAGTGATATAAAGTAAAAAGAGTCATTATGTTGCAAAAATTCATAAAATTAGAAGAATGAAGTCAAAATATAACAGTAAAAGATCAGAAGTTAAAGCTATAACAGTGTAATAACATTGTGATGATGAAATTAAAATGTAATTCAAAAAGGTCATAATGAAACTACAGTGGCCCTGAAGGTCATGGCACAAACATTTTAGAAACACATTAAAAATATATATAAAACAACCAATAAAGAAAGCAAACATTTGGATAAATACAAAATACAAATTTTATTCTCATTTCCTTATTTTTTGTTGTGTGTCTTTTCCAAATTTCAAATATTTTTTTAGTTCATTTGTGTTTTCTAAAATATATTTTGTGTTCCTGCTAAAATACTTTTTTATTTTACTAAAACTGAAATCTTTTAACTTCAATAATTGTATTTTCACTCAGCTTTCTGTTATTTTCTTTAAAAGAAAGACCCAAATGCTCTGTGTTGGTTACCTCTGTGAATTGGCTCTTTAGTGAGATGGACTCTTTCGGCTGAACAGTTAAGATTGACAAACAACCTCCATCTTTATTATCAGCCTCTCTCTCCTCCTTAAAGCAGCTCTCTAACAGCTGCTGTCATTGTGAGCACCATCCTCTGAACTCCTATTGATCTGATCAATAATAATCATGACTGATTCAGCGCTGTGACGCAGGACGGTTACCTCGTCAGGTTCTCCTCTAACAACTCTGTTAACACACACACATTAAACAAACACACACAAACACACACACATCAGATACAGCAGAGTTAAATTCAGAGGAAAAACTGATCAGTTCCACTTATTGATCGAGTCAAATTGACGGCCTGAAACACAATCAGCAGCCTGAACAGATATTTGGTTTCATTGGAGGTTGTAGGAGAACGCATCAATCCAGAACAATAATATGAGTTTATAATCAGACAGAGATACATGAGAGCGTAAACACAGATACGCTGAGGCTCGGTAGAAGGTTGTTTAACTTTATGAGCTGTGAAATCATAGCGCACCGTAGAAAACAACTGATTAACGCCTTTGTTTCATCTTGTATTCAGGGCCTGGTAGCTCAGAATCCACTCTCACACTTATTTATGCTGGTTTTAAGCTTAAAGGAGATCAGATCTCCACAGAGACACATTTCTAACCTCTTGACTGTCTCTAATGCAGAATCAGGAGCTGTCTATGAAGTCAAGCTGGTGGCCTATAATGGAAACGGGGAGAGTGACTGCTCAAAGAGACTGGTGTCACTGGCGGAGGAAGGTCTGAGTGACCCGGCTGCAGGTGAGTTCAAGGGTTAAATGGCTGTTTTTGTCAATGAGGTCTGGTTGCTTTAACTACGTTGTTGCTGTTAAATCACCATCATCTTTAAGAAAAGGTTCATCTCTGCAGGGGTCTTTTCTGTAAAGCTGTCAGACACTTAAAAAACAACCCGATTCACTTCCCCTGAGGATCTCCCTGCAGTCATTACAGACGTGCTGCACCTGATGGCTGGGTAATTTTCAGGATAAACCCCCAAAGGATTTGAACCAATTAGTCCTTTACTTACAGGAACGTGTAGAGCCAGACTCAGCTTTAAAACGACCTGAATTCGATGTCCAGGTTAAAACTGACAAGAATAGGTTAGAACAAGAAATCCTGAATTGATATATTTCATTATTGCACAAGATGCATGAAAAATAACAGAAAAATTAATGTCTAGTAAGAGGAAAAACTCTTAAATGCTTCAACAGTCTAGAGTTTGCAGAAATATGAAAGTAGATCAGTCATCATGAAACCAAGTTTAACCAGCCGAACTTCTAATGAAAGTTATGAACCAAATCTGATACTTTATGACTCAGAAGCAGAAGTTAAGAGGGACATTAAAGGAGATGTAATATCATTTAATGCTTTTTTTCGTCTGTGTGTGTGTGTTTGACCTTGTGTGTGATCTTGTATATGCAGGTGGGAACAGTCTGTGTCAGTGCAGGGACGGAGAGGCCTCTCTGGGCAGCATCGTCATCGGCATCCACATCGGCACCGCCTGCATCATCTTCTGCGTGCTCTTCCTCATGTTCGGATACAGACGCAGGTAAACCAGGAGCTGCACACCTTCATTTATCCAGTCAGTGATGCATCATGTTTACCTGTGCAGGAACCTGGTCTAGGCTTGTTCCTCGGCCTGTAGATTTAATGTGCCGTCATGCATCGTTTTAAGCTGTGTGGTGTTAGAAGATCTGCAGAGTATGTCCTCACTGCTGGATTCTGTTCTCAGTCTGTTTTGCAGTAAAGGAACACAGGATAACTGGACAGTACCGAGGGAAACCGTGGGACACAACGGTGTCCCTAAAGACGGAGCAAACCGACCCAGAATGGAGTCAGTGCCTCAGGTAGTCCCCATAGAAATCCTCAAAATTTTCTAAACCATTTCATTTATTCAGTTTTAAGTCAGTAGGATCCAAAAAAGCCACAAACACTTCATCTGATGTTTGGAAATTGTGGATTTTGGTTTGGAAGTTTTATTTTTTTAATTGAATTACAGGAAAAAATGAACCTTTTCAGGTTCTGTTGTGCAAAATCACTGCAAGTCAAGAAGGTGCAGGAAGAGCTGATTTAATATCTCTCACTCAGTGCCTCCATGTAGCCCTTAAATAATCCTTGAATAACATCCTCCTCCTTGTTTTCCAGGTCTGTCCGTCACAGTGCCAAGTCGTCATCGAGCAGCACATGTCAGGTTTGCCTGGCACAGTCACTGGGTAACACTGGTCAAAAACACCAACTCCAAACATCCCTACCCTTATACCCTCAAACTTACTAAACTAACTTCCTGCCCTCCACCAATCAGCACCCTCTATGCTGTTTGATGGAGGTCACTCCTAGCTTCAAACCCCCAAAACCTGCTGCTAACAGCCTGAAAGTAGCCTCCAAAAAACCTCCACCAGAATGCTTTAACAGACCAGGAGAGAAGATCCTGGTTTTTCCCTCCTTGTCCCTCGACCCTCCACGCCTACCTCAAAACCAAAGCTAATGCCTTTATTGCCTGTGCATGTGCACATGTGCATGTAGAAAAGTCTTTGCCTCTACAGATAAGATCCTGTCACATTCACTCATTGTAACATCCAGGAGGAGTCTGTCCTATAACCAAAATATTTTATTCCCAGACTCCTCTGGTGTTTCCACGTGTGAAGATGTGCACAGTGGTCTTTAAAAACCAAAATGAAGCCAAATATTGTCACCTGACTGGGACGTACCGGTCAGTCTGTTGACTTTGCCTTCAGTTCCTCTGCAATAAGAAAGGGAAGAAACATAGCGGCCTTTCGCGAAAGCCTTACGGAGGTGAGAGGCGGATGAAATGATTGTCTTTAGCCATACATGCCATTTAGAAGAACCCAGACGTTCTTCACATAACCCCCCTGTCCACCTCCAAAGAAAGCTACCTCAGTCTGACAGGAGTGTTTGAGCCATAGTTGAGGCCGATGTTAGCCTGATGCTGCTGCTTTTGAGACTCTACCTCAACCAAAAAGATGACCTAGCTTTCCCTTCAGTGAATATTCCCTGACCAGTGCCAGTGTACCGTGCCAGCCGCCAACCAGGCCAGTCCAAAGAGTGCTCGCCAGGACGACCACCATGGAGAGCAAAACCATGGCAGGGGCCTGACTTCCACTGACACAACCTAAGCCTTACCGAACCAGAGATCAACAGGAGCTTTAACATCACCACAGCACAGCTTGGTCACGTTTGGAAATACCAAACGCTTCTGATCAGGCATCAGAAAGTTACCCTGTGCTCACCCACGGCTTCCAAATATCCCAAGTGCCCATCTCCAAAGACGTGATTGTGCCAAGGATGGGGCTCGTAGAGAAGAAAGACTTTGAAGAGTGATTGGCGACCTTTTTAAGCTGGCATTCGATTCTTTCTACGAAGTCCCGCCTCTTTAAACTGCACAAACCTGATGGCATACTGAAGACAAGCCAAAAACACTGAGGCCAATGCTGCCGCGTTCGCTCTCCAGATGCCAAATTGGTCGGCCTGGGACCTCGACGACTCTGCGTTGGCGGTTAAAGAAGTTTTAAGGTGAAACTTGGCTGAATGCACGGATGCCAAGGCTCGTTATTCGCCGTGTCAGCATATCCAAAAATAAGTTCTCTGAAAACCGAGCTGAATGAGCCCCAAAGATGTAAACTTTTGATGGTTTTCTTTCTTTTGATTTCAAAGAGACTAAATTTACTGACAGATTATGGATTGTTCCTGTCGGAGGGGTCACCTGCGCCTGAAGTGCTTTAACTGAACCCAGACCAAAAAAAACCTTTTCTCATGATTTTCATTTCAATTTTTTAATAATATCCTTCATGATCTTTAGTTTGGATGTCATTGCAGGTGCACCCCTTCAACGAGGAAGTCTATTTTGTTGATTCTAACATTTTATCCTTTTAAAGTGACCAAAAGAAGATGTCAGATATTTTAAAAGACGTTTAATGAGAAATACTTTCTTCCTTTTTCTAAAGTAGTAGAATTCTTGCCAAATATTTAGATATCGTAAAGAATTATGTAACCAAAAACCTCTACATTTTTAACATTCATACTCTAACTGTACATTTTTCATAACCAAAGCACAGAAACATGCTGGAGAGCATGAAAGTATACGTATGTGTGAATAACGTTGGATGAATCTGGGGGACGACATTTTAAAATAGGGACACACATTCAACCCAAATATTTATTAGCGCAACTGACTTTAAAGCCCACCTGAAATTCAGTCTTTTCTATTTTCAGTCAAAAACATGAACATCTAGAATAGAACATGATATTCAGATTTTCATAAACTTATACGTGCCTTGAGTTAGTACCATCCTCTTTCTGCGCATAAAATATCCTTCTTCTGATTTTACTAATTTTATACTAATTTATGATCAGAGGATGGACCTGATTATTTGTATTAACACCTGATTACTTCTTTAAAAATGTGTTGACAGGTTTGTCTCATGGTTTCTTGAGTTCAGCTTCGAGGGCCCCCCTCAGTTTCTGTTCAAATAGCATCCTCTATGTGGTCTAGATACCCTGGACAGCATTCCTCTGTGTCAGTCCTGATTAGGTCTGTCCTTAGTTGCCTTAGCTCCTCTAGTCTGGTCTGTTTGGTCTTTTCAGGTTTCCTCCTCCTTACTCCATGTTAGGTCCATTTCGAGGTTCTCTTTAGTATTATCACCTTCTAAAACAACAACTTTCATACTAAGTAAGTGACGGTTAGTGTCTCCAGGTCCCTTTAGCATCTGTGTTTTTAGCTATACTCCCTTTTTAATGGATCAGTGCAGGTTCAGGTGACCTTTGTTTTTGACATAGTAACAGCACCTATGTGACATTTTAAAGTTGGTTTAAACCCTTTAGATTAAATCTGTCTTTAGGCGCCAGCTCTGTTGTTTAAAGGTCACTGTCAATTAGAGTCACAGCACTTGTTTCAAAGCCTGTCCAGTTTTCATCGGATCCATTTTAAGGTTAAAGTTTTCTTCTTTCTGCTGCTCGGTAGATTTATAGCGGCATATCCGCATTAGTACACTTCTTTAGTCTTTTCTGACATCTCCTTTAGTGAGGTCTTTTAACACTTCTTTAGTCTTTAGACTAAAGACACAAAACTAAAAGATTACTTTGTTGATTTCAATAATTAGTTTCTTTGTTCTAGACTTGCGGCAAAGTTGCTGTCAGTGAGTTAAATTGAAGTAGTCCAGTTTTTACTAATTGAAGTGTGATGGCTGATGGTGATTTCAGGTGGACTTTAAAGGTTTTTGTGCCTAAAACATGAAAAAATAACTAAACAGGGTTGAATCAGCTTTTATTACTGTATAAATGTGTGTGTCCCATCAAGCTTTTATCGTCCTCCAGGTTCAGCGCTTCCTTTCGTGGGTGTAAATGAAAACTCAAAGATAGAACAATATGAAAGATTAAGGGCTTGCCCACGTTTGTCTCTCTCACAGTCCTAAACACTGCTAAACCAATGCGATACCAAAAAGTGTAATTGAAATGGAAGACCTAAAAAGTCTTTGTGTTTTTGTAGTGTGAAGTGTGTAGCAGTCTGACTAGTTTGAAATGGAAAGCATCAGTTGCTTCTGTTTGATTCATTTCTCTGCCTCTTTTCTGTCGAGTCTTTTGTTCTTCCTGCTGTGCTCAGGAGAAGTTGCCAAAACAAATGTTTGTTTTTGTTGGAAAGTTTAATATTAATTATTATTAGCTCTGATAACATTAATAATGATTTGAAATGTTTTCTCTTTTTCTTTGATGCATATGGATGAGACGTTTGTTAGGATTACTTTGTGATGGTCTTTTTCAGCAGCTGATGTGAGTTTTCCACAGACGGTAAATTGAACTCACTTTCTGCCCTGATGAGCCAGTGACTAGAAATGAATAAAGAAGTACAAAAACGAGAAAAAAAAAAGTAGGAAAGTAGAAGCTGGCTGCTAGTACCGAAGAGAAACAATGCTTTAATGGTTTTTATGCCTCTCTGTTCTCGAAGCTTTCCACAGGTGTTTGTAGCCGACTGAAACTTAAAGCTTTAACCCGTGCTGACCCAGGTCCGTCCTCGGTCTTTGGCCAAAATGAAAAAGTTTGGAGGTGAAGGACAGACTGCAGAGGAGATGCAGCTAAAACAGAGACCAAGCTGAGGTTTAAATGCATTTAATGTACAGATTAATGTCAAACATTTACACAAAGGATCTTTTTATGGTTTCAGTTCATGCAAATGACAAAAAAATGAGCGTCTGGCTTTGAAATTACATTATTTAACCTTTAACATTAACCTCATCATTTCAGCATAATGAGTCAGCTGTGAAACACTTTGGTTCTTAACACAGTCGCTGACCCAGAACTTGTACAGGCATTGCAGTAATAGTCTCTGCTCTTCCATCGCTGTAAAGTCATGTTTCCACCAAAAGTCACAGGAACCTTTTAGCCCAGCAGAACACGAAAGGTTTTTCAAAGGATGAAATAATTCCTTCAGACACAAAAGACTCTAAGCTCTGCTGCAGAAAAGAACTCCAAAAGCTCCATTAGAGGTTCCTGGTGATCATATTTCCACCAAAACCAACCAGAACTTTAAGTTCAAGGAACTACTTTTCAAGAACCCAGAAACTCTTTAATACCAGGGACTTTCTTGGGTTTATGATATTATGCTTGAAATCTGATCAGGGCTCTGGACCCTGTGATGGAAATGCAATGAGTTCCTCAAAAGGTTCCTGGGTCCAGTGTAAAATTCCTAGATGATTACTGTATATGGTCATAGTCACAGTAGCCAAATTTAGCTCATATAGGATAATTTTCCAGAATACAAGCAAATACTTGAAAAACTGGTGGTAGTTGTATTTTATACCTGGTTGTAGTTCTGTACCAGGCTGATATCTGCATGTTTTTGTCATTTGTTCGAACTGACCCTTTAATGTTATTTATTTATTTATTCAGTCTGAGACAACACCAGCACTTTGCCACAGAAAATGTGGCACTAATTTTACAAAAGCTAAAACCTGTTCTTGTTTTCATTAGGTACTCTGATGATACCAGACTATAAGCTACTCATACTTGAAGCCATATTTGAACGCTTTTTAAAGCTACGCAGAGACCCAACAACATGTTAAAGCTATCTCAGTGATACCAGAGACATGAACGTGTCATAGATTAAATAGATGATTATTTAAGAGAAAATTTGTGCTCTCTAAATGTCACCCAACAGCTTGGTCTCTGTGGGACTGCAGAACTGAGCGTCTGGACCTACCTCAGCTTTTTCTCCCCTCTGATCACATTCCAGTATGCCTCAAACCAAATAAAGATCTTTCTTTTATGCTGTGTCTCACTCTACTTTGTTTGATTGTATTGGCTTAGTTGTCCCAGTTAATGCCTGAAAACCAGTCTGGTTAAATTCTGTTTTGGCTCAGACTTGGACTCAGGTCATGACTCAAGCTGAGAAAGTGGGATTCCACTCTGATAACAGGGACCGGACTAGGACTTGCATTTGGGTGAAGACTCTACTGTAACACAGGTAGTGGTGATTCAACTGGGATTCTTACTCAGGTCATGGAGTAAATCAGACTTAGCCTCAGAAAGTAGACTCAGACTTGAACAACAAGGCCTTGACCAAGACTTTACTCAGACTTGGACTCAGTAAATTGGGCCTCAAGGTATACTGGAATTCAGCTAATGGGGCCTAACTTGGACTCAAATATCAGGGGCCTCACTCAAACTCAGCCCAGTTATTGCCTCACCTGATGGGCCCCAACTAAGGCTCAGACCCAGGTAGTGAGGATTTAATTTGGCATGGTACTCAGGTCACAGTTGTTCAATTGGATTTGACCTCAGCAAGTGGACTCAGCTCTGACTCAGTCTCAATTTGGACTTGGATACATGGGGACTTGACTTAGACAAAGGTAGTGGATGTTCAGCTTGGACTCAGATTCATAAAATAGGGACTTAGCTGAGACTCCAACTAAGAAAGTAAGGCCTTGACTTGGGCTTGGACTCAGTTAATATGGACTTGACTTGTATGAACCAAGACTTGACTCAGGATTAGGAAGTGGGGACTCAACTGGCATTTGGACTCAAATCATCGTGACTTTGTCGGACTCTGACTGACTGGGTGACATCAAATTGGACTCAACTGAGTGTCAGACTTGGATGAGACCTTGACTTGGATTTGAACTCAGTTAATCGGACCCTGAGGTAGACAAGGACCCAGTTATTAAGGCCTCCACCTGGACCCAAACATGTAATGGAGCCTGAACTCAAATCTGACCATACTGAGGACTCAGACTCAGGTTGAGGGTACCCGACTGGTAATCTAAGGAAACATTGATAACACAGTGGACTGATATGGTCCTCCTCAAAAGTTTGAAACACTCAGTAAAACTCAGTGACACCAACGCTGATCTTTGCAGTACTTTATTGAGCATACATCAGACTCTAGTACATCAGCTTGCACTTTGGAGGATATAATATTGGTGCAATTACATTCAGTATACTGTTACATTTAAATAACATCAATTGCACATTTGACCTTATATATCGTTGCATACATCACAACAGGTAATCTTTTGCTATTACAAATATTTTGGTAAATAATGACATCCTTTTATATCTGCATAAAATCTCTCTATAGGCTATGATGTTGACTTCTGTTCTTACTTGTTCTTTACAATCATGCAGTAGTGGTTAATTATCCAGTTGGTAGAGGTAGAGTCAACTCGGAGTGTTTGTGTGTGCTTAGCTTTGTGAAAGTGGCATCAGGTCTCAGTGGGACTTAGTGGGTACGTCTGAGATTAAAACAGGCGTTTACATTTACTGATCAAGACTTGGAAGAAAAGATATCACAGTATTGTTCGTATTTAAGAAGTGGAAGTAGTTTTTTAAGCCATGCAGTGTCCCTTTTTTCGCCCAACAGGGAGCGACCTCACTGGTTGGTTAGTCAAAACAAGCTGTACCATAGGGTATTGGAGAGGAAACAGTTCCTTTGTAGTCCAGGTGAGAAAGCTGATGAACCCCCCATTGGGTACATTGTAAAAATATTTTTTTATGTCTGTTCTCATGCATAAATCTGCGGCTTCACCCCTTCACCGGCCTCTATATTAGTTACAGTTAATTGGAGTTAGTTACAGTTAGTACTACCAGGTAAAGCTTGTTTACGATGATGTCATTGTAAGTGTCTATGCAGTCTGATCACATTGGTTTGTCAAGCTACTTGAAGGGATTAATGAGACAAAACAACATAAGGGGTCAGTCTTTTTGGTGGATGATTATTGACTCAGAACATAACAAGGATAAAGGTTTGCGGAGTCCTGCACTGACCTGTAACCCATACTCCCAACCTTTTAGTCCTCTAGTGGGACTTGGTTAGTCCGACACCATCTCAAATATTCATCAGTCACTTTTACAGAATAACCAATCACCAGGTTTCTCTTGCTTACTAACAGTGCCCACCTGGGACACAAGATGGAGTAACCTCCACCCTGTCCTCCTCCCTGCTACCTCAATCAGTTGACATCATTTACTCACCCCTGACAAAATCCAGACTTTGAAACAGTCCAGAAAAGATGGCTGCATCCACTTCTTATATACGGTTAGTTTTGGATGAGGTGGATGACTAGATTGTCTCCTAAGCTAAAGGACATTGTTCATAAGAGTTACTGCAGACATTGTTTGCAGTCTCCAAACTCAAGTATTCTTATGAAGACATGACCTTAGTGGGAAATAGACAGTTTCTGGGCTCCAATGCCGCTGGTGGTTATTTGGTAAGCTTGACGAGCAACTTCATGAGAGTTGTGCTAAAGTTGAGTGACAGTGTTTGTGTGAAGTATTTAGATCTGGGTTCCTTGATTGGACTTCAAACAGACTGTTTTGGTGCTTAAAACCAAATCCCTCTGAAACACGATGGGTCAACACCCCAGCTACAAACCAAAACCAAAATCCCAGATCCCAGACATCTTGTTGCATACTAGTTTTGCTGTCTTATGCGGGAATCTCTTAACAGGCATGAGGTAAACCTGTCTGGCTCCATTTAAAACTTCCTGATCTTAGTGTACTGGTGCACACAGATCTTGCAGCACATTTGTTCTCAGATTTGTACGACATGAGTCCAAAGAGAACAAGTAAGGCGTTACCTTCAGAAGCTGGTTGAATGAAAGTTTGTGCAGATGTTGAAGATCCTGACCACATCTCTAAGCAGTTTCCCTGAAGGACACAGAAAGTCACAGTGGTTCATCATGCAGTTGTGTACCGTTAGACTTCTCTGAGCTTTAGACCACTGACATCATCATTAACAGTTAACCGTCCTTGAGTCCGTTTAAGCTGGGTTTCCACTGTGTGGATTAGAGCTCAAATCTGACTCCATCTCCACTCCAGCTCCATGACATCGACCGGACAGACGGTCCACAGAGCGCGGCGAAGCATTGTTAGATCGTCGACTGCGGCAGCATGCCAACACATCAGCCAGGTCGGCTCGAAAGGACGGGGTAAAGAAACCGTAGATGACCGGGTCACAGCATGTGTTCAAGTTCCCAAAGATAAACAGTATGTGGTGCACATACTCCGGCGTGTGCTTGATGATGGCGGGCTGGAACCAGTACCAGATCCCCAGGAGGTAGTAAGGGGTCCAACAGATGACGAAGGAGCTGACGATCACAATGGTCATCTTCAGGGTCTTCATCCGAGCTTTGGGTATCATGTCAGTACCGCTGCGTCTCAGGCAGTGCTCGCCCTCTGCAGAAACAACAGAAGAAAAAAAACATGGAGAAATTGAACCTCCAACCAAACAGCTTCGGTTTAAAGCTGACCTCCTGGATCTGTAAGGACATAAATAGGTTGTTCTCAGATAACTTGACAGGATCCCTGCATTTTAGCCCTCAGTATCCATGAAGGGCCCATATGGACAAATAAATAACTCGATGGCTCCATTTAAGGGAAAACAGACCATAAACCGTCAGTGCTACTCCCCAAAGTATAAAGAGTTGTTACTGTAAGAGGGCGAAAGATACAACCACTCACTGAAAATCCCAGCCAGGCTACAAAACCAACACCTCAGAGCCCCTCTACACTCTAAAACCATCAATAAATCTCTCTTCTATTAACAGACGTCTGGAACCTTGGGGTCCAAACACTGGGAACCTGTTTGTGTTTAGTCTGAGTGCTACAGGCGATAGTGAAGACAAAGCCTAGATGACGAGAAAATAATAACCATCAGGTGCAATATGCTTATATAACACCATGATGAAATAACCTGACACTTCTTATGGAGTACACAGACAGATAAAATGTCACCGAGGGGGGTTTCTAAAGTCAGCTGCAGCCACAGACATGAGAGCTGCTGCTATAAATCAGAGTTTATAAATCTGATTTCAACTTTTCTTTAAAGATGTGTTCATCCTACAGCTATAAAACAGGCCATCCTTTCTTTCTTTCTTTCTTTCTTTCTTTCTTTCTTTCTTTCACCCTCTTGTTAAATTTTCTGTCTTTTTGTGTCTTTCTTTTTGTCTCCTCTGCTTTATGAGTTTTTCTCAAAATGTGTCCTTAAGTCCGAAAGCGTACGACTTTTTCCTATGGATTGTCCCCCTTAATTTTTTAGAAGTTGTATACACTTTGAATATTTGTCTGAAAAATGTCCCTTCTGGACCTCCATAGAGTCACACACCTTTGCCCTTGTGCATCTGCCCATTGATCTTGATGAGGATGCGGGTGTAGCAGAAAGTCATGACCAACAGGGGGACGACATACAGCGTCACAAAGTGAAACATGTTGTATGCCGTCTCCTGCCACCGATACTGGAAACTTCCGTGGGTCACACACTGAGTGAAGTCCACTCCGTCTGCTTTAATGGCCCGGAAGATGAAGAGCTGAGGATGAAGAGAGTGAAGAGAGGTGACGGATGAGTTTCATGCAGTCACAGACAAACACCAGAAAAGTTTGTTTTTGATTAAACAAACTTTAGGTACAAAAACAGACTAAGAACTGCCAACCAAAGGCTGTTCTTTGTCTGTGTGATGAGCATTAAAGTTATTTTGATGCTCATCAAAACAACAAAGTTCTTGTTTAGAGTTAGAGATGATGAACCTGCTAGTTTAAAAATGCATCTGCGGGTCAGAGCGGGTTTTAAATTCATAAACACAGTTGAGTTTGGGTTAAACCACAGAGCCCCAAACTTGTGTTTATCAAAGTTGAGTGGTATGACTAAACAAAAACTGACAATCTTTTTTGGGAATCATGGACGCTGCACCCTCCTCTCTAAAGAGTAGAGGGTCGGCTTGTCCAAAGCCAGCATCCCTGATGGTCTGGGGATCTTCAGAGTCCATCTTATAGGTAGCTTCCACATCTGTAAAGGCTCCATTAAAGCTGTGCTACTTCCATTTATATTATGGATCATCTAAGGACACTATGCACATGTCCTGGCCGGAAACCAGGTTTTGTCAAATCAGTATTTTTAAGACATGTGCAGCCAGATTTAGTAAATGTTATCTTAAGCAGGATTGGAAAGTCTGCTTTTCCGATCCTAACTCTAACTTCAGTGTACAGCTGCAGCATAATGGGAAAAGGGAAAATCAATATTGGTTGATAAACTGGGTAGATTTTGTAATGATATCGGCGTACAGTAAATGGTTTACTGCTGAAAACAACATTTTATTACAAGTGAGATCGATGAGGTCCAGCACAGAGCTGCATCGATGTAGAATACAGATAGCTCTGCCTTTAAACCCTCTGTCCTCTCTCGCTCTCTGTGTAGCCCGCTCTGCTCCTGCAGACAGTTTACTTTGAATTCAGTGTCCGTCAAGTTTGGCCTTTTCACGGCGTAAAATAGCCTGCCTCGTTTCTAATGCATGCTGGGAAACAGCCCTGTCACTGGAACATTTAATAGGAATACAGAATAGTGCAGACTGTGGAAAGGGTCAGTAATCTGCTCTCAAACACATCAGATATCAGTTCAGGCTGACGTCCAGGTGAGCAGCATCTCACCCTGCTGCTTTATCAGTGACAGATCAGATCCAGCCTTTCACAGGTTCCTCTGCTGTCCAGGTTTATTTCTAGCTCCAGGATGCAATATGTGGTCGAAGACCGACTGATGAATCCAGAAAGTCTCTGTAGCCCTTTACTTCACGGGCCATTTGGAATTAAGAGCTTTTCCGTCACGTTAAAGGTGGAATCAATTATTTTTTAAAGCTGGGACTTTCTGTTCAACTGAATTCAGGGTCTAAATGACTAAAAGGCTCATGAAGTTTCAGAATTGCTCCAGAAGATGTGTTCATCCTGCAGCAGGTTAACAGGCCGTAACATCTGCACCATCATTCTTGATGGATTTGTGTCCCTGACAGGCTCGTACAGAGTCTGACAACATTACAGAAAGAATCCCTGCAGAAGCGGAGGGGGATTTCTGTTGATCAGTAATAGATGTTACTTCACTTTCCTCAAAGACACCACACTACTTTGGAAAGTACATAAACATTATTCTAATTGAGTCTGAGAAAATGTTTAAACAAATTCCTTTCCTAAATATTCAAAAGTAGCTTTAATCCTTAGGTTAAATTTCATGAGTATAAGTTGGAAAGCAGCACTGCTACATATGTCAAACATCTCTGGGGTCTCAGTCTTGGTCTTCTTACCGTCATGGGTACACTTCATGTATATCTTCTGCTGAGACACACTTCAAAAAAAAAAAAAAATTCCTCCACAGAAAATGGTAATATATTGCACAACACCGCTGACAAGTATAAACGTGAGGAACCGTTTAAGAGCTGTTTAAGTGTTAGGTTTGGTTATAGTCATATCAGAGACTGTGACAGTAGGAGCAATAAGAGCTAAGACAGCACCAGCAATAGTCTGAGGAGTATTGGTAATGTTATAGGAAGTGAAGAAGTAAAGAATATTAGAAACAGTATAAGTTGCAGTGGAGCTCAAATCGACTGCACCTTCATCTTCAGGGAGGATTGTGAGGTGACCGTGCTGCATTTGAGGTGAGTCTGCATAGTCTCAGCTCAGAGTAGTTTAGTTTGAGAACATCTCTTTCTTCTCAGTTTTAAACCTGTATAGGGTCCAAGTTCCATCTCTAATATAAAGTACCTTCTCCCACCACTTTGCCCCAGTAACGCTGACTTTTCTGTACCTGAGGGGAGGCGAGCAGCAGACTGAGCGTCCATGCCACTAAAAGCATGCGTCTGTTCCTGAGGCCAGCATCCAGAGAGTCCAGAGGGTGCAGGATGGCCCGGTACCGGTCCAGACTCACCACCACCAGAATGAATGCCGCAGAGTGCATGGCGAACAGCTTCAGGAAGCACAGCAGCTTACACATGATGTCCCCAGCGTACCACTGCACCGTGATGTTCCACACAGCGTCCAGAGGCATCACCACGAATGTCATCATCAGGTCAGCTGATGCCAGGCTTGCGATGAGCGGGCGCAGGTGTGCAGCCAGGCGATAGCCCCGCCCCCAGCACACGCTGATCAAGACGGAAAGGTTACTGCAGGCAGCAAAAACAAACAGCACCAGAGTGGCTGCGACACGACACTGAGCCGCAACCGTGAAGGAGGGAGCTTTCCAGGGGGAAGGAGAGGGGGGAGAGGAGTTCCTCAGGGAGAGGATGGAGATGTTTAGGGGGTCATCAGGAGGGGACACCCACAGTGACAAGTTTACTGACATCCTGAGACACAGAGACACAGAGGGAGGACACCAGAGTCAGACAGAGAGTGATAGGTTAACAGGTAAACAACAGGTAAATAGTTGTTGGACAGAAACAACCAAACAGGTAAAAAGTTGTTAGACAGAAACAACTGTGTAATACTAAAAAAGAAAAAAAACAGCTGGAGGAACATATCCAACTATTTTCAATGATTTCCAACAAGTTAGTAACATGACAGGGCATAAAAAGGACATTCAGAGAGGCTAAGTGTCTCTCAGAAGGAAAGATGGGAAGAGGTTCACCACTCTGTGAGAGACTGCGTCAGCTTATCGACAGCCACAGATACAGACAGCAGATATAAAGTCATTCTCTATAAAACAGCGTCAGGTTATTACTGCCCTAGAGTATCCAATTTAACATCAGCTAATATCAAAACCCAAATCCGGGCCTTCACCTCCACATTATTCTGCAGGTTTCTGTGCACGTTCATGGATTTACAGGACAAACTCTCTGCAGTGCTGGAAGGAAAACGGTCTGCAGTTATACATATTTTATGTCAGTATTTTTGGTTTCTGGATATTTCTGGTTAATGGATGCTTTTAGGGAGGTGAGGGATGAAGGCGTGCAGACAGAAAGTCAGATTCAGAGGGAGGACTTTCTCACTCTTACACAGACTGAGACTTTTATTGTAGAAGCAAAGGAGTGTCAGTGATGGTTTTGAGTTTGATCGAAACTGAAAATGCAAAAGATGTAGAAAAAGGTTAAAAGGAATAAAAAAAAACATAATTAAGATGTAAAAACCCCAAAATATGCCTCATTTTAAACACGCTTGTTACTAATAATGATCTGTTTTTATCAGGTCCACAATGTCAGAGTCAAAACAGATAACAAAACCAGGTAGGTTCCCAAATAGCCTACAAAGAATTGTTTTAAGTATTTTGATAAATATGATAAAAACACTTGAACCAAAGTGAGAATAAAACATATGCATTTGTGTTTAAAATGAGACTGTGGGCAGAAGTGGACTGCAATGTGCACCAATAACCAGTTTCCATTTAAACTCTTTTGACATGGTAAACATTGTCAAGAGGAGCAATCCCGTTCAAAGTCCACTCTGAGCCCAGTTAGATCTCACCTCAGCCGGGTAACCCCCTCTAAAACTCCACATGGTCGTACATAATAAACATACACACACGACCCCAATCCCGAAGCCCTCTGCACGCTTTATAAAGAAATATTTGCATTTTATGATCTTCTCCTGCAGAGATCGGTGCAGTTATTCATTTTTGAGGCGGTGCAGTAGCGCCCTCTGCCGGCTGAGTCCTTCATGTGTTGTTGCACCAAAGACTGTCAGCAACATGATGATTCATTTGAACACAATCAAAGCTGCACACACTGCTCATAAATCCTCTGCTCCCTGTATGAAGAGGCTCTGAGAGGATTCTCTCTCCTCTTTCTGTCACTTTCTCCTCACCCTCTCCTCCTCACAGCTCACTGCATCACTTGTATACAGTATAGAGAGGAGTGAGAGGAAGAGGGGGGGACGCGCCCTGATCCCCCACAGACCTGTTCACATTGACTCACAAATACTGAATCTTTAATATCACTTTAAAAACAGTTTAAATGCATTAAAAATAGTAACCGGTTGTGCTACCTGAGGAGGTGTCTGCAGTCCGCTGGGGGTCCGGGGGGGATCAGCCCTGCAGAATTCCGGTTCCGTATCGGAGCAGTCCAATGTGCTGAAGCATCACTTCTCCCGGTCCATGCACGTCGGCGCTTTCACCCCCACTCCTTTCACTCACTTTTTATCACCAATAGATCATCGATTAACGGGACTAAAATGATTCCTCCTATCGTCTCCATCTCCCGCAACCCTCTGCCCTCCACCGTGAAAATCTCCTGCGTGAACGGCGCGAGGATCGCTGCCGATTGGTTAATTAAGGCGGGTGACGTGCGGGGTGTTGCAGCGGTAGACTGCACCTTTGTGATATGAGACACATCCTGGGGAATTTCCAGTCTGAGCGGAGTGATAGGAGGTCTTTGTGCAGAGCAGGTGAAGAGCACCACACAAACACACACACACACACACTTGTCTGTGTGTTTTTATTCAATCCACAAACATCTCTGTATGAGACTCAGGCTGCAGATACACAGAGACATCGTCCACCTGCTGTCACCGAACCTTTTACACTTGGACGATTCAATCCCGATGTAAAGACTGCTTGTTTTATTTACAGTAAATACAATCAAAATTCAGGTGGTCACATTAAAATATCTGCAGGTTCATGTTTCGCATCGAGTCTCGTCAGTTTTCCCAACAATCTGTAAGTGTTAGTGAACCCAGGAGACCAGTTTCTGGCGTATGAAAGTGAAATGGGGGACTAGTTTATCAGCAGGACTCTTCTACTACAGATCCATGCTGATGTAATCCCTGCATAATGTGGTTTGTCGTTGTCCTGCTGAAATATGAAGGTCTTCCCTGAAAAAGTCATTGTCTGGATGCCAGCAGATGTTGTTCCTGTACACCTGTAAATCCAGGCGGTCCTTCTAGTCTTTAGCGAAGAGAGGAGAGGAGGTTCATTATTTCCAGAAAGAATGACAGGTTTTAATCTGTAAGACCACAGGACAGTTTTTCACTTTCCCTCAGTCCGTAGTCTGTGAACTTGTGTTTACACAGTATATGCTTTTTATCTTTTAGTTTCACCTACAACACAGACAGAAAAATGATTTCCAAAAAGAATGTCAGGTTTCAAATCTTCAGTACTTAAATGGGCTCAGGTCCAGAGAAGTTTCTGTTTCTGGATCCTGTTTCTTTGGTTCAGTTTTAACCTCGTTTGTGAATGCAGAGATGTACTGTGTTCACAGACAGTGGTTTCTGAAGTGATTTTGTTCCATGAGATGATTTCTACTACAGAGTCCTGTCTGAGAGTCTCAGCCTCTCTAAATGTCATTTTTATACAGTCACGTTACTAACCTGTTGTAAATTAACCTCATTGGTTGGAGATGTTCCTCCATGTTTACCTGTTTGGTTGTTCCTCTATAAGAATATTTTATCTTGGTTGATGGTATCAAATTTGAAACGAGCAGAGATTTTCATTAAAAATGAAAACATACTAGTTTAAAGATCTGATTTGTTTTCTTTATACTGTCACTATATAAACTCAGACTTAGATAAACACTCATAGCAGTGGTTGAAATGCAGCAGTGTTGCGAGTGATTGTGAGGGATTGATTGATTGGTCTATAGATCACAGCCTCTATTCTCGCTCCATCACCTCTATCTGTTCACCCGTCATCATTAGACGCTGATTTATGACATTGTCCTGCAAAGAGCCTCTTTATGTTGTCTGAAATGTGTCTCTGTCTGATGCCTCGTTCTCTGAAGGGCAGTCCAGATCTCTTATAGTTTTACCCAGATTGGTCTGTGTTCAGGTAAAAGACACAGAGGGGTTTCAGTGTGTGTGGGTGGATGTTATTTTCCCCAAAGGAATGCAAATGATTTTATTCTTCACTGAGGTATCCTGAGTTTTGACTCTGCTACCTGACAGAAACAGAGTCAGTGTGCAGAGCAGCTGCAGACAAGAGAAAAACTGTCAAAGATAGACTTTTACTGGTTGTATGAGGTACCTGTCCATAATAAATATGTTACTAGAGGATCACAGTCAGCTCAGCTCCTTTGTTGAGAAACCAGCTAGAGAACCAGAGCAGGAGCTAGACTTTCAATATCAGGTCCATGTCATATTTAGGAGCCTTTCAGAGCTTTACTTTGCTGTCAGACAACTGAACATAAACTTGACCCTGAGGTGGAAGGTTCTCTTACTAGGTTAATAGGAGGGTTAATATATGGAAACCAGGTGATTATGCAAAATAGAATACCTTCAGTGCAGACAGACCTCATCACATCAAGGTCCTGACCATCTAGCTGGGATCGTGATTTGCACAACCATCAATTATACGTCTGTAATGCTGTGTACTAATATACTATATTTACATTATTCTATATCCACTATACACTAATGGATGGTCCTGATCTTCAGAATGGCCTTCACCTGAGGCCATTTAAGAGGGACTGTGGGGAAGAGGAAAACTGTTGAGGGGTTTGATCAAACAAAAAACGACAATCTTTTTGGAAATTATGGATGCTGCATCCTCATCTCTAAAGAGTAGAGGAACCACCTGGCTTGTTCTCAGCTCACAGTCCAAAATCAGCATCCCTGGTGGTATAGGGATCATCAGAGTTCATGTCATGGGTAGATTCCACATCTGTGAAGGCTCCATTAATCATGAACAATATCTACAGGTATAAGAGCAACATATGCTGCCATTCTCCCATTCTGCAAGGATAACAACAGCATGGCTCTGTAGTAGAAGAGTCCTGCTGATAAACTGGCCTGACTGCAGTCCTTTTTGTCCACCATTGAAAACATTTGGAGAATTAAGGCACCAAAAATAGGACAAAGGAGACTCTGGACTGTTGAGCAGCTGAAATCGTCTATCAGGCAAGAATTGGACAACATAAGCTAAGGACACAGAATGAGAAACATAAACCTAGAACTACTTTTTACAAAAATGTTACTGACATCAATTTAACATTTTACAGTTTTAACATGTAAATCTTTGTATTAGCAGTATTTTCAATCAAGGCTTTAAAGGATTTGTTAACCACTGAAATACAGTTTTATCAAAATTTTACACTGAATTGAATATTTTTTTGAGTTGGGAACAGAAAAGCATTTTTATGCATTAACATTACAGATTTATTTTTCAGCACTGAAGGTTCCATGTGTAGTTTCTCACAAATTTATCCTTTATCTTTTTATATCATTTAGTTTTTTTATTACTGGTAAATTACTGATTTGTACAGCTTTACTGAATATTTCATGAATTGTGAGGAAATTCAAATAGACTGGTTTATAATTCTTCTTATCATTATGTTTTTGTCATTTTCAGTGAAATTATTAGATTTGATTTGAGGTAAGAGGATGTGTTTTTATATGTTTTTAATCATTTTGTCAGTATGAATAAGTTCAATATCTAATGTTCACTTTCAAATCAATGAGAATAAAAGGTTTTTCTTGGTGCATTCATGAGCTGTTATTAAAAATAAGTCTTAGTTTATGTAATTGAGGAACCATGACTCCATTAGCCTTCTTAAAATAACTACATTCATAAATAACAGCAGCACAGACCTGTAGGATACGTGCAGCAGACTCTTATGCAGCCACCAGAGGGCTCAGTCTGCATGTTAGTCACCATGAAAAACAGCTTTTAGCTTAATCCAACTCGGTTCATTGTCTGCAGCCTGTAAGCAGGACTGTTGTAATGTGCAGTATTGCACAGCCTCCAGATGACTCTGTCCTGTCTGCAGGTCACTCTGTGTGAGGACGGGGTGAATGAAATCACTGCTGCTGGTTTCTAAAATATTCTGTAAATGAGATGGTTCATTCTGTAAATACAGACACTTCTGAACATGGAATTACAACAGTATTGTACAGCAGAGCCACACAGGTATTTGCACGGAATGAAAGTAGAGATGAGGTATAAGAGAGGATGAGAATGAAAAATTCTGAATTTTACAAAATGTAAGGAGATTATGTATAATTGATTTTTTTTTAACATGCAAAGTAGGTCAGCAAGACTACAAGCATCATGTTAAAGGTAGGAGTTTGTGGCTTCACAGGTGGTAACATACCTGTTTAAAAAAAATCATAAATTATTTTTTGATCCCTCAAATGCCTCCAGACAAAGTTCCCCCTCTCTGCATATTTAAACAGATAAGATACCTCATTATAGAGGAGTCTGACTCACATTGAAGAGTGGTTCATTGCATCCTGATTGCGTGCTTATTGCATCATTTACATATTTTGCATAAACCCGTACGTAAATAGACCACCACGACTACTTGCACTGACATAACCGGGGTGCAGTCAGACCTGCAGACGAGCATAGATGTACACATTCCTAACATTTACCTGACATATTTCAGTTCACCAACACCTGTACGGTGCATGACGGTGCAGGTAAAGTGTAATATGTGAGGACATGGTGACTGACAGTGCACACATAGCTCACGGCAAACAGTCATGTCGTTCACTATCATCCATCTCCATCCGCACTGCTGTCACTGTTTGCCCTGTCTCAGGTCTTTGTCATGCACATGCGTGTTTATATAGCCGTTAGATGCCTGATGGGACATGAATTAAGGTTAGAAATGTGTCAGCAGGGTTTTTTATTTATCTCTGACAGCTCAGTGAAGGAAACCGGCTGACTTTAGGTTAGATCATTTACATAAAAATGTGTAAAAGGCTCGGTTATTTAACTGAATGTAAGCGAACACATTGTTTCTTTAGCCCCACTGGAGTTAACATGGCTCTCCGTCCAGACACAGACAACAACATACTACCAGCCAATCAGCGCTCTCTATGTCTACGCCGCGGAAATGCTTGACCAATCAGACGCAGGAGTACGTTCAGAGCGAACTAACCAACGGTGTGTCTGGGTCTTTTGGGGAAACCAACAGCCAATCAGCTGTTAGTCTGGGCTTCACGGAGTCACAACCTGACCAATCAGCGCTCTGTCTAGCTGCACCGAGGGGGCGACCGTCTGCCGAGGCCCAATCAGCGGCTCAGTGCTGCCTGCCGGTGCCGGGGACTGGTGGTGAGGAGCCCGCTGCAGCGCGTCAGGACCGGACCGTGAACCCGGAGACGGTACACACCGAGCCGAAAGGAGACACAGGTGAGCCCGGGGATGTGCGCGGGGCCTGGCTGCGTCGGGTAACGGTCAGCGCCGGACGGTTAGCGGGCTGTAGTGTCGTGTTTCTGCCGGTGGATCCGCTGACAGACAAAAGAGCGGCTCTGTTCGCTGTTTATTGATGCGGGCTGACATGTTGGCGACCAGCAGACAACTGTTAAAAATGTGAAAATACCAGCGGGGACGTGAACGGTTATCTGGATTATAACGATGTTGATAAGATGATAACGGAGCTGTTCGCGGAGATGTTTTGATTTCATTGTGATGGAAACGTTGAGAGCGGAAAGCCTCCAATCCGTTTCATTGTTTGATCCGGAGTCTCTGGGGGTTCAGTCAGACCGGAGAAAGAACCAGCCTCCTCTAAATACTCGTTAACGTTGATTTAAAGAGCACCGGGGTGCAGATTAGACGTTAAAACGGTTTTATCGAGTTATATTGAGGCGAATCTACGTGAAGAGGCGGATTAAAAGGCGCTAAGAGGAGGCCGGGGGGGCTGATGCCTCGCAGCAATTAGGAAGAAAAATTCGAAATGCATCAGCCATTTAGACTCAACTGGCTCCATATGCACCTAAATGGCTGCCTGGCGCCTGACAGCAGAAGCAGCATTTCACTGTAAGGGCTCAGTGCAGGGGCGTGTCTACACTTTTTGGACTAAGGTGGCCCAACTGGGGCTCTGACTTCTCAAGGATGGCATAAAGTATGTGTGCACACACATGAATGAGCTGCATTTATTTACCCTTTCTGTCTCCTCCAATCACATCTGATCTAACAACTGCCTCTAAAGCATCACTCAGATGGTTCACTCCTGTGTGTTGTATCAGGTTTTTGACCAGTTTGGGGGGATTTTACAGACCTCCACTGAGAGGACAGGACTGCGATTAGAGGCTGAACCAGGACAGAGAGAGCGAGGATCACATGCAGAGAAATGTCAAAGTATGTGGCTGCAGTTACAGGACTGCAAAGGAGAGACCACATCTCCAGGACCGGCATATTGTTGCAGGGTTATGCTTGATTCAGGATAAGGATTAGGGTTAAAGCTTAGCAAAAAAAAAAAGATAAGCACTAGTGCAGATAGGCACTAAAAATAGTCACCTTAGATTCTAAAACTGGTTAGGTTGGATACTAAAGTGCAGTTGGATTCTTGAAATGGTTATGGTTGAATACTATAAGTGCATTGAAACTCTAAAATGGTTATATTAGATTATATAAGTGCATTAAGACACTAAATATAGTTATAAATAGACACTAGAGAACAGTGAAGGACTAAAATTGACTATTTTAGAAACTAGAAAGATGTGGTCCTTTGTGAGCACCATGGAGGTCTCATCCCCAGAAAAAGTCAGTTATGGTCTCAGAAATGTGGTCCTGAATCTGCAGACTCTGTTCCCCTAGCTTCTCAGTAAAAGAGGTGCTTGATTTAACTGTTGAGCTAAACCGTCACCAAAGTGTGCAATTTTATAGACAAAATGTATATGTCGACCGATTGGCAAGATATAAATCTTGTAATTAAATATTTTAAGGACACAGAAAGAGGTTTTCTGTTTTAGGGTACTTCTAAAGTTACAAGTTAAAGGTCCTTACACACCAGGGCCGACGCAAATATAGAGCGCGAAATTATTAAATATTTGGATGAGAATTTTGACGCCCCTTACTATACACATCAAGCTCGATGCGATTTTGCGACTTTCGGGAGGGGAAAAGACACATTCGGGGGAAGACTTTTGCCGGAGAAAGTCCCGCCTCCTTCGCCTCTGATTGGCTAGAAAAGCTGGAAACGTCATCACACGCTCAAGCCAAACGGTCAGCACTTACAGCCAATCAGAGGCAATAAGATAAGCATATGAAACTATGGTAACAACCGTTAGCATACATTAGCACAGATGAAAGTTAAAACAAAGACGTTTAGCAAACTGTTAAAGCACACAAAACATCGTCATATGAGAACTTCGACGCTATCACTCTCCACAAGTTTTCCTTCGGGTCGTTATCTTTGTAATGTTTGTGTCTTTTATCAAAAGGCACTCTGTTTTCCGACATGTAAACAATCAGCTGGTCGGCCATGTTGGATATACTGGTGAATCAGACTTCGCAACACCAAGAAATCTGATTGGTCAGAAGTGGACACACAGTATGCGAAACTTTAAAAAAATCGTGATCCGAAAAAATAAATGCCCCACTATCGCAGGACAGGAAAACGTCGCTGATGTGAACGATTGTATTGACAGGATACAGGTTCGAAAAAAAATATTGATGTCCGAAATAATCACACGACAAAAACGATCCCGTGTGAAAGGACCTTAACTCTTGCACACTGTCTAGTTTCTGCTATTTTATTGACTCGGCGTTGTAGCTTGATGGCTCTGCTCAAACACTAGATGGCAGTGCAATTTTTGTGCCAGTCTTGGCTAGTTCCTGGTTTCGCTTTGTCCTCTGGTGGTTCGTGAACAGGACACCATGTTAGGTTGCAGCTGGAGATGATAAATGTTGAGCAGCAGCTGATCATAGTGCGATTTTTTGCAAAGAAGAGGGAGAGGAAGTGGAGTGTACAGTTGCCAAATTGTAGTAGATGGTGGTGTCAGTAATTTTGTAAATGCAGGATATAAGATGCTACCCATTGATTCATTGGTACTACTTATGCATTTTTTAGAAGGTTCCTGTCAGACTATGTTCAGCACAGGTTTGATGCAGAGGTATAGATTAGACGTGACTGTTTTATATTCTGTGTACCTGTCCAACAAGATAAATCTGTTAATTTATTTTCAGATTGAAAGAAAATGTGCCGCAGTTCAGTAAAACCAGCCCTGCCTTTGACAACGCAAACAGCTGATAATATTTCAGGTGTTTTGGGTGGTGAGGGGGGCCAACACTGTCCCTAAACACCCCCCTGAGGATGCTTCTCTCTGTGTGATCCAGGCCGAGCGGCTGATTGTATCCTGAGCAGGGGGATTAGCGGAGGAACATGTCCAGATGACGTTAGAGAGCGAGGGGGGATCAATATTTAATGTGTGCTGCCTATTATTCTGCAGTATGCACGCGCTCATGTCGTGCCTGTTGGCCTGAGCTGGTGTCTGCTCTGCTGCTGCAAGATTTACATGAGTCACATGCAGATGCATGACTGCTACCCTGCCTGACTGTGCTGTGTACTCCCCATTACATTAGCGGATGTCGAGTCCGATTGTATTAATGCAGCAGTCGTCCTTTAACAATCGATCACACTCATTCACAGCTGAAGTTCCAGTCCAGATAAACAGTAGTCCATCGTTCGGAGATGTTTGCACAGTAAAAAAACGGTGTCTTTGTGAGCCGACAGCAGGACTGCTGCTGTAATCTCTGACTTTGCAGCAGCTGTTTGTGTCTCCTCGTGCTGCTCGCTCCACAATCCTTCCACCTGAGCGTGTGCAGGTAAAGTGTCTGCACAGCCTTTTGGTTTGTGAGATAAAAGTTGGCAGACCTTGATACACTCAGCCCTCCACTCTCACTGTGATAGTGGGTCTGTCTGTATGAATGAACGGTCCCTGCTGTTGAAGAGTGTGAATGAACTGTAGTATTCTCAATGATGGAGTCCTTCCTCTTCCTATTTCAGGCTCAGGGTCCCCCGGCAGCCCCGCTAGCATACAGATGAAGACGCTGTACTGTTAGGACAGAGCTTTACAGTAGCTTTACACTGCTGTGGAGGGATTTTATTTTTTTATTAACAATAATCATTGTTGTTTTAGCATCATTTAGCTGGACCTTTTCTAGGACATTCAGGTCAGTGATACAGGAAAGAGAATCACTCCTGCTGCATGAATCAGTCTGAAATGATGAGTTTGGACATGTTTGAATACCTGCACTTCAGATAATTCAGCTCTATGAAACCATTGTCTCCAAGCGTGTCCTGATCAGAAGCTTTTGTACCCGAAAACATGATCAGATTGCAGATATTACAATTTATCTGCGCATTTGAAAATGACTAATGATGAATAATTATTTATCATTATAGTCTTCCTTATCTCAAGGTTGACCGCTGTGAGTTAACCTGTAATTATCTCAGTTATTTCAAGAGCTCTCACTTCGTACTTATTTGCAGAATTTTAATTCCTGATTATGTTTCAAATCACGTTTAAAATCCCATTATGCGTTTGTCAATACGAGTGCTCGCACCAAATGTCCAGGTGGAGTCAGTGTGGTGTACAGTGACTCTGAGATCATTTGGATTCCTGACGTCCAGGGATCCCTGGTTATTGTGACTCTGACATCCAGCTCTTGTTTGTGTCCGATTCTTGTCGTCATCTGCTCTTTCCTTTGGTTAGGCTTCTACATAAAACACATCTGTGCACTCCTGAGATGCCAGATAGAGGACAGAATAATTAGCCAATCTGTGAGTACGGATGATAATCTACTTGCAGACTGTGAATGTTTGTGCACAAATCTTTGTCTTGGTCTGGCACCTGGAGGACTCTTGAAACATGCACTTATATAAACGCTGATAAACCAGCCGTCTCTCTGCTTCGTTCTCCAAATGAGCGCCATAGAGCTATCTTGTGAACTGAGCCACAGCGACGGGGAGCACTCTTCGAATCATGTATATTTATTTTTGATTATCACGGAACATGAAGAAAACGCGCGTAACTACATCCAGTTTTTCCGCCATGTCTAATTCTGTTCGTTCTGTCTGATAGTTACTCGCTCTTTTGCGTGACTCCAGCTCAGAATCGGTGTCAGAGATGATTCGCCTCTTCAAACACAAACCTGCAGAAATAACATCTCTGCTGAGTTTGACGTGCAGCGGCTTCTTTACCGTTTCTTTAATGAGAAACTCTCTCTGTTCAGGGAAACTTGTTTGGTGTTTCATGGTTGCTCCGTGGGCTCAGTTCCCGACCACATGAAAAATAATAAGAGGAATGACTGACAGTGTAAATGTTACCATGCAGACCAGGGGGTTAGCTTTGTGTGCTCTTTGCAGGAAATGTTTTGTGTCAGATTTTCTAATTTTGAGAGGAATAGGTCTCAGAGAATTGTGTTTGTTTGTGTCTATGACATTTTTGAGACACATAACGGGGAACAGACTCTGATTAGCTGCTCTGAGGTTCAAAGGAGAACAGCTGGGATGATTTTGCAAAGGGTCCGACAGAAAAGGTGGGCTGTTTGTAATACATACAGGACAAAGAAGCTCTAAAGAAACAGACCTCTGGATAGAATTCAAGTGTGTTTGTGTTTGGATGCAGCCTGGAGACTGATGCAGACTTTATCTCCCTTTGTGAGAAAACGTTGAAGACTCTCAGACATTTTAAGGTCAGATCATGTTGTGTAACTAAGTTCATTCAAAGTTGACGAAAAGAATTCATTTAAAAATGATCAGAAAGCTTTCAAACTGAAAAATAATCTGAGTCACAGCCCAGAGATGTTGGTAGGGTTGATATTGTGCTTCCAATAGGGTAATATTTACCTGTAGCCACAAAAGGGACCAAGAGGAGCTCTGGGAAGAGTTCATTCAGATCAGAGGTATAGTGGGGTATGATACATCTGAGTTATCATTAAATTAGACGAAGACCACCAATGAGGATCTCTGTTAATGTGTCTCTTCTCACCTCATCACTTCCTGAGCGTCTTTCTTTAAAACTGCAGAGTACTTTTTCAATCGTCTTCTTGAGGTTTCAACTCTCTCCTAATATTAAGACAGCAGTAGGAGCCTCACACTGATCACCTCAGTCTGGTCGCATTAGTTAAAGTCAGTGCTGCTGGTCATCCTTGTCCACGCATTAACCAATCGGGTTCTTACCTTGAGTATTTTGCACATTCTTGGGCGTCTAGACCAGCAGGGTGACATTATTAAATACCCATTTTCAAAAAATGTGTGCTCACCTCAATCTGAATTTAAAATAATACTTGTGGCTCGTGCAGTAGCATTATGATGTACATTTTTTAAGCTTTTACCTGTCGTTTACGTATGCCGTTCTCAGTGCAGTGTGCTTGTGCTCTTCTCCTTATGTGTTCTTTGTTTGCATGGTGGTCGTTGTTGGATTTTAATTAAGTCTCCCCAAGGGAACAGTAAAGTGAATCGTATCGAATTGTATCGTATTTCTCTGTGTGAATGCAGCAAAAGCTGACGCTCAAGTTCGTGAACTTCTGCAGCAGCAAAAAGATTGCACAGCTGCGGCAGACACTCATTCTGCGACCATCCTCTCTACAAAGTGAAAATACTCAATATCAGGTAATCAGAAGAATGAAATATGCACTGTGCTATCAATTTTCAAATATACGCCGAATCCTTTATTTGCTTTTTTTTTTTGCTGAGGGCACCAGGTCTTTATATGAATGGGGCTTGTATCAGAGGCAGGCCTTTATATCAAATCCTCTCAGGGTGAGAATTACAACAGGTTGTATTTTAGTACAAAATGAGGCCCTGATTCGCAGAAAGATTGCATGGCTTTTGTACTCACTAAATCTGTGCAAATGAGCAAAAAAGAAAAAACCCTTTCTGTAATTCACGAAGCACATGCTCAGGGTTCCATACTCCACAAACTAACCTGCAGAGCAAATGTTGCCTCTGTACTCCAGTGTTGTTTGCACACAAATAAATGATCCTGTATGCATTCATTTGGAGCTAAACGCAAACAAGCCGCACTGAAAAAAAATAAAAACAACCACCAGGATGACCTAGAAATAATAAATCTTTACTGTAAGTATGACTCTGACATGACTATTTCCATGATGATAAGGAGATAAATCACTGAAAATGTCCGTGACTCAACAGACAGGCTGCTATTATGCACAACAGAGTATTCATTTATTTGAACAAGCTGCTTTTTTCTAGTTTGCTCCAAGATGATTATAAACTGTGACATTTTGTCACATCTGACATGAATCAGTTCCACAGTAAAATGTTGAAGTCCTCTCCATCCAAGTCATCGCAGACTCTTTTTATATAGGTCAGGATTAGAGCTCACAGTGCAGCTCTGAGCAGAGGAGAGTGGAAACGCTGACAGGTGTGTTTTCAGTCACAGTCAAACCAAAAACAGGAGCAAACTGCACAAAGATGCTCCGTGACGTAGTCCACTGCAAATTTGACATTGGTATATTCACAAAGATTAAAAGGTGGAGGTATGACATCACTGAGAGCAGGTCTTTATTCAGTCGTAGATTCACATTATCCTGGTCACAGAAGAGGCCACAGTAAAATGTTGAAGTCCTCTCCATCCAGGTCATCGTAGGCTCTTAATGTAGGTCAGGATAAGAGCTCACAGTGCAGCTCTGAGCAGCAGAGAGTGGAAACGCTGACAGCTGTATTTTCAGTCACAGTCAAACCAAAAACACAAAAACAGGAGCAAACTGCACAGAGATGCTCCGTGACGTAGTCCACTGCAAATTTGACATTGGTATATTCACAAAGATTAAAAGGTGAAGGTATGACATCACTGAGAGCAGGTCTTTATTCAGTCGTAGATTCACATTATCCTGGTCACAGAAGAGGCCACAGTAAAATGTTGAAGTCCTCTCCATCCAGGTCATCGTAGGCTCTTAATGTAGGTCAGGATAAGAGCTCACAGTGCAGCTCTGAGCAGCAGAGAGTGGAAACGCTGACAGCTGTATTTTCAGTCACAGTCAAACCAAAAACACAAAAACAGGAGCAAACTGCACAGAGATGCTCCGTGACGTAGTTCACTGCAAATCTGACATTGGTATATTAACACAGATAAAAAGGTGACCGTATGACATCATTGAGAGCCTGTCTTCATTCGGTCATAGAGTCACATGATCCTGGTGGTCACAGAAGAGGCCTGGCTTCAGGCTGAATAATGATTTATTTACAGTTTGTCTGTTTGGTGTAATGAAAGTATCTTTGGCAGAGTGCTGAAGTTTAGTGAAGCAGCTACAGAGACGAGGTGCTCTTCACAGTGAGTAATGATACTGCAGTAATGTCACTCAGAGAGACAGACTCTGGCACCAGGTTTAACCATGTGGTTTCAAATTGTTGGAAGAATGACCAGCCAACTAAGAAGTCTGATAAGTTTCCACTGGGAGACCTGATTTTTGTCATTTCGGTTCTTTGTAAGAGTTTCTGGACTCTCTGTGTCCTCAGAGTCCGTGCGGATGTTTGTGGGATTAAAATGCTGGCAGTAGACCTCAGCCTGGATCAGGCCTGGATTAATCTGGCTGATCACACCTTAAACGGGGTGTTCTTCACTCTGGTGACATGATGGAAGTTTGAGGCAGTTGTGAACTGTAAAAAACGGTTTCCTGTGATTCCTGTGAGCAGCTTGTTGTCGCTGTTGCAGCCTGTTCGTGGTTGTGTTTCCCTCTCCCAGCAGCCATTTTGCCTGATCACAGCAGGAGAGTCACAGGTGTTAGTAATAACATTAATGATGGCGTCACTCTGCTCTCTGTAGCTGCTCCATATGTTCACCACATACATGCTGACTGTGGCTTTTCTTTAGTGCTGAGTTGGTAGAAAACTGAGGCTTTACAGCTCCACTATGCGTCTCCGGCAAACTTTACTCAACTTAAAAGTTCTTCATCAGTGAAGCGACAAAATCCACATCAGAAAAAGTCACATGATGTTGAAAATATTGACTCTTGAAGTAAAAATGTTATCTCTCACTTTTTATTTTCATGTGAATCCATATGGGTTAGTGTCAGGGTGAAAATGACAGACACCTCAGGCTGCAGGTCGAATCAGCTGACATCGTTTCAGGTTAATTACAGAGAGATTTAATGATAGGACTGGCTGAAGCTGTTTTCTGGTTAAACCTTTAATTACAGCTGCTCTTTGTGTTGAGATGAAGTTTAAAACGGTGTTTCTCTTTTCAGTCCTACACATCACAAATACACGACCCCAAATTATCTGCAACAAAAAGCAAGTCCAAATCAGAAAACTCTCTTATTTACCAAAAAATAAAACACCACGAGTCCAGATCTGCATTTGGTGTTAGAATAAACCAGGCTGGCCAACACTGCAGGGTTCCTGATTTTCTTATTTTCCGACAGAGCTCCTCCTGTAGCCTGGTCATTGTCTGCAGTCCCCTCGTGTGAATTTCAGCCCATAGGTGCTTTAAAGCTCTACAAATCACTGTGGTGTCACATTAGTGTTTCTGTACTTCCAAAAAAGTCCAGCAAAATGAAATATCTTTATTACTTAAAAAACTAGCTTCAGAAGTTCATAGGTTTCTAATTTATGTGTTAAGATTTAGTGCGTGTTAAAATGCACTGCTTTGATTTAATCACTGAATCCAGAAAAGAAAAAGAAGGGGACTACAGTCCCCCCCCCCAAAAAAAAAAAAAAAAAAAAAAAAAGAGATCAGGAACTAGTGACAGAGGGCGAATCCTTAGGGCAGATCTAGTTAACTTGCTTCTATGCTGATCTGTGCCTGTTTCTGTATCTAATGTAGGGAGGGTTAGAAATTTAACTTACAATATTTGCAAAATTCATGTTTCACAAACTCAGCGAAAGACAGCAGGCTGTAATGAGGAGTAAATGAAGTCAGCTTGACAAACATTTGAAACAGTTATGATGTAAATATTTCTCTGATGAGGCTCCGTATATTTACCTGCACTTGTGGTTTTTAGGTCTAACTGCTTAAACATGAGCAAAACGCCCCACAGGCTGAAAAACCTCCACAGATCACAGAGACTGCCACCAAGGAGATGTTTGACAGAGTGGTACAAAGTTAGACACCTGGGCAGGTGCGTAATGAAAACATGATGTCTTGGAGTTGTGAAATGATTTTCACTATTTATCACCAAATTTCACATTAATCACATCTGTCTTAATTTTAACTTAAACTCAAACAGATGTTTTGGGTGTTTTGTTGTCAGTGGAAAGGACTGGGGCTGGGCGATAAACCGAAAATTGACCGATACCGAAACTTACAACAATAACCGAGGTCATTCATGCCTACGTCAGTATATTCAGTGTCAAAAAAATACATAAATAAAAGTTGGTTTTGGATGTGTGTAGGTGGGCTATGGTTTCATGTCCCTTTAAGACGCTGTCCTACATCAGAGACGTGACTCCACCCCATCCAGTCCGTAACAAAGAGGGAAAGACAGGTGAGGAGATGGAGGACGGTTCAAAAGTTGTAAAAGCTGGAAAGGCGGCTGAAGTAGACGAAGTTAATGTGGGAGGGGGTGAGCAGCTTGTGGAGTAGTTATCGTCCATTTATCGTTATCAAGGTGAACTGCTCAATATATCGTGATATTGATATGAAGCCATATCATCCAGCCCATGGATGGACTGAGAGCTGAAGAGAGATGAAGAAATGAAGTAGAAGGCTGAGACGGGGCAGTGTGATTATCTGCAACTTTTCATTCATTATCTACCAAATATTCACCAGAAACACTGATACATTTAAAACTGTGCTGTGTTTCTTTCTTTGGGTCTGCTTTTACTCACCATTTTGCCTCTTCTGGGACCCGCCCACAACGCTATCTGATTGGCTGGATGTCCGAATTTGAACTGTTGGATATGATGCTGAAAGGTCCTTTTTGATCAAACATTTGCCAGCAGCATTTAAACAAACTCTGAATGGATCTTTGTCCAACAATTTGGATGTAATAGAAGATACAAAACTGTATTCATGCTGATATATCCAAGAAGTGACCCAAAATAAACCAGAGACACTGTTGGTGTGTCAAGGAGAGGAGGAAAGAAGCAACAGCTCTTTGAGTCATGAAGATGTTGTGTCAGAGTCTGAAGTAGATTATCCTACAAATCTAGACACTCTCTAAATCATATCATGTCTTCATTCACATAGCTTAGATGATTTTATGGGAATTTAAATGTCAGTTCATGACGTGTAGGAAAGTTGGAGGATCTGGCTCTTCAAAAATCTTCATCATCAGCGCTCTAAAGACGTAGATAACACGTCCACCTGACGCTGATAGCTCAGTGTGATCTGAATAAATGTGTGCGCTCTGATGGAGCAGGTAGTGGTGGTTTGGTGTAGTGAAAGAGGAGGTGGGTAACCAGCTGCATCTTTATTCTCTGAGTGCAGAGCGTGATCCAGCAGTCAGAGGCTGTGCAGCTGTGACTAATCCAGCCGCTGAATAAGCAGCAGTGTGCAGATCGCTGCTGCAATGCTGTGCTGCATTTTAGCCAGGTGCTGCACAAGGTCACAGCAGTCAACCTGTGAAGATGCAGACGTCCTTGTGATCGCTGTGAGCCGATGGGTGCAGCCAAGGCCAAGAGATACAGATATGATCCTGGAGAAACATGGAGGAGCTGTTTGAGAGAGGTGTGTTAACAGATTTTGATCGGTGTTATCAGAGGAAACAGCTGAGGATACGCAGGGACTTATCTGAGCACAGATGGATGGACTTCATTGATCCTAAACTGGAGAAACGTGTCACTGCAGCAGGTTTTCCGAGTATATAAAGCAACAAAAATACAAATAAAGTAAAAAAAAAAAAAACTGAAGCTTAAACAAAGAAATCTGAAGGAGACTTAAAATAGTTGAAAGCTTTGTGACAGGAAATGTAGGAAACTGTCAGGTGTCGTTTAATAGCTGTGAACGCTCTTTAGCAGACAGACTCCTGGTTTCTGCTCCATAATTAATTACCTTTGCTCACTAATGAATTCATTCATGCTGTCAAATTAATGAATTCATGCTCACAAATGAGAAAATTCACTCCAGAGTCAGAAGGGACTAAAGTTGGACGTTTTACTCTCCTGAAGTGTTTTTTTTTTTCACACGGTCTCACTACTCTGAACCAGGTGGGTCCACCTTCACCTGAGGAACGTGAGAGAGTCTGTCTGTAGATTTATAAATGAGAACTGAATGAAAAGTCATCACTGAGAGCTCAGGAGGAGAGAGGAGAGCAGGGAGAGGAGCAGGAAAAGAAAAGCAGGGAGAGAAAAATGAGGAGAAAAGAGAGAGGAGAGCAGGGAGAGGAGCAGGGAGAGACACAGGAGAAAGGAGAGGAGAGAGAAGCAGGAGGAGGAGAGAGAGAGGAGAGCAGGAGAGAGAAGAGCAGGGAAAGAAGCAGGAGAGCAAGGAGAGGAGCAGGAGAGAGGAGAGCAGGGAGAGACACAGGAGAAAGGAGAGGAGAGAGAGAGGAGAGCAGGAGAGTGAAGAGCAGGGAAAGAAGCAGGAGAGCAAGGAGAGGAGCATGAGAGAGGAGAAGAGGAGGAGAAAAGAGAGAGGAGAGCAGGGAGAGGGGCAGGAGAGAGAAGAGAAGAGCAGGGAGGGGAGAAAGGAGAGAAGGGAGAGGGAGAGGAGAAGGAGGAGGGAGAGCAGTGAGAGAAAAAGGAGGAGAGAAGAGGAGAGTAGGGATAGGAGCAGGAGAGAGGAGAGGAAAGCAGCGTAGAGGAGCAGGAGGAGGAGAGCAGGTAGAGAAGGAGGAAAGAGAAGAGCAGGAATAGGAGCAGGAGAGAGAAGAGGAAAGCAGGGAGAGGAGCATGGTGACTCGATGTGGGGGGGTGGCAGATGTGTTTATCTGTTTTTTTTTTTGTATGGGAGGTATGAGATTCATCCCTGAGAAACATGGTTAGGTTTTTTTTTTACTGCGTCAGGTTTTAATGAATGACAGACTCAGGACTGTTACCCAGCAGCAGTGCTCTGGAGAGAAAGGCATGACAGCTGTTTTGAGCCTAAAAAAAGGACATCTCCTTAACCAAAAAACTGTGGCTTTCCCTCCTGTAATATTGTCAGACATCTTAAAAAACCATCTGAACCTGTTGGTGGAACAGGAACTCTTAGTGGACATGCTGTGTTTGTGCGACCTGAGGTTTCTGTTGTAGCCATTATGAGCTATTCTGCTGATGTCAGCTTAAACAATCCCAAACTTGTTTAAGTGCTGTTGAAGACCCCAGACTCTGCAGAGAATAGGACAAAGATACGTATATATATTTCATACAAACGTATGAATACAAATACAGTCAGGGCTCATCCAGCAGAATTTTAACGTGTGAGAATGAGTATGAGTTACTGTCAGGGATGAACCCTCCATCTCAGAGTGAAATGTTTAGTTTACAGGTCTGCTGTTTTTGGTGTAACGTTTCTAAAAATAGCGTCTGCAACATTTCCTCCAGATGTAAACAAACAGCAGCAGCCAGAGTCGTACTTCAGCTCTGAAAATACCCAGAATGCAGTGTGCAGATGTGGAGATGGTTTTGTGTGATGGTGTGAGGATTAGCGTGGTTAATTTTCTGCTGATGTTGAGGAGCGTGTATTGATAGTCATCCTGGCTGCCACGTTCGGCCCCATTTTAAGATGTCTACCTCGCCGTGCCTCACTCTGACTAAACGTCTCGTGTTCCCGCTGCTTTTTTTTCCTCCTTTTCTTTCTTTTCCTCTGGTCGGGCTGGTGAAACAGCGTCTGCCCCACCCTGTGGTCTGAAGTTCTGCTCTCACTCTTTTCTTGTCAAAGTGCCAGCTCTTAAAGGAAGAGATTTTCCTCTTTCTGCTCTGAAAACACCGGGCCTGCTCCTCCTCCTCCTCCTCTTCACCTCCTTCTTTCTCTCTCTCCCCCTCTGACTGTCTCACTGTTCGACGTCCTGACCGCTAACGGCTACACATTAAGAGATAATTCCATACCCTGAGGTTACAAACCGGCTCAGACTGGCTCGGTGCGTTTTTCACTGTCCTCTGTTCCCTGGGTGAAAATAAATAAATTAAAAAAAAAGAAAAAAACAGAGAGAGAAAATTACGTCTTTGCCTTTTTTAAAGGAACACGACACTCATTTGTAGCAGGAGCAGCACGGCGAGCAGAAACACACCTCTGCTGTCTGAAGAGGAGAAAAATCTGTGACATTTTCTCAGTAAATACTTTCACCCTGAGCAGCAGAATCCAAGTATTTATGTTTTTATGAGGTTGTTTTTCTGGAAATGGCTCTTTTTAGAGAGGAACCTCAACAGATGTCCAACTGAAAAGACACGAAAACCTGACTTGTGATTTTGTCTTTGTCAGGGTCTAAACGAACAATGGGTACAAAACATTTTCAGAGGGGATTAAGTGGATTCTTTCACCCAGCCAAGGCGTTTACAGAAGCTGAATTTAAACTTTGAGACAGTACTGGTAAAACATAAATAATACTGATAATACATTAAGAACAATCTTCCTCTTAGCACATTGAATTGTGTCATTTCCTGGTTTTTATGTCCAACCTATGTATGTTTGTTTACTTTTGGGCATCAGAGAAAATAAAGGTGTAAAGGTGCATGTTCTCGCAGTACTGCACATTTAATCAGGGGCAGGTGGATATTGATCTAAATACATTCAAAACTAAAGGTGATTTTAATCCGAGGTCCAGGAACTGTAATGTAGGCTCATGAACATTGGTTTTAATTAAGACTTTTTCAGCAAATCATCTCCTAACATGCTGACTGAGTCTAAAACATCCTTGCAACATGCTAATAGGTTGGTTTTTCATTTAGTAGGTAAGTCTTAGACACATCATGTAGAGGGTAAATGTTTTTACCACAATAGAGGTGCAGCGGGAAAAAAAACAGTCTTTTAACCCCATTTTGGTGCACCTATAACTGCTCCAGAACTTTGCAGGGTTGCGCTGATGCATACAGTACCACAGTGATGGTGTTTTATTTGCCACCTGTTCTCTGCAGAGAAGCTTGCTGCCTCATAGTTAGCAGTAAAATATAGGACAGGATAGAAGGCATCGAGGAGATAGGAGGAGTAAAATAAATTCATACTAACATCACCAGTCCTATACTATGCTTTACTGTTGTTGAGTGACAGCTGATATGTCATAAAAGATCTGATCTGTAAGTGTTAGGGCCCGTGTACACCGGGGGCTTTTTTGTGCCGTAAGTGATAGGACAGTTTTACAATTTCAGCCCTCAGTGCCCTCAGCATCAGGAGTTCTTTGTTGCTGCTCCCTCAGAACTCACAGCTGAAAATAGATTAACTTTGGAGACACCATGGTGCTTTAAAATGCTTTAAGAATAGGAGGGACTTCCAGCATCAACTATGTCAACAAAGATGGTGTTGTAGAAAGTATCACACTCATTATTTTAAGATCTCAGTTTTAGATTCAGAGCTGCCACTAACACCAGGACACAATCCTTGTGTAGTTTTTACTCTTTCTTTGTACTCTGAAAAGTTCCCTAAAAACTCTGTGTCAGTGGACTCGGGCCCTTAATCACACTGATAATAGTGACCAGTGGAATCCTTGGACAGCAGCTATAGCTGTCTTTGAGATGAGATAGAGACATCCTGTGAATTATTGCTCTAACAGTCATAATCTAAAAACAGAAACCTGCCACCCACAGATCTGTATTTATAGTCTCAGAAAACTGTGATGGTCACTCTCTCTGTTATTTATGTCCGTTTTAAGGCCACTTTGGATGGAAAAACTAATTAATCCTTGAGGCTGTTATTCCGCCCCCACAGTGGCAGAGATTCAAACCATCAGTCAAAATCAGCAGAGTCCAATTTTATTGATCAGAAGAAGCCAAACTTTCACTTAGTTCATCCTGAGAGCTGATGGTGTGAAAGGACCTGGTGGTTTGGAGGGTGAATGTGGATCCCAGGTGTTATGGCACAGGGTCGAGTTTTTTTGTTTCAGGGTGGAGGAGAAGAAAGGGAATATTTTTGCCAATTTGATCATTGTCTAGCGGGCAAGATTATGAATGACAGTAAGAGTTTAGAGTCAAAAACAGGAGGGTACGATGTCTAACCCACTAAACTGAGAGTGTTTGGATGTTTATGTCCATCATCCTGCAGCAAAATATGACAGTCCTGTTCACAGTCATGGTCCCAGGACTCTGTCCAAGCATGTTTTTACTGTCTGAACACACAAAAGAATTATTTCAACACAAACTGTACAAATCTGTAAAACCTCTCCTCTTTTCAATTTCATTTTTTTCAACCGTTTTCCCTTAAACAAATCTAAGTGATTTACAGCAAATCTGCTTTAATTTTTGGCTGCATGCTTCTATCCTGTCTTATCCTGATAGTTTGACCTGTTAAACACCTGAGCATTACCTGACGGTGTTGAAAGTTGGTGCGTTGCCCGGTGTGGCTGTGCATGAATGAGGTGCAGCAGAACTGTCAGGTAAAGCAGGTGAAATAATCTGCGTAACAGTAGCAAGTTATTCCTCTCAGTTCACTGTGAATTTAGATTTTGTTTTGAATTACATCTTAATTATTCTTTGTAAATGAGGCCAGTATCAGTCTGTGTGACGTAGTTCTTATCCTGAACTGACCCAAAGTCTTGGTAAGCCGAACAGCAATGTGGGGAAAATAGAGAGACTCCTCAGGCCAGAGTGATATGTTGGATTTCTGCTGATGTACGATAAACTGATATTTCCTAACTAATTTTGGCCCATACTGATACCAATATTCACATACTTCTTTGTCATTTTAAAGACAAAAGTTTCTCTTGTGATTATAAATGTTACTTTTATTTTCAGTTTCCACTGAAGCAAACTTTAGCTGACATCATGTGCACATGATAAACATGTTACCTTTTTGTCTAATAGAGATATCATCAAAAATGCTCATATCTTGTGATACTGATAATTAAATTTAATTAATTAGTTTTATCTGCAGATAAAACATCATGCTGATAATGTTTTGCCACCTAGAATATTATAATGATCAGGTGTAGACCGATTATGGAGATGATATTTGGCATTTTGCTGATCATCAGTATTGGCCTTTTATTTGCAGAAAGCTGATTAAGTTAACAAATTAAGAAATCTGCAGTTTTGGCTGCCAGTGTGTGTTTTCCTCTGAGTCTGTGTCTCACATCTCTTTGTCTCACCCAATGTCCCGACCCCCACACTCACTGATTGGCTGGACTGTGATTCCCTTAAATTCTCATTTTTTAACATGAACTTTTTCATTTTTACCATCAGTACATATCCCTTTCAAATATCAGTTACCACTCTCACAAATTACCAATATTCAGTATTTGTATCTGCCGATATCAGTCGATCCCTGATTGCAGTATTATTGATTAGTAGGATAGGCATGGCAACATTTTACTGAGTCAAATATGTCCCGGTATAAATTTATTTAATGAAATGTTCACTCAGGTTCTGCAGTTTTGTTGTTCGTTTGTTAATTATTCAAATGCAAAAAAACCAAAAACTGTGATTTCTGTGTTATGTATCAGCCACCAACCAACCTGCTCTCCTATAATCAGTAAAACTGGATCACTTGCTGGAAACACTGTGTACCCTGTGTGGTAACGTAGTTTGGATTTTGCTGATGTGGCTGTTTTCAGTGAAATGTTGTGTTTTTATGGCCTTGATCACAGAACCAGGTCCAGCTGGTCTGCTGGTGTCTGCTGGAGCCTCAGACGGGCCCTGGATTCCTGGGTTTATTTATGGATTAAATCTCTTGTTTACTTTTGGAGGTTTTTTTGTCTGTGAAATACGTAAAATGAGTCTGTGTAAAATTTGACGTCTTATTTTGCCCAAAACATTCTGACATGGAAAAGGATGTTCAGCCTGAGAGGCTGCGGAGGTTTGGTTTCTGAAACAATCAGATCGGTGGATCAATAATCGGCTGATATCGGTGTGAGTCCAGTTGATTAGCAGGCTGATAATGGAGCACTGATCACTGATTGTTTTGTGTGTGTGTGTGTGTGTCGGAATGAGACGAACCCTCTTTCCTTCCTTCCTTCTTCCTTCTTTCTTTCTTTCTTTCTCTTACTTCTTCAGCGATGCTCTTTGTCTCCTCGTTCACCCCCTCCTCCTCTTCCTCTTCCTCTTCCTCCCCCTCCTCCCCTTTGCCCCCAACCCCCACCCCCCCACCTCCCACCCCCAGACCCCTCCCATCAGTACCCTCCACCCTCACACCCCCCCCCCCCCCTCCCCTCAGGCGACAGCAGAACAGGAATTGATTAGTGGCACGGCTTAAAAATAGACGACTAGTTGTCATAGCAACGCCCACAATGAGCTGTTGTCTAGTTTAATAAAGAGCAGCGTTGTGTCTGAGGTGGAAGGTGTATGTGTGTGTATATATATAAATATATATATATGTGTGTGTGTGTGTGTGTGTGTGTGTATGTGTATGAGTGTGTGTGTTGCTGTGCAGTCAGCAGGTGAATCAGTGTGTGTGTGTGTGTGTGTGATTTCACTGCGGTCCTGCTGGATGTGACTCCTGTACCGATCAATTGAACCGACAACAAAAACACCACCCGCATCCTTCGCCGCACTCCTATTGGCTCTGAGGCTGCATCCCGACGCCATCGACTCCTGAGCCACTCCACGCAAACCAATTACATCCCTGTTGCTATGGGCGCCGTCCTGATTGGCCTCATTAGTGTCAAAAACTGGCCATATGCAAATCCTGGTCATATTCCCAGCAGCCCCGTCATCAGCATCCTTTACAGCCAGGCAGCGTGTGTGTGCATCTGTGTGTGTGTGTGCGTGCGTGTGTGTGTGTGTCAGCTGGACCAGCAGGCTGTGCCCTCCGTTGGCACAGGGAGGGGTTTGTTGTTCCCGGACATCTCTCCATCTTTACTCACTGTAGTAGCTGCCTCTGGTCGTAGTTTTTTCGACCAGGTCGTAGGACTTTTAGTATGAGGAGCCACACACACACTAACACACACGCACACACTAACACACACGCACACACACTCCTGTAGATCAGACTTCAGTCGTCACACTGGTGTAGTAGCATGAATAAAACACACACAAAATTTGCTATAAGGGGTGTTTTGATTTCTGTTTAGAGTGTGAGTAGTATTGACCAATCAGGAGTAAGCAGAATGTATGGGGAGCAAAAGCAGGGGGAACGCAGTCCTCCATAACAACTCTAGCTCACATTGATGCTCATCTGAGGAGAATTTTGGTAAACAGAGCATAACATAGATGGCAGCTTTCAAACTGCATACAAACAGCATAGTCAGCTACCAACGACAAAAATATCTGTGTTTCAGGTGTGTAAATGGTTAATCGTTAATTGTAGTTAGAAGGAAGCTGATGGGTGTTACGGTCCTTACACACCGGGGCAGACGCGAATATAGAACGCGAAATTACGAAACATTTGGAGGCGAATTTTGACGCGCCTGACTACACATCAAGCCCGATGCGATTTTGTGACGGTCAGCACTTATAGCCAATCAGAGGCGAAGGAGGGCGGGACCTTCCCTTAACAAACTACAGCATCCCGGTTGGAAGCGAGAGGACAGAAATGGAGTCTATTTCAACTTTTAAGTGATGGTGAATTGGTACTCCTTTTGCTTTCTCAAAGAAAAAACATAGCACATGGGTGCATCCAATGTTACAAAAAAGAAGAGAACTTGGTGAGTTTCACTGCTTGTTCAGGAGCTGAAACTGTACCATGGTCGCTTCAGAACCTATTTTTTCGGATGTCCGTTGGACAATTTGAAGTTCTGCTGAAACAATTAGCTCCAAGTTTGAAGAGGCAGAGGACTAGACACGAGTGTTGAGATGGCTGTCTGTCATGATAGCATGTACTGAGTCGGGGCCAGTACCAGATAAGCACATGAAACTGTGGTAACAACCGTTAGCTTACGTTAGCACAGATGAAAGTTAAAACAAAGACATTTAGCAAACTGTTAAAGCACACAAAACATCATCATATCAGAAATCTGACTCTATGACTCTCCACAAGTTGTCCTTCAGGTCGTTATCTTTGTAATGTGTGTGTAAACGATCATAAACAATCAGCCGGTCGACCATGTTGGATATGCCAGTGAATCTGACGTCGCAATAACACGCAATCTGATTCGTCAGAAGTGGACACACAGTATGCAAAACTTTAGAAAAATTAACCATTATCCGAGAAAATAAATACCGCAACATCGCAGAACGGGAAAACGTCGCTGATTTGAACGCTTGTATTGACAGGATACAGGTTCGGAAAAAAATATTGATGTCCGAAATAATCGCACGACAAAAACGGTCCCGGTGCGAAAGGACATTAAGTTTGTGACTTTTCTGTAGTCTTCTGTCCAAGCTGTAGTCCTTGAATTTCGCTAAACTGTGTCTGCTTTGTGAAACACTCTCTCCATCCTTCACCTGTTGTCTAACTTGACCACTCTCTCACCTGTACTGGTGCTTCACCACTTTAACCGGCTCCTTCAAAGTGGAGGTTTTAGTCAGAGCCTCGTTTGAGAATTTCCAAGTTTGTGTTTTATCTCTCAGAGAGTTTTGATGTCGCTGCAGCTCAAACGTGTTTTCAAGTTGTTAAAACTAAGTAAGAGTCTGTTCCCTGGTGGAGATGATTCACATATTTTATAAAAAGTACTCTTAGTAAGTTCAAATGCTTTGTAAGTAAACCTGCGAATTAGTGTGACCTGGATGACCGAGAATCTACACAAACCGATTAACAGAACATGCACAGAAATGAAGTATTAATAATTAGTCTTTAATGAGTTTTATGAAAAGTTGCAGGTGACTTTCTTCCCCTTTTTTCCCATGATCACACCTTGTCACCAGATCATTGGAAGTTTAACAACAATAGGTTTCACATCTCACTTCTCTGCCCTGGTTGCATTTCAACAGTTCTATTCTAACTCTTGCAGCAAACACTGCACATGAATTTCATTGACTTTGTTGAAATCCCTCAGACATCAGTCAGCCTGCTGCTTGTCATTCTGCCTGTCATGTTGTATTAAGAGATGTCTGACTAAGAACATTTAAAATTCTCATGGTGGATTTATTGTGTTTGCTTTAAGGATCTATGCAGATACTCTTACAGAGAAGTTACATCATTTAACCCCGTCTCAAAAACTGAAACTTTTCACATGCAACTGTCTTTGTGTTTACTCTTTGTGCTTTCTTAAAATGAAATCACAAGCAGTACAAACAAGTTATATTTAAAGGAATGCACTTTGTTTTTTGAGTTACCACTTTTTGGTTTATTGAAAACTATTTAAGGTTATAGAGGACTAACAAAACAGGTAACAAGTTCTTTGAGGATCTCATAACGACTCATAGAGGAAGTTCAATAATGTTTGATGAGAGGAAGTGTCCGACAAATTTAGAATAAGATAGTGTGCGCTATTTTGATAAGTGCAGTTAGTGTGTGAGATCGTCTTTAAAAGTCCACAACACTTGAATGAACTTTTAGTGGACACATTTTACCTCTTTAAAGTATCTTAGGATGACATTACAGCCATTACAGCCTGTGTCAGCACTGCTTATGGTTCATTCAGCATCTTGAATATTTTCAAAGCGTTTTCAGGTTCAGAATTAGTGTAGTCGCCCTTTAATGGAGCTGCTGCTGTAACACTGAGTGTGTAAACTCCATGATAAATGTGTCTGATGCATGCTGCAGTGCGGTCGGATGCTGAGTACGTTTTCTGTGATGTGACTGAGTACACAGCGTCCTGCTGCTCACCCTGTATGACCCTCTGCAAGTGCGCACGCACACACACATACACACCATCCTCACTGCCTACAGCTCAGCGCTGCCACAGTTAACATGACCTATATGCCAGCAGTGAGAGCCGCTCTCATGCTCCGCTATACGCTGCTGTGGCTGTTAATGTGCACTGCAGGCATCATGCATCTTAGGGGATCTCAGGATCGTCCACGGCGGCCATTTTGTTCACATCTCACATGCAAACTTTAAATCTGTGTGTGTGTGAGTGTGTGTGTGAGTGGTGCAGAGAGACAGAACTAAGGTGAACTGTCTCTCTGAGTCGCTTTTAGTTCTTCCGCGATCTCTAACAGTTAATTTGCAGGCGAGCAGCGACTTTATGGTGCATTTAAAATTTTAATGCACCAACAGTTTCGACTGAAGTTGGATGCGCAGTGAGACGGGCTGGATGGTGTTGTGTGCAGGATAATCTCACAGAGTGACTGAATATTAGAGTTCGTTCGGCTGTCAGGACTCATTAGAAACTTTAATCCATGTTCACCTCAATCTGATATTTATTGTAAACCCAGTGCGCTGTTATGCAGGCACAAACTTACAGACACATTTTCACGAACTGGTCGTTTAAGATAAGTTTTCCTCACTTGGAGCTCCAAACCAAAAAACACGACCTGTCTGTAATTTTTTGTCTTTTAAAGTCGGTTTGAGGAAAATTCAGACTTTTCTGACGATGAAGTATCACCGTTATCATCAACCCAACGACCTGAATTAGGGACAGATCTATAAAAGATGATCAGATATTGGGGGATACATGATACTGGGTTTTAGCTGATATCTGATATTTCCAAACTCATTTCGGCTGAAACTGATTCAATACCATTAAGATGCACCTGATGCATCACTTTAGAGATTATACAACACATGCCGGCAAAACTCTCCATATCTGCAAATCCAAGAATGAAGTTTGAAAGCAGTTCTGTTAGAGGTGTCCCGATACTATATTGATATTGGATATTGGTCTAATATCGGCAAAGAATTGAATATCGGCTTCCATTTAAAATCTCCGATATCATTACTCCTGTACAGGCAGTCCATTCCAAACTCCGCTCTGGCACCTGGATCCAGCATGTTAACATCTGAAAAAGATGTTGCAGTTGAGTGCAAAACTTGTCATGCACAAGTTTGTGCTACTGTCTGATCAATATTGGTATTTGCCAATATTGAAGGCTATGATATCGGTATCGTATCGGAGGAAAAAAGTTGTATCGGGACACCCCTATGTTCTGTTAATATTATTGAACATTCTTCATAAAGGTGCTTTGGTCCTCTTGTGGCTTCGCCCAGCTCCTGCAGGTTGCTGACTCACTGTGCGACGGTGCAAATCCTCATTAATAATGATAACAGTATTGACCATCAGCAGACCTGCTCTGTAATCACTGGCATCATTTTCTGCTGTTGAAAATCTTCTGACGTTGGCCGACCACCAATCCTGATTCCTGATGGATGATTCTGTCTGGGCTGTAAACTTCACCTCCGATCTTCACGTCATCATAAAAGAAACAAGAAACCGAGTCCGTCAGAGTGAAGGAGCTTCAGTCTGCTGGATGCTAGACCCCTTTAAAGTGGACCGTAAGAGAAAGACATCCACATAAACTCGCCCTGCAATGTCTGCAAGATTTTAGAGCTAAAAGAACAGGATGCACGCTATGACCTCCTCAGATCTGCTGTTTTAACCACAAAGATGATGAAAGACGCTGATAAATGCTAATCAAAAGTGAAAGATATCAGTCATATCAGCAGTTCCTTTTGAGATCAGGTCAATCAGAAGTTTCTAGTTGGTTCTCTTTTAAATCCTTTAAGTGGTCGACCCGAATAAGAGTATAGGTGCCTCCACAGCCTCCACATGTTCAGCCAGATCTGCTCTGTCCGATCGGTTCAAGGTCCAGATTTGTGCGACCTTTAAGATGCATAAAAAGGTCAGAAACAGATGCCTCTCTGTGAACTTTGACCTGCCACGGTTAGAGCTGATATTCAACGGGCCGAGGTGTTAAATTTTTGTCACAGATTGCGTACGAAGTGTCAGCAGTGTCACCACCACCACCAGCAACGATTTTAATCCGCAAACGAAGGAGTTCAAATCTCAGTTTCCCTTCAAATCTGGAGCTTTTTTTGTGTGTGTTCATAATTGTTATTGATTCGGGTCCAGGGTCCTGCCAGTTTCGTGCCACAGCCGCCATTTTGCACCCATCACCACCATTTTGACGGAGGGATTAATGCCACAGACAGAGGCGGGTTGTTGATTTGCAGCACCGGATCAGTAGTTGCACATTTTTTTTTTTTGTCTAAGATGGGAAGTGAGGGCTGACACATCTGTCTGCTGCTCCTCAGTGATAAGCCCCACATCCATCCACCGATGAATCAAACTGTTGAGAAATGAAACACGGAACGCTCCCCTGCTTCCCCGCTCGCACAAGAGTGTGTGCATGTGTGTGTGTGTGTGTGAAAAGCAAAGAAGGTGGAGGTGGTGGTGCAGAGACAGAAGGCGGACTGGGAGGAGTGGAGTTGCATCAGCCAAATGAATTGTCATGATGCAGATCATGCGTGAAATGAGCAGCAGATTCCTCAGTGCAGTTTGCAAACGGCCTTATTACCATTAGAGCCAGTCAGCTGACAGCGAGCCCACAAACTGTACAAAACCAGAACAGAACGAACCAGAACCAGAACCAGGACTAGGAGCGACTAGACCGGATCAGTGTGAACCGGGACAGACTGTTATTTCTTGTCTGTTAGTCCACATGACCACTTTTCATAGAGCAATAAAATGCAAACGAGGGAGCTAAAGGGCTGGTTTTTTATAGGTAGACTCCTGGCAGGATTTTGAAGACATCCTGAGGCACCCTAGACCAGGACAGGGACCAAGACAGACCAGGACATGGACCAGGAATGTGAAGAAAGTGGTGTGTTTTAATTCTGAGGAGGACATTTTAGCAGCAGCCATCTGATCGACAGCTTTGTGCATAAAGAACAGTGTGTGTGTGTGTGTGTGTGTGTGTGTGTGTGTGTGTGTGTGTGTGTGTTGGGGGATGGGAGGAGGGAATTAAGAGTTGGCATTATGTCAGGAGAGAGCTGCCATCTCTGCCTCCTTCCTCGCCCTGCACACACACACACACACATGCGCGCACACACACACACACATGCATTCATTCTGCAAACACACACACACACACAAACACACACATGCAGCCTACACACAAAGACTTGTGCGAGGATGGCGCAAGATGCAGAAAAAAAAAATCACTCCGCTCTGCGTGTATCCTGGCTGTGTCACTCCTTTATTACCCCCCATACACACACACACACACACAAAAACCATGCACGCATACCTACACACACACGCACGCACACACATGCCCACTCCTGATTGGCTGCTGTAATATGAACAAATGCTCAGCTCGGGCTGCATTTAAGGGGGCCCCCTGAAAGTAAGCATGTGTTTATTTTTACAGTGAGCGAGGGGGAGGAAAAGAAAGACGGAGGGTTTTTGAGGAATTGGGGGAGGGTAGAGGAGGAGGAGGAAGAGGAGAGGAGGAGGAGGGAGGGTTTTTTTCTTTGTGGTACTGTACAGCTGGATCAGGAGAGGGGGGAACAAAATCCTGCCGTCTGTAGGAATGTGAACGTGGACGTCTGGGCACCGTCTACTTGCTGGTTTGAGACCGATTGAGGAAGAAGAGGGCGACTCTACGGTTCCACAGAGAGGCTGTCAGGTGTCTGATGAAGATGTCTACCTGTCCGAGTTCATCCAGGTGTTACGTTTAAGAAAAGAAGAGGTGTAGTTTTGGCTCCAGGTGGAGCGACACTCTCTGTCTCGTTCTGCCTCTCTCTCTCTCTCTCTCTCTCCCTCGCCATGTCTTTTCTTTCTCCTTTATTGCTCTGGCCTGGCATGGTGCCCAAAGCTGAAGGGGTGGGGTGGGGTGGGAGGAGGTGGGAGGGATTATAGAGGGGGTAGGAGGGGAGGAGGGAGGGTTTGGTTGAGGAGAAAGAGAGGGAGAAAGAGAGTGTGTGGCGGCTTGTGTAGCAGCTGACTGAAACAGTCATTATATTATGTAAAGGCAGTCGGCGGTGGCGGTGGCCGGGAGGAGGAGGAGGAGGAGTGGGGGAAGGAGGGGGGGAGGGGAAGGGTGTGGGGTGCCAGTTACTGACGCGCAGCACAAGTCCGGCCCTGATTGGCTCATCAGTGGCGTTCTCAGCGGTGCTCTCCTGCTCATTAAAGGTGGAGGCTCGGCTGAGAGGTTGCTCGTGTTTCTCTCTCAGCAAATGGAGGCGACGGCTCGGCTCTGCAGCTGCGTCACAAATTAATTAGAGAAGAAGAAGAAGGAGAGGGAGCGTTGGGGAGGGCCGATCATTAAGGCTCCTCCCTGTAGATGAGAGCAGGATAACAGAGACGTTAGAGGAGGACAGAGCGAGCAGATTAGAGCTCCATGATACAATAGATGAGTGGAGACGATAGGACGACACCAGCAGGAATAATTTGCTAATAGGAAGCTGATTAAGTGATAACAAGCCAATTAAATCTGTCTGAATTACAGTCAGCGACACTCCAGCGTACATGACGCTGATGTAAAACACGGCGCAGGTTCAGGTGATGTTAACGCAACGATGCAGCGCTGCAAATCACAGCGTCCATTTGCATGTCGTCTGCTCAAGGAGGAGACGCTGCCGAATCAAAAAGGCGAGATGAGTAAAGACAGAGCGAGACGTGCCGCAGCTCACAGCCTGTAAATAATTCACTCTCAATCATTTTATACGTGCAACTCTTCCTAAAATATCCCAGGTTTCATGCGGGGTGAAGGAAATAAATAGAAGGAGTCAGCAGTAATTTTCATTATTTATGTTTGATTAAAAACTGCATAAACATGTTTAATCACTGACTGCCCTCCAACAGACTGAGCGGCAACAGTTCAGGAGTTAAAGGTTCATTCTGGAATTTGCACCAAAGTAAAAGAGAACAGTCCAATTCTCCTAACTGCAGCTTTTTCATTGTGAACATTTTCAGGTTTCTGTCCTTTTTGAAAGACAACTGGATTTATTTTTGGCTGTTGAGAAAATATTTAAGGGCTCATTTTGGGTTTAAGGGCAAAAAACTAATAATTCTGCTGTTTTCTTACTGGAATGACAGTTGGTTGAATTTTACAAGAACAATTTTACTGACCGAGAAAGTCTTGAAGCAGTATTTGTACATGATTACGCTAAAAGACAAACTTTGATTTAACTACGATACTGAATGTGTTTCCTCTTCAATCATATTCCATAGTTTCCACAGAATCATTATGAAGTGATGGTATCAAAGCTGCATAACATACAAAGGTTCAAATAGTCCCATATGCCATGTGAAATAATTCCTGCTGACTTAAGGTCGGATGCAAATATAGAACACGAAATTATGAAATATTTGAAGGAGAATTTTGACGCCCCTGACTATACACATCAAGCCTGATGCGATTTTGTGACTTTCTGGGGGGAAAAAGACACGTCCCGGGTGGAAGCAAGAAGACTGACACAACAGCAGACTGAGTGTTTTTCAGTTCTGATCAGACACTAGTGTTGAGATGACTGTCTGTCATGATAGCATGTACTGAGTCGGGGCCAGTACCAGATAAGAACATTAAACTATAATCCATAAATGTAAGGTAACAACCGAGACCTAATGGTGCTGTAACAGCAACGCGATGAGTGTGAGACAGTGAAAATACATATGGTATGTTGTATCTGAACAGGTTAGCTTATGAGCTAAAGTCACAGATGAAAGTTAAAACAAAGACGTTACAACATACAACTCCCGCTGCCGCTCGTGCTGCACTGCACTGAATTGATGCATTGTGCTGCGGCGTCCGGATAAAATGAAAGCCTTGCGTATCTGGGAGCAGCAGAGTTGGACCGCAGACGGATTCTGTGGAATGACACACATTGATTATAATACTTGAACATTGATTCACCTACAGAATGCAGCCGTTCCGTATCCTGTGGAATTTAGTCGTCAGTGTCCACATCTCTGATACTCGTTCTTCTTGGGAAAAATGAACTTGTCTACCTGCTCAGGTGTCAGTCAGGAGTCTCTTAAAACCTGCAGCATTTCAGATTCTACATAGATATTTCTCTTTCTGACAGTACACCTCCAATCCTGCTGAGACTGTCCCCCCATCATGCTCCAGTTTATGAATGAAACCTGCTGATAGTTTTGAGCATTTCAGAGCTGGACTGACTTAAAGGACGTCTCACATCTAATTCTCCAAAAGACAGGAGCGTCAAAACTCCTCACAGTTTCGGGTCTCTGCAGCGGTAAAATTACGGGAAAGTCAGTCATTGTTTGGCGTCATCAGCTGCCCGTGCTCATACATGGATCATATCAGACTTTTAGGAGACAAAAGTCAGAGTTTGCTGCTGTGTTTGCTTTCCTTATGGAGGTTCTTGAAGGGGTGATATGTTCTGTCCACATCCTGGAGCTGTTGTTTTTTATGTGACTGTAGTTTATTTTAGCCCTGACTCATGCTGAAGCTATGCGCTGCACGCGGTCACAACTGTTTAAAAAAAAAAAGACTGAATATCCAAGAACAGACCAGAACACTTTGTCAAGTCCGGGTCTGCGCAGGAGGGATCTGACGTCCAGCCTCCTCCTCCAATCAAAACGCTGGTTTAACTTATTGACGCACAGTCGCTGTTATAGTCAGAATCTGCAGTTTTAAACACAGTGATGCGTTTGAACGCAGCCCTGCAGGACATGTTTCTGCTCGGTCACGGCTGTGCTGCTGCTCCCTGATTGGTCCACTGCTCTGTCACATGACTCAGCTAATGAGCTCATAAGACTTGAATTGTTGTTGACGGTACAAAAGTCTTCCTTGCTGGTCTGAATCACATGCCAACGTGCACGCACGCACACACACAAACACACACACTCACAGAGCATAATATGGCTGAAATGTATTTGTCACTGTGCAGAGGAGATCCAGGCTATTCTTAGACTTTAACCCACTTCCATCTGAACGAGTTAACCATCAGCTGATCTTTTATTTATCCCGGATACATCTAAACGAGTCACTGCACTGATCTTAGGTCAGCCGGGTCGTTGCAGTTAGTCACCGCCTCATTTCACTCTGCGGGTCGCCCGCTGTCGTGTTAGCAGAGATATACAGCATGGTCCATCATTATACAGAACACTCCACGTTATTACTCTCTATAGAGGATCAGACTTTAATGACCTCCTGACAACTCAGAGAGAGCTCAGAGAGGGCCGGACCAGGTTCTAGGTGTCACCTGAGCTCGATGTGTTATGTCAGTCATGTGAATTCACTTCCTATAATCTAGAGTCATCATATAGACATTTGTCTTTTATATCAAAATACCATAGCTGATCTTTTTGAGGCAGTGAGTTAAATATCTTTGTAAGATGTTCATGATGATCCAAATGTACATGGACTCTGATGACCCCCATACCATCAGGGATGCTGGCTTTGGACTAGGGGCGCTTGGATCGTAATGTTTGGGATGCAGTGTAACTAGGGGTGTCCTGATACGATACTGGATATCGGTTCGTTATCAACCAAAAAATACAATATCGGATTATTTCGGCCTGCATCTAAAATCTCCGATATCAGCACTCTCATGAAAGCAGTCTATTCTAGACACCGTTCCGGCACCTCTATCTAGCAGCAAACTGAGCCCACAAAATCACAACAACAGTGTGTACTAAGGCACTAACAAAGTAGCAAGGAGTAGGAGTGATGTCGGCCTTGTCCGAAAAAGACATTGCAGCTGAGTGAAAAACTTGCCATGCACAATTTTGTGCCAATATCAGATCAATATCGGTCGGTCAATATTGAAGGCGACAATATCTGTATCGTATCGGAAGTCAACAAGTGGTATCGGTCCAAAGGGGCAATGTTGTCAGATGCCAATGCTAATAAAAGTGTTAGGTGTTGTTTCACAGCTGTGGGAGTGTCTGATAAAAGCTCCTGTAGGTTAAGCCTGGGCGATTTGGTCAAAAAGATGATCATGATGTACTTTGTCATATTGTCTGATCTCGATTATTATCCCGTTTTTTTTAAACTGCCAGTTTTAAAGCATCTGCACTGAAAACTAAAAAACAAATAGATAAATACTAAATAAGACGTTAAATAATTTTCTTCTCAACAGTAACATCTTTGGAGGATGACTCAAAGTCATGGCTGACATCTTTACTGCCCTCAGCTCCACGTTTGGTTACTTTGTTTACTTGTCCAGCAACTTAAGTGAGCAGGAAAAGCTCAACTCTGATTGGCTGTTGTGATGCACATTTTCACCAAGTTTGATCAAGTCAAAAATCTCACAGCTGATCACCGTGATTGAACTGAAATTTATCACGATCATTAATCCCGATCATATAATCGCCCATTTCTACTGTAGCTGCATGTAAAGTAAAGCTGCACGGTTATAGCGGTTGAAGTATGAGCCTTCACAATTACACATCACAAAAGTCGATTAATCTCAGTTCTGAATGGTGTCACTGCACACGGCGTCTTTTTCTCGCCAAGCAGACCTGATGTGAGGTATATCTGTATGTTTGAGACCCTGATCTTTAACCTGCCTCTCCTTCTGTCTCCTGCAGGATGGAGCGGATGTCTGAGGAGGCGCTGAGGCTCAACCTGCTGAAGCGAGGTCTGGAGTCGCCCAGCGAGAGGGAGGAGGCGCTCGCCAAACGCCTGAAGATGGAGGGCCACGAGGCCATGGAGCGCCTCAAGATGCTGGCACTGCTCAAACGCAAAGACCTGGCCGACCTGGCGGCACTGGACGTGGCGGGGCCTCTGGGGGACGGGAAAGGCCCCGGAGCTAGCTCCCTCCACCACCAGAGCCTCATGGGAGCAGCGTACGAGGAAAAGATGAATGGGAGTCTGAGGCTGGGGGGCCACGGCGGCCATGTTGGACCCAGCAAGAACGGGAAGGAGAACATAATGGACGAGCCGGTGGACATGAGCGCCGGGAGGAGATGGTGAGGACGAAATATTTACACCTCAGAACCAGAGGGGGCGAAGCCTGGGGGCTTTAGGATGTTTATCACTGGATTAGAGCTGTGGGCGGAGTTTAAAAAGATGTTCATTTTAAGCCTGTTACATCAGTCTCCTCAAACCCACCAGACCCCATTCAGAAAAACAGACATTTAAGCTCACAGAGCTCAGGAGCTGTTGGTAGACCTCTGTCTCTGTTTGGCTTGGGGTCAAAGTGCACAAGACTGACAAGAACTGAGAGGCGATCAAACAGATTATCGCACTGTTGTTTTATAACCCAGAAGTTTCCATCACCTAAACACATCAGTCTTTATCAGTAAGTTTTAGTGACAGAGAAACATGTTGGTGACTCTGATATTAGGACATAAAGAAGTTCAATGAAGTTCTCCAATGTTAACTCATATTTGTATGAAATAACTCTGCTGTTTGGCCATTAAATGATGCTGATGTAGTTTTGATGGTTAGGTCATGGCTAACTGAAGTGAAGAATACACGTGAAGCCGATCAACACTCACATCTACAAATCTTTAAACATGTGTTAAAGCTATGGTCTACGATCTGAAAACCAGTTTGGCTGTTGAGACAGATTTAAAAAAACGCAGCCTGCCCCCCCTTCACTTACCCCTCCCCTCCGTGTTCCAAGATCCGGCCCCCCCAGCTCGTATCGCCTCCAAACAACACACCCCCTCCGAGCAAGAAGGCGGCCGGCAGAAAATATCAGCAGTAGTACACAGTGGTAGCCGTTTCAATTGGACCGGCGCGATCAAAACCATGTATTAGCGGGGCGAAGCGGGTCGCCGATTGTGGGCGAGGCTTTACCTTCCTCGGCGTGTCTTCACCAGCTCAGTTTACAATGCTAAAGATGCGTGGCTAACTTGTGCTAAAATCTATCGACAGAGCCTACCCGTTCCTACCAACAACGTTCAGTCATTAGCCAGTATAGGCACAGACTAACCAGAGTTATTCAGCAGACATCTCCCACTGTAGTAAACAAAGTAATTACCTGTTCAACAGAAATTCGGCTGTCTCAGCGTCAGTTTTTAGTCACAAATCCTTCTGCAGCCGTTTCCACCAGTCGTACGTTTCTCCAATGTAGACTCTCCGTTGGCACCTGTATCACTCATATTTCTTCCTCGCGGACCACTCCAAACCAGATTGGTCGATTGTAATGCTTTTTTGCAACGGATATACTGAATGGTTTTTTTTTTCGTTCTTTTTGATCTTTATATTGCGTAGATCAGACCATAGGACCATAATGGCCTTATAAACGGTGTAATAAGTACCAAGCTTCCAAATGGTAGATTATAGTTTCAACTTTGTTAACACCCACAAAATTGTTCATGACTACATCTTCTAAATATTTAGTGCATTCGTACGTTTGACCCCTTGAACTTAATATTACAACACCCAGTCATGAGACAGGAGGCTGCAGCTAAGCCCCTCCCCTCTGTGATGTGTCAGTCCAGAATCTCCCTCAGATATCTCCTTATATAGACGATGAGCTTCTATCAGTTTGTTATGGAGTCCATTCATGACAGATCTTTTGTAAGATGTCACTGTGTGCACATAATTAAATATCACTGCATTGACTGAGGATTATATCTGCGTGAATTTTCATACCTGTTGATAATGTCGTACATCCCGAATAAAAAAGGTTATATTTGAATGAAAATGTAAAGAGCCGTTTAAACAGCAGAGGAGCGCAGAAACATGATCTGCTCTGCAGTGCAGCTTCAAAGCCTGAATTAGTCTCTGTCTGTCTGTCTCATTGGCACAGGTTTAGCAGACACACCGTCAGGCCAGGCTGTCAGTCTTGTGTATGCAGAGTCACTGCAGCTCAGCGTTCAGTGTTTGTTACTTAGTATGTTTCAGACATGTATGGATTCAGTGCAGCATACAGGTGTTTGTTCAGTCATCACATGTGATCAGGTGCCAAAGAGGTGTGGGGTTTAGTGGCTGGTTAAATAACTAAGTGTTGGTCATTGTAGAAACAGACCCTCTCTCTGATGATTTAATCACTTTGTGTGTAGTTAAGGTGAAAATGAACAGAAATATAGAGGGTCAGACAGCAGAGGTTTGGTCTTACCTTACAAGACCAGCCTAAAAGACAGACACTGACGGTTTTACCACAGCGTCAACAGGTTTTTGGGAGATTGTTGTGGACTCCAGCTGTTTTCTTCGCAGAGTTGAGGGTGAAATGCTTCCAGATTGTTGTCGTTTTCGAAGGGGATGGCATTGCGTTGCTACTCCTTTGTTTAGTTTACCTGTCTCTACCTGATCACTGTGGTGCATGCTCGGCTCTCTGCAGAGATAATGAGGATGAAAAATCCTCTTTCTTCAGCATCTCGGCTCTGCAAAATGATGTTCTGTCTGGTCTAATCTCTTACTAATTGTTGACATTTAAATACATCTGCAACTGTAATTGTCATTGACTTCAGTAGGAGTCCACCAATCAGAGTATCTCCACTCTACATCATTTTCCTCCCTTTTGAGGTTTGATGGGTAATCTTTAAAAAGCGTCACAGTCTCTGGATCTACTAAAATGATCAACTTTTTATTCTGTCATGGTTTGTTTTACCTCACAGTGAAACGGATCACGACAGACGGACTCCGTCTCCAGACGTCATCATCCTGTCGGACAATGAGGCGTCCAGTCCCAGAACGACACCTCGACCTGAGGAACGTCTGCACCAGGCCAACCTGGACATGTTCAAGGTATTTATCAGCTACATACCACGCTACAGAACTGAACTAGTATGGTGTCTTCGTTCAATCAGAGTAACCCTTATGGGCAGAAGAAGAAAAATGCATAACTAGTCAGTAAATCCTCCTGGGTGACACATCAGGTACAGTCCATGAATGGTTGTCAGTGGATATAAGTGTCATAGCAGTAAAAAAATGGACGAGCTAGTTTTAGCTTAGCTTAGGCCTCAAGAACAAAAAGCTCTTCCAGATTACATTGTTTACGTAACCCAGAAATACACTCAAGCTGACTCTTTAATGCCACCAAGTGTCATGGCCTCCCAGCTGGGTTTGAGGTGAGATAAACACAATAAATGACGGAAGGCAAGTCCTGGATTAGGCTGAGAGTTTGATATGTTTCTAATAAAGTACAGGTGCTGGAAGAGGACAAAAAAGACCAAAGACTCATAACACAGCTTTACATTTTCCATTGAAGTGGAGTCTGTGCATGTAAAAAAAGGAAAGTCATTTTATTAAAACACAAAATCAAAAAGTGATTCAAACAGTTCGGAAATCCCCGACACATCAGAACTTTTGAAACTCAAAATCATGGAGGAAACATTTGAAGTTAAAGAAACTAAACCGACTCAGAGGTCAAACTCCTGTGAGGTGTTTTTAAGGAGATGTTTGAGCTTAAAGGTGTTTGAAAAGTTTGCCTACATTTCTCGATTTTACTCTGTGTGTTCAGGGGAAGACGGGCGAGGAGCGGCAGCAGATGATCAAAGCCCTGAGGGAGGAGCTTCGTCTGGAGGAGGCTCGCCTGGTTCTCCTCAAGAAGCTCAGACAGAGCCAGATGCAGAAGGAGAACGTGGTGCAGAAGGTCAGTGATGGTGGTGATGATGATGGTGATACTAAGACCACTGCTGATGTTGTTTAGCTGAAGTGAAGGTCTGTTGGGGAAAAGAATGATCAATCAGGAGTCAGCAGGCTTTGGCATCAGGATGAAAAACAGTCTGTACTGAGAGCAAAAGCCTTTATACTCACGAACCACATGAACTTATGAACCAGTCTGAAGAAATGGTCCATAACTTCAAAGCAGGAAGGCTGGAGGATTACTTAATATTCACAATAATTCATTCATAAAGAGAAAATGAGGACCTTTGAGAGATTTGCGGTAACCTCAAATATCAGACATCTGCTCTGTGGATCAAATCACTATCTAATGTAAAGAAAAAAAGAAGTTCGAGGGGTGTGTTTACTTATGTAACACACTCAGAGCATTAACTCCAGTACTGCACACTTTGAAAGGGCTTTAACTACGTGAGTGTCTCTATTTTCTGCTGTGATATACTTCAGCTCTGCGGCGTTACAGAGAAAGTTTTCCCTTTAATCCGCAGCACTTCTCTGACAGCTGCAAATCACAGATCATTGATGTAAAAACAGTCGAAAGGCTCTGAATCAGTCACCTTTATTGTCAATAATTTCTGCTGTATTTGGTCATCTGTGACAAGCAGAGGCACGTCAAATCTTTGGCAAAGCCTAGTGCAGTTTAGGGTTCAGAATCCCTGGATACTCTGGATAAAACAGGTAGAGTTATGAAAACCAGAACATCCCAGTTAATGCAGTTAAAAAGATAAACCTAGATAGTCTATATGGTGCAGTAACGGTTATAAATACCTGGATATCCTGGATTGTATCCTCAGGGTTATTCATATCTTGATATCCTGGACAGAGCAGTTAGGGTTACAAATACCTGGATATCTTGGATAGCACCTATAAGGTTATGTATTCATGGATAGTGAAGCAAAGGTCATGATTACCTGGATATCCTGGACCATTTGTATAATGTGGATAACAGCTCATTAATACAATTTCTATAATAAGGTGCTGCTAACGACACCAAGCACTAACTGTAAAAGGGGCCAACAGCTTCTGACTCTTAATTTGCACATTCACGTCAGCTGTTAGCAACACTCCTTCACATGCTGCGTTCACATCTCAGACACAAGCCTGTTGGTTTCTTGGTGTTCTGCCTGTTTTTGCTCTCCATACAGACTGCTTTTACTGCAGATACCAAGGACTGCTGATATTTGATTGAGCAGTACTACTCAGACTACCAACAGAAACCAGAACACTGAAATCTAAACTCTGAGTACAACTTGTGCAGTTTAATTCCCTTCATGCATTAGTGCTGCTCCCTCTGCAAGTTTTCTTCTTTTGCTAAAGTTTTCTTCTAGTTTGTCCATAAAGTGCAGAGACGAGTACAGGATCAGACACACAGCGCTCTGAATTTATGACTCTGAAGTGCTACTTTGACGTGAAAATGGTCATAAATACTCTGAGGGCTGAAACGTTCAAGTTCCTGCATGTTGACACAGGATAAACTCAGCTTGAACCTTAGAACGCTTTGGAGCCAAATATGTGAAAACTGTTGATAAAAAGTTTCTGAAACCTTCTTTTAAGGTTAATAACATAAACTTATAAAAGTCTGATCTGTGGAGCTTAAATGCAGGTATCAGGTCATTGTTTGCACCGTTTAACCCGGGTTCTTGAACACCTCCTGCAGGTCCCTGTGGTCCAGAACGCGGCGTCCTCCGTGCAGCCCCCTCCCCTCCACAGCTCCGCTGGTCTGGGGAAGCTCCCGGTGAGGCCGGGCCTGCACAACCCAGAGCCCCAGAACCTCCGCACCGCACAGGTCTGAGTGTCCGCTTGCTTTAATGATCATGTCCATAAAAATGCACATAGTCTCCGTTCTGCACCTTCAGAGATTAGAGAACTAGTATGAGGGGAGGACTGTGAAGTGAGGGTGAGTGCAGAAATCAGCAGATCCTCACCTGACTGAATAAGAGCTTCATTACATAAGAACATTTGATTTTCAAGTTTGATACTTCAGTTACATTATCAGTCCCACTCTGTTCTCCGCTCGTAGTTACTGCCGCTCTTTGAGATCTGAGGACTGGAGTTAAATCTTAAGCCCCTCCCCCTGTGTCTGTTAATGAAAGGGGTGTAATGGGGCATTAACATCGGTATGATATTCTATGATCGGCAATACAATATTGGTTCATTTGGAACAATATGATCAGTATAACTCAGTGATAAGGCATCTTTACAAACTCAGTGCTTCATTATGTGTATATGAATACCTGGATATTCTGGGGAGTGCAGCAAGGACTATAAATACCAGGACAGTCTGGTTGTGCAGAAAGACTTATAAATACATGGAAGTCCTGGGGAGCAAGATGAGAGTAATGCATTCAAGAATATCCAGGTTTGTGCCTTCAAGGGTGTAAATACCTGGATGGTGCAGTTTGGAAACAAATGCCTTGCTGGATCTCACAGTTAGAGCTATAAATTCCTTGATATCCTGGATTGTGCAATCAGCGTCAAAAATACTTGGATGTGTTGTAGTTAAGGGTAAAAATACATAGTTTTCCTGGATAGAGTATTTGGGCTTTTGCACACCTGCATATCCTGGACAGTGGAGTTTGTGATTTAGGTAGAGCAGTTATAGTAAGAGTTATTAGTGTTGTCCGTCAGTTAGGGTTGGGCGATATGGCCTCAAATACCACCATATACTGAGCAGTTCACCTCAATAATAATAAATGGATGATAACTACTCCACAAGCTGCTCACCCTACTACTTCAGCCGCCGCTCCAGCTTTTTCAACTTTTGAACCATCCTCCATCTCCTCACCGGTCTTTCCCTCTTTGTTAAGGACTGGACGAGGTGGAGTCACGTCTACGACACAGGACAGCGTCTTATCCTATCTACACACATCCAAAACCAGCTTTTATTTATTTTTTATTTTTGACACCAAATATATTGACATGGGCAAAATGGCGTCGGTTGTTGTTGTAAATTTCGGTATCTGTAAATTTTTGGTTTATCGCCCAGCCCTACTGTCAGCTTTTTTCCAGGGTTTTTGTGAACCATGCTTGAACTCATAGTCAAGTGTTAATGTTTTTATTAGTAGCTGATTTATTCTAAAATCCACATCCAAATTCAAATGTTGAAAAATAATGGTGGCCCTCTTCTGTGTTGAGCATCCATCCATTTGATGTGACGGCCTCTTTTCCAGCATTAGACCGTGACAGCTTCATGGATTTCAGATTTCCTTTTCATTTCAAGTGCAGAAATCTGGGCCCTGGTTGTCCTAGCTGTTTAGGCTCATGCCCCGTGTACAGAGGTTGTTGTCCTGGACAGGACCCTTTGTTTGCTGCATGACCTCCTGCAGACATGTCCTGTCTCCCTTCAGCTGTCAGACTTTAAAAGTGCAAAAATACATTAAAATAACCGACGTTTTTTATGCTCAGTGTAAAGTGCAGTTTCTCTACTACAACACTGATGCAGCGCCTCATTTACTTTACCTTATAGAGTGGTTATGAATACTTATACATTGTGAGGAAGGGTCCTACAACCCTTAGCATATAGACACAGGTGCATTATGGGAGTTGAAATTGTTACACCTCCAATTTACCACTCAAAGATTAGCTTTTTGTGTTCAAGTTGACCAAACTTCTTGAAACCTGCTGCACAGAATAATCCATTTCCTGACTCTGTGACGGGCCTTTATTCAACTTCAGCTTCAAATCACCAAACCCCCAAAGAAGTACACTCACTCTCTGCTTTAAAGCCTTTATTCTGATCAGCTCTTCACTGATCCGGTCTCATCGGGCTGCACTTGGTCTTAGACTTGGTCTTCTTGACTCCAGTGGTCTTTGTTAAAAGCCTGGACTTCCTGTGGGGGACTGTAAACAGAAAACAAAGCTGAGAGGTAAAAGTGATCAATCTGCAGCTGCAGGCTCTCAAAGGTCTCATCAGTCCAGCTTTAAAGGTTTTTTGTCTGCCAGAAAGCGAGAATTCAGAACAAAGATTCAGCCGTAGGTTCTGACACCGAGACGGTTCAGAGAAAAATGTTTCTGAAAATCTCTGAATGTGAAGCAGCTTCTTTGTTCCTGCGTGACGTAGCGCTGCTCCTCCATTACATGTTGAGCTGCTATTAAATATTCAGCAGATCAGTGTGTGTGTGTGTGTGTGTGTGTGTGTGTGTGTGTGTGTGTGTGTGTGTGTGTGTGTCAGCTTGTTTTGTATGGATGGAGATGTTCTGCCTGGTTTGTTTTCACTTTACTCACCAATCTGCTGCTGCCCCCTGCTGACCACTCTGAGAACAATAATAATGTATGGAGGTGCTGTGCTGATAAAACAGTTTTGTTTTTTTTTAAAAAGCCTCTAATGTCAGAGAAAAGACTCAGACTTTGAGAAACAGACGTGAAAAGCTCATGAAAATCAACTTCATTTATTGCTACAAGAAACACAATTTCTGGAGGCTTCAAAGGGAGCTGAACAGTTCTGCTGTATTTCTGCTCTGTATCTGTTGGTGGGGAAGTTTCCTGCTCTCTGCTCCCTCCTCCTCTCTCCTGCTCCCTACTGCTATCCTCTTCTCTCCTCCTCTCTCCTCCTCTGTCCTCCTTTCCTCCTCTCTCCTCCTACCTCCTCTTCTCTTCTGCTATCTTCTCCTCTCTCCCTCTCTCCAGTTAGCTCAAAACTTTCTCCGTTCTCTCCTTCAGTCCGTTTGGTCTTGTTCGTCCTCAGTTAACTCTGCCTCTTAAAGATATCCTCTGGTGTCCACAGTAAACGGCATCATGGTGCGATCATCCAGCAGAGTCTGTCATTTTTTAGTTTGGGTCCGCACGCTCAAAGAAACAAAAACACAACCAAACGCCGACCAGTTCACCACAGACTCCGAAAGTTTCAAGTGGGTGTCTGACGGCAAATTAAAGCGCAGTGTTTGCTCACCTCTGCATTACTGTTTGGTTTTAGTTTCATGAAAATGAGCTGTATTACATGGTGGAGTTGACCCCATCTGCAGCGGTTTAAAGGCTTACTTCTGTTCCAGCTCTCGGGCCAGTTTCTCTACACAGAGAGTCTAAGCTAACCGGGATCCTCTGCGGGTAATGAGAGAAGCACATGACTGTATTAAAAGGTGCTAATCTGAAAGATTCAAACTGAAGTCCAAAATAAGAAGGAGTGAGCTGCTCTGAGCAGAGACCTGCAGGCTGACAGATGACTCATGTTTGTGTTGTTGGTCCACTCACTGCTGAGGAATGCTGTTACTAAGCAGAGTTTCTGTGTTTTCCAAAAAACACTCGACACTTGATGTGAGACTCCTGCAGAGACAGGATTCATACCAAAGCACCAAAAAGGACCTGAATTGACATTTTTATGAAGCTCCAGAGGATCTGTTAATTATATATGACTGTGTGACCTGTCACTGACTGACTGACTGACTGACTGAATCAGAAATCCAATCTGACAGGAAGAAATACACATTATACTATGTGTCATTTACAGGTTTAGACTGGACTTTAAGGTGATTGTTTTTTATCGTTTCAATCCTGTGTTTCTGTATTACAATGATTTTCTTTTTTTTTTTTTGTCACATGTCCAACTGTTTCAAGAGTTTTGAAACATAAAACAAAAGAATGAAATAAAAAGTTCTGTTCGATCTTGACTTTTAGATTTCTAATCCAAATACACCAGCGTGATCTAAAACCAGGACTTAGACCGAGGAGAGCTTTTACGAGTTCGTTTAGATTATTTTTAAATAAAGCACTGTTACACCCAAAGAACTATTAAGTTTCCATCAAGTGTCAATGTCCAGACATTCAGGGATTCCTGGTTAATGCTTCTGCACTTTTCAGGAGTTCTCAGCTGCTTTCTCTGTTTAGTTTGTTTAGTTTCATCCACGACACTGATATTCACTCTCTTTAACAGCGCCCTGTCAGTTTTTGTGTGACAGTGGCTCAACCTCAAAGCATCAAATCAAAATTCACTATTGTGTGACTTTTTAAGTTGATTGATGAAAATTAACAAAGTTGTGTTTTCGTAGGAACAAACTCCAGTCGGCTAAAATTGTGTCTTCTTCTTTGTTTCCTCTCTACAGGGTCACACCGTCATCAGGTCAGCAGCCAACGCCAACCTGCCGCCGATGCTGATGTCACAGCGTGTGATTGCCCCAAACCCCGCCCAGTTGCAGGGTCAGAGAGTCTCCTCCAAATCCCTGATGTCCCGCCCTGGCAGCATGGCCAACACCGTCAGTTACCAACAGGTAGAGAGTCTCACCTGCTCCACAGTCAGGACTGTCCCACGCTGTAAAACCTGTTTCTTAACCTCTTTGTGTGTCCCTGCAGGCCAGCCAGCAGGTGGCGGCCTCTCAGCGCTCAGGCTCCAGTGCCATGTACATGAACCTGGCCCACATGCAGGCGGCGGCGGCTGCAGGAGCGGGCGGCGTTGGAGGCGGTCTGGGCGGAGCTTCGGCTGTGAGCCCGTCCACCATGTCGGGCTCGGCCAGCGGAGGTGTGGGCTCGATGACGGATCAGGCGAGCAGCCAGGCGGCTGCCAAGCTGGCCCTGAGGAAGCAGCTGGAGAAGACCCTGCTGGAGATCCCTCCGCCCAAACCCCCTGCACCCCTGCTCCACTTCCTGCCCTCCGCCGCCAACAGCGAGTTCATTTACATGGTGGGCCTGGAGGAGGTGGTGCAAAGCGTGCTCGACAGCCAGGGTGAGAAACTGCTGCTCCTTTTCTAAAATCCTCTGAGATCAAACAGAGGGGAATTAAAGGGACATTCTGGTGTTTTCACTCACCTTAGACGTATTTAGACCAGTGGCGGCTGCTGGTCTTTCAAGGAGGGGAAGCTCATTTTTCTGGCCTACATCATAATTGTATTTGTTTATGAGTATGTAACAGAACAGAGTCGCCAAACACAACGGCAGTCGTTTTTAACAAAGACAAAAGTCGCTGAGGATCGGTAAAGTCTCTGGAGCAGTTAAGAACAACGGAATGAATGACTTGGAAAATGCTCTGGTAGATGTTTTATTCTTCAAGATCGCTGATTCGCTTGTTTAGCTGTCAATCAAAAAAGGATTTCGCCTCAGACAGCTCATCCAATCATGAATGCAGAAGCTTGCAGTCCGGGAGAAAGTCGGGACCGCCCTCTCGCCATAGAACTCCAGTGAAGCTTAGCTTCCATTGGGCGGGACAAAGCCCAGCATTTATCCAATGAGCATCTAGTTTCGCTGCTGGAACAACCCACTTTAAGCTTCCACATTGAAGTCAGCAGAAGCCCAGCGTCCGACTGTTTGAAGCGATGAGGCGCTGCGAGGATGAATGAGAACGAAGTTATGCCGGTTACCTGTGATTATCAGCTTCTTATCACAGTGTCTGAACAAAAGTTGAAGGCTTTCTAGTGCGTATTTAGTTAATGAAATGTACACACAGCCGTACGTATTTCACCACTTTTTCTTTTTTTGGGGGGGTGACATTTTAAGGGAAGCCGAGCTTCCCTTGCAGTCTTAGAGCAATCGCCACTGATTTAGACACATGTCAGGGTGTGATTATGACATACTCTAAAACGCTGCAAGGCCGCAGGACTCCTCAGCTGCGGGTTTAGGATATAATCGTGCATCTGACATAGAGTCTGACATTAGCGTTAGATTTCTCTGAGAGCAGATTGAAGACTTTATAACACTCCTGATTAAAACACCAGAATGACCCTTTAAGGTCTAAATAAACTGCTCAGTTTGAACCTCTGTCAGCCTTGTGTTATTTTCCTCTCTGACTGAAGGATGTAGAAAACCTTAAGAGTCTCCTCAGAGTCACACACTAATCTCAGCCTGTCGCTCCTCCGGTCACTCCTGCAGGTAAACTCAGAGGGACGCTGCCCCGCATGGAGCCTTTCTTCTGCGCCCAGTGCAAAACCGACTTCACCCCCCACTGGAAGCAAGAGAAGAGTGGGCGGATCCTTTGCGAGCAGTGCATGACGTCCAATCAGAAGAAGGCTCTGAAGGCGGAGCACACCAACCGGCTGAAGAACGCCTTCGTCAAGGCTCTGCAGCAGGAGCAGGTCAGACAGACGGGATCAGGAGGCCGTCTCTGCTCTTTGATGTTTTAATGAAGATGAATAAAAATATGATTTTTCTGTTTGGAAAGTAACTGTTGATTTTCTGTAAACTTCAGGAGATCGAGCAGAGGCTTCAGCAGCAGGCATCCCTCTCCCCGAGCTCCGCCCCCACCGGTCCCAACGCCTCCAAGACCGACTCCATGATCCGACATCATGCCCTCCGTCAGGTACTCCTGCTCCCACCGGGGGTCAGGTCTCAGCAGCACTTATTAGTTAGTTAATACTTTAACATTTTTACTGAATGGATGATGAATTTATTTCAAATCTTTTCTTGTAAATCCTGAAATTTCTGTTTTTTAAGTTCTCTGCTGTAACTTTTGTCCCTCTACGATCTTTGTGCATCCTCCATACTGAAGCTAACACACCGTCTGTCTGTCCCGTCCTCAGGCCCCTCAGCCTCAGGCGTCCCTGCAGCGCGGCCTGTCCAACTCTGCGCGTGGCGTTCTGTCCAACTTCGCTCAGGCCTCCCAGCTGTCGGTGCCGAGCGGCCTGATGGGGATGGCCAGCGCCAAGCACTGCAGCAGCGGAGGAGGCAGCAGCAGCAACAGGCTGCAGCACGACAGCCGCCGCCAGATCTACAACATCCCAGGTAAGCAACGCACCGAACACTACCTGGATTCATGTCAGGAACAGGGATGTGCCGATATACGATTTAATCGCGATATTAAACGGCCACGATGATGAAATCGTAGGGTACTGTAATAATCGTTCCACAATTATAATTTAAAGACGAGTGGCAGCGTCACTCATCGGAGGTGAGCGAAGCAGAGTACTTACCAACCTAACCCTCTTGTAGTCTTACCCACGGTGTCAAAGCCTCGGTAGCAAAATGTACAAACAACCCACCACAAAAATAGTCCCAAATCCAAAACAAACTCTCGAATTAAGTACATTAATGCCAGCCTGACAAAAAAGGGAACACTAAAAGAGAAAATGAAGAAATTTTACAACAAAATGCCACCCACAATGCATTGTGGCCACCCAAAGCACTGTTCCAATCTGTAGGTTATGCCGTAAGGGAGTTGCAGCGCCGTTGTCTAACACTTCAAACCTACGTGCCCACCTCCGTGAACACCATCCAGCATCGTTCACCCAAATCAAGGTAAAAACAACATGGCCGCAACAAGTTTGGTCTTCTCTACTGCTTATTATTGACAACGTTAGTGACGTTTCTGCTAAGTTTAGCTCCGAAAAGCTAATGCTCCCAACGTCGTGTTAGCTGCCTCTTGCTCATATTGTTTGTGCGTCGCAATTTTTTGCCGTTTTTAATAACATTAAAAGCAATGCGCTAATATCGTGATAATATCATGAATCGTGATTTTTTGGCCACCAATATCATGATATGAAATTTTTATATAGGCACATGACTACTGTTATGAATATCTGATGGATTTCAAGACCAGGACAAGCTGCTCAGTCTGAGAAAAGTTTACCTGTTTGTTAATATTTTTACATATTTCCTCCCTCTCTATCTCTCTCTGTCTCTCTCTCTCTCTCTCTCTCTCTCTCTCTCCATCTCTCTTTCTCTATCTCTATCTCTCTCTCCCACCTCAGGGTTAAATATCGCCTACCTGAACCCGGCGGCAGTTGGTCATAAGAGCTCCAGCTTAGCGGACCGGCAGAGAGAGTACCTGTTGGACATGATCCCACCTCGATCCATATCGCAGTCCATCACCGGACAGAAATGAGCCCCGCCCACCCCACCCCTCCTCCCAAAGCCCCCGCTTACCTGCCCTCCTACCCTCAAACTGAAGCACTCCCAGATCAACCCTCCCCCTCCCCCCATCGCATGCAGTGCCTGTCCGTGTGCCTACCTGAACCCATGAGACCCACCGAGTCGGACAAAGACACTAAACTGTCAGTGCATCTCAAACCTTCTTCTTATAGTCGAATCTTCTTTGTCAGCGTTGTTTAACGATTATAATTCCCATTATTCTTGCTGTTGGTAGCACTATTATTATTATTATTATTATTATTATTATTATTATTATTATCATTCTACCTGAATCTACCATTTCTGCTTCAGTTCTTTTCGATTATTTGCTTTTTTCCTTTTTCCATGTCCTTTTTTTTTTTATTCCTTTTTCGTTCCTCTGCCTTCTCTCCTGGAGCGTCGGTGGATCATCGTAGAGCCTCTAGGCCTCAATCATCCAGGATTTATTTCTCCTCTGATTAAAAAGCTCTCACGTGAACATTGCTAGTAACAGAAGATCAACAGGGTGCATTCTGGTTGCTATGCAACATAAAGTTTAACAAGTTTGAAGCTTTGTAAAAAGTGTTAGCGCGCTAACTTGAAGAGACAAAGTGGAAAATTTTGAGGACAGAACCGGAAAAGTTGTAAACGGCTCTGCTCGCTCTTGAAAAGAGGACGAGGAGTCTCTCTTCTGGGGGGGGGCACACACTTGTTTCATCTCATGGTAAAGGGTCGAAAAAATCCAGAGGAGACCCGCTGAAACCAGAGAAAATCAACTGGAACTGACTGACGGACGAAGCAGAGAGAAACCTTCCGGATCATTCTCCGTCATCTCCATCCTTTCTTCATTCAGCCTCTCCTGGTCCAGGACGTTAGCAGACGTTAGCGATGGACGTACGCGGGACAATCTGTGATAATCAGGACGGACAGAAACGCTCAGACTCCGGCTCAGAGGAGGCCAGAGGACGATCCAGTATTCACAGTGGAAGAAACGAGTGTATTCTCCCTCCATCTCATCTCACCTCCTTCCCCGACTCCCCCTTCTCCCCTCTCTCCCTTCAGTTCTCCAGTATGCACAGACTGAACCCTTCGGCTCCTCTCGGCATCACGCTCTTTGAGAAAGTGGAAAGAACTTCAATCTGAAGGTGGAGCACTGTGTGTGCGTCCAGACCTCAGATTCTGTACCTAAACCCAGAGAGTCTGGGCTCCTCTTCTTCTTATATTTTAGATTGTTTTCTGATCGTCCCCCTCCTCTCCCCTTTTTTCTTTTCTTTATTTTTTGGTTTCTTCATTTCTTTGTGTTTTTTGCGGCGTCTCCTAATGAATGGGGGGCGTACCTGAGAGGTGTCAGCCCCCGGAGACGATAATAATCAACATAGCTAAAAACAGAAACTATTGAAATATCTGTATGGATTATGTATAGGTACCTAGCTTCAGAGGAAAACAAGGATGTGGATTTTATCCTTTTATGGGAGAGACACGGATCAATCATGGTGTGCATGCTCTGCACACACCTGGCCTCACTCCAGAGGAGCACTTTGCATCTTTCCAATTGGAAAAACTTTTTTTAAAAAGAGGAATAGATTGTTACACAGAGGGCGGCTCAGGTCTGGATACTCGACCATGTTTTGGACCATGAACGGTTTCATCCCGGTGTACTCTGATGGTGTTGGTCTCTGTCAGTGTTGGGCTCCTTTTGGGCTCCGGTCTGAGCACATGTCTGGGGTTCTATGCAGCATCACCCTCAGTAACTGCAGAGTCAGTTTAAGTCAAATATTCAACTTTTCAAAGCATCTAAACTCAGATCCCAGAGGTCTGGACCCACAGCAAATCCACTGCAGGATCTCTACCCAGGGACCAGGAACTTTTTGACAAACACACGTGCTTTAACATTAACTGGTATCTTCATTTAGTTTCGGGGACTTCACATCCAGAAGAAGTTCCTGCTCAGGTCGAGTCAAGAAAAAGTGTAAATCTGACGTTTGAAGCTGTCTGCACAGATCTGTTATCTGTGAGCACCGAGCTCAGTCCACTGTCGAAAACATACTAATCTGATTCAGATCACAAGAAAGCCCCATATGTAAACTTCACCCACTCACCTGCCAGGTGTACTAACCATAGACTGTATAAGCTTTGCTGGTGGAGGCGGGATTTATGACCTATACTGCAGCCCGTCAACAGAGGGTGCTGTTCTCGGAGTGGCTTCACCCAACAAGGAGGCAGACTCTGTTCATTCTATGTACAGTCTATGGTAGTAACTAAGTGTCAAACTGGATCCTTGACCCTTTAAAAGAAAGTCCTGGGGCACTAAAAGTTCCTGGTACTCTGGGGAGAGCAGAATATTCACTCATTGAACATTTAAATGAGCCAAACCAACAGAGAAAGAGGATTTCAGAGGTGTAACGTGAAGGAAAACCAGAGCGTTCAGGTCCATCACTGACCCAAAGACCAACTCTGTCACAGAGCGTTACAGGTGACCTAACACACCTTCTGGCAGCCATGTTGGATTCTTTCAGTTGTCTGTTTCTTTGTGCGCTTTTTTTTCTTCAGTGAGACATTTTAAAACAACAGCATTTAAATTAAAAGTGAAACTAAAGCACTTCAAAAAAAGACTTGATTGGCTAAGCACTTGTGTCTTCAAAGCACATGTTTTATGGCTCAGAGTCACTTTGGTTTAAAAAGTGAAAAAGTTCTTCTGTGATTTCGATTCGATCTGGATCAGCACTTGAACTACAACTATATGAACACTCAGCTCTGATGTGAAGTGGGATGAAGCTGACACCTCTGAGTGTCTTTAGCTCTAATTAAATACCAAATAAGACAGTTTCATGTTACCAGGGGGTCAGTCTAGTCTAAATCCTCCCCGCTCTAAATGACCATCAGGCTGAAAAGTAGCGGCTGAGACCACAAACGCACGAGTAAATTTTAATTAGGAGAATAAATCAGCTGAGGAGCAGAGCTGTACTGTCATTGATGTGGAACAGAGGAGTCGCCCCCTGCTGGATGTCAGAATATTGCAGGTTAAAGGTTCCGATGCAGCGCTGAGCTGATCTAAAACTCTTGAAATCTCTCCTCCTCGTTGTCTCTGGTGGTTTTTCTTCCTTTAAATCTCTGTCGTGTATGTTTACCCTCGCGGACTGTCAGATGAGTGTGTTCTGGTTTCTCTCATCATGATGCAGATTTGAATCCAGACCTGCAGTTCCCCTCAGACTAACAGACTTTGAAACTACCTAGAGTTGAATCACAGATGGTGAAAAACATCATTTTTTTATCCTGTAAAAATCAATTTTTCCTTGTTTGAAACGAATGAATCTGATGTTTAAAAATATTCTCATTTTTTTATCGTCTGGGCTGAATTTTTGCGCCTGTCACGGTTTGATTTCAGCTTTTTTTTTCCTCCTCTCTGCAGCCAAGCTGAACCTGAAAATCAAACCTTCCTGTCTCTCTGATCCTTTGCAGATGCATCCACACACCTTTGGACCGCAGAGTCTTTTCAAATTTGGATTTTTAGATTTGACAAAGTCATTCTTTTACTCTGACGTCTGGATTGAGTTCAGTTTTCTTTCTATTGCAGTTTTAAAAAAAGAAACAAATGTATTGATAATGAAATAAATGACACGATATTTGCTAGGTTTGAAGTAATAATGACTTATTGTACATAAGCATTTTTTCCTCCCTTGTACTGAAAAAAGAAATTAAATGGTTGTATATTGTGTAGAAAAGCAAACAAAAAGCCATGAATATTGTGAAGCTTGTCATTTCGTTTTGTGATCACTGTGTATTATTGTGTAACAAATGTGCAAAATGTTTGGGATTCTTTTTTTCCCTCCTCCTCTGCTTTTGAACGCTCCCTGGATTATTTCGCTTTGTTGAGGTCGAGTTTGTGTTTGCAGGAAAGTTTTTACTGGTTCGGGTGATCAGAATCTGCGGTCAGTTCCACATTCGAACATTTCTTTAGTTTCTCTGTCAGAGCGGAGAAACCGGAATCATCAACACCTGCACCTGAGTTTGTTTGAAGCACCAGCGTGTCACTGATGATATAAACAGAGCTGTTTGAGCGTCTGGTTCAGGCTGAACTCACTGACACTTAACACAAATCGTTTCCTCCGTCTTTTGTCCAGGCTTTAAGGCAGCCGTTTGATGGTTATCACTCTTACACCAAATTAAAAGTTCGATTCAACATTCATGAAAAAAAGTTTTCAACATAAAGATATTGTTTTTTGTTTTTTTTTAAGGGGAAAAAAAGGTCTGATATTTTATCAGACTTTTTTATAAATTCTAGAATTTAACTAGACTTCTGAGGTTCTGAAAATGAGTTAAATTCAGAGAAAATTTCTCTGAAATCTGAAAAAATTAAAGAATTCAAAGAAAAAGTCTGAATCCTGGATTCTGCCTCTGATCCCAGAACGTACCTTTTTTTTTTCACATTTCTAAGTTTTCTAAGAATTCTGGATCAAAGACAGAATTTTAATGCTCAGAATACAAAGACATTTGGTCTCTCAAGATCAAAGTTGAAATCCTGAATTCTTGATTTTTTTCACCTAATTCTGACTTTGACTAAGAGTTTGAAGAAAAAATGAAGCACTTTGGGATTACTGTTTTTTTTTATTCAAAACCAAAGTCCTGAATCCTGAGAGAAATGTAAAAGTCTGAGAAAATTTGTAATGGTTTCAGGGCAGAATCAGAATTCTGCCTTTTTTTTTTTTTTTTTAATCTGGAAAAAATTGGGATCAAAGTCTAATCTAAATTCTGATATTTTTTAGAATTCAAGTAAAAAACTCAAATGATGAAAAAAAGAGAAACCTGAAAGAAAATCTCCCCTCTTCCAACTTTATCCTCAAATTTAATTTTAGACCACTGTTATTTTTCTCTTCTGCCAGCAATATGTCCACTTTCCTGCTGCAGATAATGTCTGTTTCTTTACCGCCCTAATCAGACAAATTTCCCCCTTAAATACAAACTTTCTTCAGTTGAAGAGTTTGAAAGAATTACAATCGGCAGTCAAAATCCAGGGCTTTTGAAGCTGATGTTTCCTTAGCTCTTCGCTTTTTCTCAGTTTTTACAGTTATTGACGTTTTTAAACCTGATCAAGTTTAAAATATTAAACTAAACTTTTATCCTCAGTCCTCCAGGAGTCAAGCATCAACACTTCACCACCTCATGTGTTTGGATAGATTTCAGAGCTCCTGTCAGTTTTAGGCCATCAGTATCATCCCAACTTTCCTCTCCCATACAGCGTCCTCTGCTGGTAGGGGTTGGTATGAAGATGTTTCAGGCAGTCAGGCCACATAGTCCTTTTTGAAGTACATATGAATTTTTTTAAGCTGTCTGACAAACTTACACATTTACATCTCTGAGTTTTCGACTGAGGTGCAGCGCTCTGTTGACTCTGTCTCAGTAATTCTCGCTCTGACATTATCAGTGTTTTTGTTTTTGTTTTGACCCTGAATCAGCTATGACTTTCTGCAAACCTCCCTTCCTCTCTGTTCTGCTTTTCTCTGTTGTGGCTCATGCGGAGTCACACTTACCCGCAGATTCAGTTTTTATAAACTCACCTGTAGAGGCGTTTCTTTTTGCTTCAAATGTCGACAAAGTTAGATCGAGTTCTGGGGAGGCAGAAACACACGAAAATTTGATGGAGCGCAGACTTGCTGAAGTCAATTTTTGTTTTGCTGACATCAATCCTGACCTTTTGCACATACTTGATATTTAACGGTCTTCAAAAAAAGTCAAAAGAAAATAATGCTGTTTGAATACTGCCAGTTGATTGACAATTATGCATTGATTGAAAAAATAAGCTAATTTTGGAGGAAATAACTTTGTAATATTTATCTCTTGCAAGCTATGTTTAATAAAGGTTGAAACAATTTGCTTCCATGTGTGAATTTATTCAACTTTATTCAGGAAACTTATTCTTTGTGATTATATTTTATTTAAATATATGTAACCGTGTTAATAATGGAGTACCTCAGGGAACCATACTTGGACCTTCATTTTGTGAAAAATGGACAGTGCAGTAGCTGCCTCAAGTTGAGATAAAACATTAGGCTTTCCCTACACTGACCAGCTGCAGTTTAGGTGAAGGTCAAAGGCCCCACCCCCTCCATGGGAACAGATGAGTTTTGGTTTCTGGCTTCTGTCACAATGAACGCTAACCATGTGGATTTATGTCCAAAAGCTAAGTTTATTTTAAGTAAGTTATTCATGAGGACTTTAAAACTATGATTGACAGCTCTGTGCGTACTAGATTATTAGAGAAGAGGAGAAACAGTGAGAGGAAACAAAAGTTATAACACAAGAGTCCATGAAATGTAAGTGTCTTCTGCTCCAAACCCACATGAGAACCTGTTCTGCTGTGAACCAGACCCAGCTGAGGGAGCTTTAACCTTGTCTGGAGGTTAAATGAAATTCTAAAGATGTAATTCAAGCAAACCCATTGTCACTACCCAATATGTCCTGGAAACCCGATTTGTACAGCACATGTGCGAAATGTACGTCACTTTCTCTACGAGCCAGCTTCAGCGTCAGCGAGCTCGCTTCAATAAAGATTTTCCTAAATTTATAGTGAACCCAGATACACATGGCTCAGAGGGGAAAAAAAGACTGATTTAGACTCCTGGGGTTAAAGGTTTGAACCCTTATCCAGGGCAAGATGAAATTTAAAGTCCAGTGTCTAGAGAGGAGAGTGAGAGAGGAAACAAACAAACTCCTCCTGTGTATCCAAGTGGCTCAGGGGATAAGAAGACTGACTGTGACTCTTGAGGTGGTAGGTTTGAGTCTTATCCAGGGCAAGGAGAGGACACAAACAGAATATCCATGTGGCTCAGAGGATAAAAAGCCTGACTGGGACTCCTGAGGCTGTGGGTTCGAGCTTCACCTTACCCTAGTTGAGAAGAATTTTAAAGTCCAGTGCCTAGAAAGGAGAATGAAAGAGGAAACAAACGGATTCCTTCGGTGTGTCCACATGGCTCAGAGGAAAAGGAGACTGACTGTGACTCCTGAGGTTGTGGGTTTGAGCCTTTCCTTACCCAGGTTGAGGAGAATTAAAAAGTCTACTGTCTACAAAGGAGAGCGAACGGGGGTGGGGGGTTGTGAGGCAGGAAGTCAACAGGGGCTAAAGTTTCAAAGAAACCAAAGAGAAAAAGAAATCTTTTAGCTTGTAGTTTTTTTTTCCCTCCTCTCCAATAAAAGTGAGTAAAAACCTTTATTTAGATTAGCTAGAGTATAAGTCACAATCTACTGATAGAACACAACTCTGGACTTGGACTTAAAGCTTATATTTCTTTGCAGCATTCTTTGTGAGTGGGTAATAAATGAATGAAAAATAAAAAATCTGTTTAGATTCACTCCTTTTTCAATCATTCTTACAAAACTGTAGGCTGACCGTAGAAAGGAATAACATCACAATTTCATACTACAAGTATGTTTCTGTCAGATACAAAGGTGTAATAATTTACTGAATCATCCATGAATATATTGACGAAGACTTATAAAATGTGTTGGTATATGATTTTTATTATAAATTAAGTAAATTATAATTAAATAGTAATCATTATTTATAGCAGGGCAGTTCTATTTAGAAACAGCGCCCTCTAGTGGACATTTATATTTGATAGAGTTTTTTTTTGTTTTGTTTTGTTTTGTAGAAACCACCACAGTTCACAGCTAGAATTAAAGATTTAAAGATGAAAATTTCTTACTATTGTTTGCGTAATATTGCTGATTATTTTTTTGTACTTTAAGACCACTTGTTTAATTTTGTCCATATTTAGCTGGTTTCAAAACAACATTAAATAAAAATGTGTCTGCTTTAGCAATACAGTAACTTTAAAGTCATGACAAAAAACCTTAGACTGATTCAATTTACAGAAACATTTTCAGGAATGTCAATTATACTTCTGCTTTTGTTTTTTCATGCATTGAATTAAATTTAAAAAATACAATAATGTCACCTGATTTGTGATTTTTGGTGAATAAATAAATTAATAGTAACCCTGATGTTTCGACCTCTAAAACACTGATGAACTTTAAAAACACAGATGATAACACCACCTGAGAGTATCCACTGCTCTGTTTGATGATCCTCCTCTTCTTCCAAAATGTCAAGTCCAACTGCAGGAACCTGTGCCATAAAATACAACATAGAAATCAACAGAATTCAAGTTTACTTTGTGTTAAACTTGACCACATTTGTGTAAAGAGCTCTCTGTTTCTCTGTTAAGGGCATAAACAGTGAAGAGGATGATTGACAGCTATCCACTGAAGAAGCAGAGAAACTTTTCCCCACTTCTAAGGTGGGTAGCTGTCAATCATCTTCCTCACAGTCTCTCAACAGAGGGAGCAACACTGACACCCAGTGGATGAGAGAGGCGGTTCATCCGCGAACACATTTTTCAACTATTCACAAGCAGAATTGAAGATTTACAAATGATAAGTCATAATAAATGCACACATACATATAAAAAAACTAACTAAAAATCATTGACATATATTTGTGGATCTGGTAATCACATGTGGAAATTGTGGATGTGTATTTGGGCATAATTTTGAGACAAATCTCTCCCCATGTCTTTTCACTGACTGATCAGAGACTGAGAGTGAAGCTGTGGAGATAAATGGAGACTCCCCTTTATTCATTAATAAAGAAATGGTTAAATGTTAAAGAGTAATTACTAGAGACACCTAACGAGTTATTCAAGAGGTAGTTCCACCTAAAGAGGAGTCTCCATTTATCTCCACAGTTTACCTATCAGTCTCAGATCAGTCAGTGAAAAGGTGGACCGACAATCAGACTCTGAACAGCATTTTCAGAAAGAGGAGTTTAAAGTAAAATAACCTTTGACCTCTATCTGACTTTGTTATGATATAATATCCTACAGGTGTATTTTCCTGCTGAATCTCATCAGTTCATGTTTATACAGTAAACTCTGGCCATGTGCGTCAACCCTCATTTTCCACACCATCATTTTTGTATCTTTTAGAGGCTCTATTCATGTTTGGATATGATACACAGAGCACATACACTGAACGCTACGATACAGTACATTACATGACACAGTAGGATAAATGAGAATACAATTAAATAAGAAATGATTTGACACAATTTGATATAACACATCATTATGATAAATAATAGACACTGTAACATATGACATAATGCCATTTTACAATAACATGGGGACACAGAAACAGGATAAGAAACAAAGTGGTCTGATATCAGTGTTACAGCAGCACTTAGCTATCAGACACACAAAAACACAAACATGAACACAAAACGTGATAAGACCCATACCTGATTATAGACAGATTACAAGGAGCTGAAAGCAGAACTTCCTGTCCTGAGGTTGACCTCCTGAACTTTCTGCAGTGACACTGAAAACATGTCTGAGACTGAATTAACGGTGTAAATGCAATTAGTTATGCAGTCCAGAACTTTATGAAGGAAGTATCTGTTTGTATGTTTATTCTGCAATCAGCAGCTTCCAAATATCACGTATTATATTTCTTTGCAAAATCAGGGACTCTTCTACTACAGAGCCATGCTGTTGTAATCTCTGCAGAATGTGGTCTGGCACTGTCTTGCTGAAATGTGAAGGTCTTCCCTAAAAAAGTCATTGTCTGGATGGCAGCAGATGTTGCTCCTAAACCTGTAGATATTGTTCAGCACTAATGGAGCCTTCACAGATGTGGAAACTACCCATAATGACATGGACTCTGATGATCTCCATACCATCAGAGATGCGGGATTTGGACTGCGACCAGAAGATACAGTGTCCATGATTCCTGGATCCTGTTTTAACCCCATTTGTGGATGCAGTGGTGAACTGTGTTTACAGACATTTGTATTTGAAGTGATTCTGAGCCCATGCAGTGATTTCCACTCCAGAGTCCTGTCTGTTTTTAACACAGTGCTGCCCGAGGGCCTGAAGATCAGGACCATCCAGTCTTGGTTTTTGTCTTTGTCCCTTTTGTACAGAGATTTCTTCATATTCTCTGAATCTTTGAATGATATTGTGTACTGTAGGTGATATAATCCAGTCATACTTTCACATTTGACACTCAGGAACATTATTCTGAAACTGTTGATCTATTAGCTCACACAGTCTCTCACACAGTGGTGAACCTTTTCCCATCTGTCCCTCTGATAGACTTAGCCTCTATGAACATCCTTTACCCATTCCTGTTACTAACCTGTTGGGAAATAACCTCATTAGTTGGAAGTTTCTCCAGCTGTTTTTATTTTGTATTTTGACCTTTATGTTTTAAGACGTGTTGCTGAAAACAAATTAAACTGAGCAGATGAGAGTCTGAAGACTTAAGTCATATGCTGCTGATGCCTCATATTCTGCAGGACAGTTTCGTATTTTGGAGATTCCATGGGTTTTTTCAGTTGATTCCTTCTCGATGAAAAGCGTCTCTGTCTGCTTAATGACGACCTCAATGTTGATCAGAAGTTGACACAACAGAGAAAGTTATTTTTCTGGTTTTCATCTTCTAAGAAAACAATCTCATCTTCTCTGATTCCCCAATTATCCGGATGAAATCATTTTAGATCAGTGAACTCATGAACACAGTGAAGTCAGTCTATGTCTCTGCAGAGAGGGTCATGTGACTGCCGGGTCAGATCAGCTCACTGCACAAAGGCCTTGACTGAACCACAGAAGGAATTCACAGAAAAACAGGAAGGAAATTTCCAAAATTCTACTTTAACAGCCTCATTCAGTCATGTTTTTACCTTTCATAATATTTTTTAGGACAAACTATCAAACTTGTGCAGAACAGAACATCCCAAACATGCACAACTTATATCATATCTCCACATTGATCAGACAACAAGACGAACCTGTATGCAATGACCCACATAACCTTCAGTAGGAGAGACGTGCTGTGAATTCAGTTATGATGCAACTTCATGAACACATGTAACCGTACAAAACACGTGCAACAACGGAAACATGCTGCAGAAAGAACTGAACGCCTGCATTACCAGAACACACTCTGCATAAATGTCCATAAACAGGCTGAAAACTGCAAAAGAGAAATGCTCCTCATAAAGGCCTGAGCACGCCTGCTCTGAGTCTGTAGGGGGCGCTTAGTGAAACAGCGTTATTGTTGACCAGAGGAGACCAGAGTCCCTGCTTCCAAGCCTGCTCCTCAACTCAGCGTCAAGTGTATCCCTTACTTACTTAACTCTTAGCTCCTCCTACTTTGTCAATGTATCAAACCTGCACCAATCACATTGCACCTTCAGTCTCCAAGTAAGATTCCCCTGACCATGTTAAAATCGATTATTTAAATGTCTTTGGAGTCAAAACATTTAGAGCTGCCCCCACTGACCAGTTGCATCAAAGGTCACTAACCCAGCCTCCTCCATGTTAACAGATGGGTCATAAATCACACTATGAAACTGTAACACACATCAATAAACTGTTCCTCCAGCATAGTTTCTGTTCTTATATCAAGTTTCCTATCAGGCTGTTTTACCTCAATGTTTGTTTTTCTGACAACTTCATTTTTAAAGGTTCAGTCTATAATTTTTATCAGCACGGACTTTGTGTTACTTGACGTTTCATTCATCAGTCTTGGTGTTCAATCCCTTTTTTTGTTGACTGGGCCTTTTAAGTCTATAGTGGATGTTGCACTGCCATGTTTCCATAGTAACACAGAACGGACAAAACTGGCAACATGTGTGTTTTTGTATTTACTGAGCAGCTGTGTAAAACCCATGTGTTAAAAGATGTACATGAAGAAGGAAAGAGGAGAGATGATTGTTTTTGACAGATGGAAGGTCATTCCTATAATGCATTACAGGAGCTTTTTGTCTTTAAAGGCCACCATAGCTTTGCCAATAAAGGGCTGAGCAAGGGAGCATTTCCAATCTAGAATCTGACCACTAGATATGGCTAAAGATTCCCTTTTCTACACACTGGACCTTTACGTTACATGAGCTACCTCTGTGTTTTCCAGCAGCTAAAAGAAGAGTAAGTTGCTCCTCTGAGCGCCCCCTGCCTGCAGACCTGGAGCACCCCTGTTACCTCATCTGTGCAGTGTTTCTTGTGCAGGTGTTTTATGTATAGCTGCATTTTTGGAACCTGATTTATTGACAGTATTAACAGCTGTTTGACATTCTGCACATGTTTGTGAAGTGATTGCATGTGTCTTTAATCAGGATTATTTCGGCAGCTGCAGACCGGCCCGCCTTGTTGATCACTGTACCTGACCTTTTCATACTAACATGTGATCCTAATGTGCGTCTTCCCCCATGTTTCTGACTTTTCAGTGTTTTCAGTCAAACATGTTTTTGAGTTTTTGCAGAAACACAAACAGCTGTGGCTTGTCTCTGCTTGTCTGCTGCAGGAAAACACATTACACAACGTAAAGGCTGTAACGTGAGCCACAAACAATATGTCTCAGGTGTATCTGTGCAACAAAGGGGGCGGGGCCTGCTCTCTGTGGAACACTGCTCAATGAGGGGAACATAAAGTCCTTAGCATTTTCCTGCAGAGTCACCTCACAAAAACTGGAGGACATCTCTCCTACAGAAATGAAATATTCTGTCGCTGCCTGCAGGGCGCCCTGTTTTAGACAGTATTATATTTATGTTAACCCCAAACAGGAGGTCAAAGTGGCGTGTGAGAGTTATACAATGCTATGTAACCTTCCTGAAGCATTCCAAGAAACACGGCTTCCCTGAAACTTTACACAACAGCCTCGGCAGCTGTCAGTCCTGACCTTGTTTGTGTAAAACGCTGCAGGAGAGGGAGGAATTCACGGAGGAGAAAACACACTGTGAGAACACTGTCGCTGTGACAAAGTATCAGGTTGACGTTCAGAAGAAAAAGTCGGGTTTCAGGAATGAAATCATGTGAAAATAAAGTTATGACTTTTTGAGAAAACATCAGAAAGATCTGAGGCCTCAGACTGGACTGTTTTTCTTTCGAACTGAGTCAGTTTCTTGCACAATGTTTTCAGAGTTTAGGTTTTTGTGAAATTTTCTGCAGAAGTAAAACTTCCTTATTTTTGTGCCAACAGCGACTGATCTAACAATGTTCATCCCTGAATAACAGGCTAAACAGAGGCTAAGAACACAACCTTTTTTGGAGTAATGTCAGATATCATAGATATACCGTCATGTTACAAGATAAAGCTCTACATGAAAGGGGTGGAAGGTGTTCTCAAACTATTAAAATAAAAACCAAAGAAAACATTTTTTTATGCATCATGACTAACAGATCTCCTCCAACGTGCCTTCACATCACATGATACAACAAATTAGGGTTTAAGG